CCTGCAAGAGACAGCTGTCTTTTCTCTTGTTTGTGTTTACATACATTTATGGATTCAAGGGTATTTATCTTAAAACTTTAATCTTTTTTCCCCTTTAGTTCTGGGGATTTAAGAGTTTCAGGCAACCCCCAGCCTCCTTTTGTCTTTATTTCTTTTGGGTGGTACTGGGGTTTTTGAACTCAGGGCCTTGGGCAGGTACTCTAGCACTGTTGCCAAACCAGTAACTTGAGTTATTTTTCAGGTAAGGTATTAAGTTTTTGTCCAATGTTGACCAGGACCACATCTTAGGTTTCCTGAGTAGGTGGGATGAAAGGTGTATACACTATGCCCAGCTTTTTTGTTGAGATGGCGGTCTTTTTGCCCAGACTGGCCTCAAAACTCCTGAGAACTTGAGTCTACAGGCATGAGTTCATGCCTGCCTCTTTCTTTCTTTTTTCCCTTTCTTTCTTTCCTTCTTTCGTTCTTTCTTTCTTCCTCCCTCCCTCCCTCCCTTCCTTCCTTCCTTGTCTGTCTGTCTGTCTGTCTGTCTTTTGTTGGTAGTGGGGCTTGAACTCAGGCCGGGGAGCTGTCTCTGAGCTCTTTTGCTCAAAGCTAGCACTCTATTACTTTGAGCCATAGCATCAATTCTGGTTTTCTGGTGGCTACATGGAAATAAGAGTCTTACAGGGACTTTTCTGCTTGGACTGGCTTTAGACTGCAGTCCTAAGTAGCTAGTATTACAGACATGAGCCACTGGTACCCAGCTCTGTTTTGTTTTTAACTTTTTCCAGGCTATAACTTATGACCTTTCTTTGTTTCCCAAGTATCTGGGACATACAGGTATGTACCACCGCACCTGGGTTGGATTATGATCTAATTTTATTTGTTTTCTCAAATTGTCCTTATTTGGCCTTTGGTAGGTCTTATAGTTACCTCCTATGTCTTTTACACACACACACACCCTTACTTTGGTGCTGGTACTGGGGCTTGAACTCAGAACCTAGGCACTATCTCTTAGATGCTTTAAAAAAATAAATACTTTTATTTTATTATAATGGTGATGTACAGAGGGGTTACCATTTCATAAATCAAGTAATAAATTCTTTTTGGACAATGTCACCCTTTCCTTTGCTCTCTGTTTTTCCCTCCCATCCCTACACACACCTCTTAGCTTTTTTTTTGGGGGGGGGGGTCCAGTCGTGGGGCCTGAACTTTGGGTCTGGGCGCTGTCCCTCAGCTCTTCAGCTCAAGGCTAGCGCTCTACCACTTGAGCCACAGTGCCACTTCCGGCTTTTTTCTTTTTGCTTTATGTGGTGCTGAGGAATCGAACCCGGGGCCTCATGCATGCAAGGCAAGCGCTCTACCACTGAGCCACCTTCCCAGCCCTAGCCTTTTTTAAAAAAATATATATTTAGCCTGTCTTTTTTATTGTCTTAACAGGATGTTTTATTGAGCAATAGTGTGTTTTGGTAAAGTCCCTTTTTATCATTTTTCCATGTAAGTATGGGGCTTTGGGCTGGAGGCTAGTGGCTCATGCCTGTAGTCCTAGCTACTTATGAGACTGAAATCCAAGACTGAGATTCAAAGCCAGCACAGGCAGAAAAGTTTCTTTCATCAGTTAGCTAGCGAAATGTCAGACTGGAGGCATAGCTCAAGTGCTAAATACCACCTATTACCCAAAAATATTGAGATTGTCAGGCTCTGAGTTCAAGCCTCAGTACCAACATCCACCCACCCCACCCCCCACACAGAATATAAAAAGTTCTGTATCTCAAGTAAATCACATTTGAGAAACCAGTTTTTGTGGAGCCAAGTTGTAGCTCAGTGGTAGAGGACTTGCCTAACATGACCTAGGCCCTGAGTTCCAACCAACCAACTCAAAATAACCACCTCTACTATCAGTGCACTTTTTAGTGTAGTGTTAAAAAAATATCCCCAGGAAGTGGGGCTGTGGCTGTGGTAGAGCACTCTGTTGAGCTGAAGAGTTGAAGAAAAGCAATCAGGCCCAGAGTTCAAGCCCCACAACCGACATCAATCAATCAATCAATCCATCCATCCACAATTGGGTCTAGAGGTCTAATTTAGTAGTAGAGCATGTCTCACATGCACAAGTCCCAGCTTCAAAATCCAATAATTCAATAATTCGAAAAAGTTTTCTCTTTTTTTGTTGTGTTTTATTGAGATAGAATCAAGTTATGTAGCTCAATCTGGTCTTGAGCTCAAGACCCTCCTACTTAATTAACCTCCTGAGTGCTGGGACTTAAGGCATTTACTTCCATGAGTGGCCTGAAATGGCTGCTAAGTAGTTCTTCCTTCTGCAAACTCATATTTGAGAAAAACCAGCCTTTCTTCATATACTTCAATCATCACAGCAATTTTATTTTCTATTTTGAGGTAGTATCTTCCTATGTTGCTTAGTTTGGCCTCAAACTCCTGGACTAAAGCCATCTTCCTGCTTTAGATTTGCAAATAGCTGGATATAAAGGCACTGGTCAGTACCCCCAGCTAGGAGATCTTAATAGATTGAACTCAGTATATAAGAGAATCCAGTGACTCAGTATATATGAGAATCCAGTGGTACTCGATTAAGCCAGACATTGAAGCAATTTCCAAAAATAAAATGCAACTGACATTCTCACTGATTTTTTAAAAGTTGTATTTTTCATAAAAATGGTTATTTTAGATGCTTTAATGTTTAAATTTGTCAGTTTCAATTTCTAGTAGTAACATTAGTGATATATATTCTATATAAGCAATGCATTTTAAGGTCCTCAATAATGAAAGTGTAAAGAAACCAGAAGTAGTGGTGTATGCCAGTCATCCAGCACTTGTAGGGCAGGCAGGGATTAAAAGTTCCAGCCCAATTTGGGCTGGCCATGCAGCAAGACCCTGCCTGAATGCTTCTCCCCACCCCCCCAACACACACACACACACACACACACACACACACACACACACACCTCTAAGTCCAAATAACAAAACCACCCCCCCCCCCCCCCCCCCCGGGCTGGGAAGGTGGCTCAGTGGCAGAGCACTTGCCTTGCATGCCTGAGGCCCTGGGTTCGATTCCTCAGCACCACATAAGCAAAAAGCCGGAAGTGGCGCTGTGGCTCAAGTGGACCAAAACTGGACCAAAAAAAAAACAAAAACAAAAAAACAAAACAAAACCACCCCACTCAAACATTGGGAGGAAAGTAAAATGTGGAAATTTGCGTGTGGCTCTTACCCTAAAGAAAATCTGCGAGTTACAAAAATTTCCTTTTTTTTTTTTTGGTCAGTCGTGGGGCTTGCTCTCTGGGCCTGGGCGCTGTCCCTCAGCTCTTCAGCTCAAGGTGAGCGCTTTAGCACTTGAGCCTCAGCTCACTTCTGGTTTTCTGGTGGTTTATTGGAGATAAGAGTCTCATGGACTTTCCTGCCCGGGCTGGTTTTGAACTGCGATCCTTAGATCTCAGCCTCCTGAGTAGCTAGGATTACAGGTGAGCCACGGGCGCCCGGTTCCTTTTTGTTGTTGTTGTTGTAAAGGAAATATACAGAAGGCTTACAGTTACATAAAGTGATGAGTACATTTCTTGTCCAACGTTGTTACCCCCTCCCTCGTTTTTCTCCCAATTTCCTTCTCCTCAATTCCCCCACTCCCCAGGTTGCAGAGTTCATTTCCAACTTGGTGTCTTGTGAGTATTGCTCTTGCATTGGTTCACCCTTTGCCCTTTGTTTCCCCATTTTGTTATCCCTTTCCCTTCCTTTTTCATTGGCCTTTTCTCCAGTTTCCCGAGAAATAGATTCCTTGAACCTCTGCCCTATAATCTAGTTAGGAAATAATAAAAGTGTTTTTTTTTTTAATAATAAAGGGACTAAGGTCCTCCCCAAAAAGAAACCCTCGGGAGAGCTGGGCAGGCGCACTGCTCAGCCCCGATTGGGAAATGCTTTCAAATTTTTCACCTCCCTGAGGGCGTCTGTGGACAGAACTGTCGCTGTAGCTCCGTGGCAGCTCACCTGCTCACCTGCTGTCGGCTCAGCATCTTTTTTTGGGGGGGGGGGGGGTGTCGGTTGTGGGGCTTGAACTCTGGGCCTGGGCGCTGTCCCTGCGCTCTACCGCTTGAGCCATGGCGCCACTTACGGTTTTCTGGTGGTTTATGGAGCGAAGAGTTTCACGGACTTTCCTGCCGGGGCTGGCTCTGAGCCGTGATCCTCAGATCTCAGCCTCCGGAGTAGCTAGGGTTACAGGCGTGAGCCGCCGGCGCCCGGCTCCGTCGGCATCTTTTACTGACATTTTTAGGGCAGCCGCTAGTGAGTTCGGGAAAGTGGGGCCCGGCGCTTATCATCTGGTACCAGGCGGAAAGACGTGTCCTTTTCCTCGGTTGCCCGCGGCCATCTGCCTGCTTCGGTCATTTAGTTTGCGCCGCCAAGGAGGTTATGTGTACGTAGTCCTTGGCAGAGAAGGGTTCCCATCCTTCGCACGCAATGGCCGCGGCTTCGGGGATGAAGCTTTCCTCTGCCACGCGAGGTCCTTCTTGGATCTCCTCCCGTCCGTTCCCCCCCGGGAGCGGGGCGCCCCGGTGCCCGCCCCATCCCACCCTAACCCCGCGCTCCGCCGACCCTGGCCACAGCACGCTGGGGCCGCTCCCCTCTAGACCGGGGAGGTGTGGCTTCCTCTCGCTGAACCTCCCCGCAGCACTCGCGGGCCTCCAGACTCGAACCACCGCTCAGCAGCACGGCCAGGAACGCTGCGGAGCGCGCCCCCCCCCCCCCCACGCATGCCCGCGCCCCGGCGCCTGCCCGCAGGAGGTGCCACGTCTCGCGCGATCCTCGGCACTTCTCGCGACACTTCCCTCTGGCTCCCTCCTCGCCGTCCCGCTCGCCCCACCCGCGGCTGGCGCGCTGCGCTCGCGGCTCCCTCACCTTGACTCTGGTAAAACCTGGCCCGCTACTCGCCCGCTGGGAGCGCGGCGGAGCCCGGGGCTCGGGGCGAGCCCGGCGGGGCGCAGGCTCCGCCCCGCCTCGCCCCGCCCCGGCCGTGCCCGGGGAAAAGGCCATCGCGGGGACATGCCGTGCCCGCCCCGGCGAGGGCGGGGGAGCGTGAGCGGCGGGGGCGCCGCCAGGTGAGTCGCGGGGCGTGCGGGGCGGGAGGCGCGGCGGGGCGGCCAGACCCCGGAGGAGGAAGACGCGGACCCGAGCCGGGGGCGCGGAGCAGCTCGCCTCTGCTGCGGGGAAGGGGCCGAGGCTCCCGGCGTCGGCTGCACCTTAAGGCACCAAAAGGTTCTCGGGGCGGGAGCGTCCTGACCCCGAACTCCGGAGCCGTGGTGGTGATGGGGCCCTAGGGCGAGGCGCGAGGGACGGGCCTTAGGACCGGAGGGACTGTTGTGCCGTGCGGGGGGTGAGGGGCCGAAAGACCCGGGGGCGCCATCTGCGCGGGCTGGGCGCGCCTGTCTGCTTTCTCCCGTCGGGGAGGTCCCTGCAGACCTTGACGTCCGCCCGTGCAGGTCCTTAACGAATGGAGGCCGCGGGTGGAAACTCCTCAGCCGAGGCTTTTAAGTAAGGTCCCTTGTTGCTTTTCACCTGAGACGCTGGGGAGTGAGGCTTCGCGTGCACACGGTGGCCTCAAACAAGAGTTCGGGTTTTGAATTTGCATCTCTGTCTTTAAGCTCACGTTAAGGACCAATCAAAACGACTGTTTCTTAAATGTATGGTTGTATTGTCTGTATTTGGAGATTCCAGGAGTCGTGTAAATGTGTAATGATAAGGGATCCAGAGCCTAGAACTTATTAGGTGTTACCAGGACATAGTCTACCAACTTGGTTTAGTACTTTGCCTTCTAAGAGAATTGGGAGTCTAAGAAAAAGTGGTTGTTCTAATAGAACCAAATACTTTATTTTATGTAGCCCTCTTAAATTTCTCACAAATGGCCTCTTAAAATGACTTAGGTCTGTGTGTGTGTGAGAGAGAGAGCACGCGCACTATACACTTGTGAATAATTAGTGTCAATAAAGGGAAAATAATTTTCTTGATAGTTTTATCTTGTCTTTTAGAAAGCAAAATGTCATCAGTGGAAGCACACCAGGAACAGTTGTCCCAGTCAGATCCATCCCCATCACCAAACTCATGTAGTTCCTTTGAGCTGTTAGACATGGATGCTGGCAGTTTGTATGAACCAGTTTCTCCACATTGGTTTTATTGTAAGATAATAGATTCTAAAGAGACGTGGATTCCTTTCAACTCTGAGGATTCTCAGCAGCTGGAAGAGGCATATGGCTCCGGTAAGATGACAGTGATAACTTTGAAACCAAGGCGGTCTCTCCAAGTATAATGTAATAGCTATCCCTTATAGTTAGTACTGTTAAAAATAAACTTTACAGGAGAGTGATGGGGGATGAGGAAGTTGATTGGCACATACACATTCATAGAACTAGCACAATGAAATCCCCATTTATATAGCTAATATATACTAATAACTTCTTTAAAAATACATAGATTTTTTTCCTGTTGGGTGCCAGTGGGTCAGGTCTGTAATCCCAGCTACTCAGGATTCTGAGATCTTTGAAGCCATGCTGAGCAAGAAACTTCCTGAAACTTTTATCTTTGATTAACCATCAAAAAAGCCAAAATGGAACTGTGACTCAAATGGTAGAGTGTGCTAGTCTTGAGGAATAAAAGCTCAGAGACAGCATTAAGGCCCTGAGTTCAAGCTTCAGGACCTGCACAAAAGAAAAAAAAATAGTAGATTTTTCTTATTAAGTAATCTACCTTTCTTTCTTTCTTTCTTTCTCTTTCTTTCTTTCTTTCTTTCTTTTCTTTCTTTCTTTCTTTCTTTCTTTCTTTCTTTCTTTCTTTCTTTCTTTCTTTCTTTCTTTCTTTCTTTCTTTCTCTGTCTCTCTTTCTTTCTTTCTTTCTTTGTTGTTGTTGTGCTGGGGTTTAAACCTAGGATCTAGTTTAAACCTAGTGCTTGCTAGGCAAGCACTCTACCATGGAATTATATTCCCAGCCCTTGTTAAGTAGTTTTTTTTACAGCATTTTATACAAAGTTCCATATGAGTTACTCAGCTAATCTGTAATATTCAAGAATTTAGTTTGTATCTTGAAACAGTATCTGTCATATTCTCTTTTTACTCAATAATACAATAATAATTCAATATTCTAACTTAGTTTTTGTTTCTAAAGAATATATGTAGAGGGCTGGGAAGGTGGCTTAATGGTAGAGTGCTTGCCTTGCATGCATGAAGCCCTGGGTTCAATTCCTCAGCACCACATACGCAGAAAAAGCCAGAAGTGGTGCTGTGGCTCAAGTGGTAGAGCATTAGCCTTGAGCTGAAGAGCTGAGGGACAGCGCCCAGGACCAGAGTTCATGCCTCACAAACAACAGCAACAACAAAGAATATATGTAGAGTAGGGTATTATAGAAGAATGAACTCTCTTAACATACTAGTTTTTTTCTCACGCTCTTTTTTTTTGGGGGGGGGGTCCAGGTCATGGGGCTTGAACTCTGGGCCTAGGTGCTGTCCCTCAGCTGTTCAGCTCAAAGCTAGTGCTCTACCTCTTGAGCCACAGCACCACTTCTTGTTTTCTGAGTGTTTTATTGGAAATAAGAGTCTCACAGACTTTCCTGCTCTGGCTGGCTTTGAACCGCAATCCTCAGATCTCAGCCTCATGACTAGCTAGGATTACAGGTGTGAGCCCCGGTGCCCAGCCATTTTTTTTCTCTTATGAAACAAGAATACTATCTAATTATATTATGATGGTTGTTGTGAGTTTTCCTTTTGATCCCTCAAGCAAAAAATTCAGCGAAGTCATTTTATCTATTTTTAAGAAAAAGGACATTTCAGTGTTTCATTTTCTAAGGGAACAAAACTGTTTGGGTAGTTTTTTTTTTTGGGGGGGGGGAGTCCGGTAGTGGAGCCTGAACTCTGGGCCTGGGCACTGTCCCTCAGCTCTTCAGCTCAAGGCCAGCGCTCTACCACTTGAGCCACAGTGCCACTTCCAGCTTTTTTTTTCTTTTTGCTTTATGTGGTGCTGAGGAATTGAATCCACGGCCTCAGGCATGCAAGGTAAGCGCTCTACCACTGAGCCACCTTGCCAGCCCTGGATAGTATTTTTTTGTTATTCAAACCAAGAAGGGTTTTGATACTTGAAAAGTAGTAATCCAAATAGACTGAATTCCATTCATTTCATGTTTAGCCAAGTAGAAATATGTTACTTAGCATGTAATTTACAATGGTATTTTAGGAGATTTATTGTGAAGTATATAATTCTTTTCACTTTGCAATTCTTGATAGGAAAAGACTGTAATGGGAGAGTTGTCCCCACTGATGGGGGCAGGTACGATGTTCATCTGGGGGAGAGGATGCGGTATGCTGTGTACTGGGATGAACTGGCATCAGAAGTGAGGCGATGTACCTGGTTTTACAAGGGGGACAAAGACAATAAATATGTTCCCTACTCGGAGAACTTCAGCCAAGTATTAGAGGTATCCTTTGAGGGTTTTGTACTCATCATTTTCTATTTTTCCTTTAGTAATTTTTTCTTCCTTTTCTGACATATTTTGTGAAATTTCCAGAAAAAGTTTGGTTCCATTTATGTTCCACTTTATAGTACTACTTTTTGTAAATTAGTTTCAGCATAAAATAGTTTTAAATCTCAGATTTTAAGTTATTAGTAAACAAAATTTTTTCCATTATAGCAATTATTGATATTATTTAAACTATGACCACAGGATTAGTCATCTTGACTTTTATTATTCTGAAAACTAGTATTTACTTTGAGTAGAAAGGGCATTAATGTTATTGATAAATGCCACATTAACATTAATGTCACAATCACATTAATGTAACTGACATGTGGCTCAAGTGGTAGAGAGCCAACATTGAGCAGAAAAAGCCAAGGGGGGAAAAATGAGTGAAAATGTAAGTTTACAAGTTCAAGCTCCAATACTGGCACATACACAGGCGCCGGTGGCTCATGCCTATAATCCTTCCTGCTCATGAGGCTGAGATCAGAGGATCATGGTTCAAAGCCAGCCTGGGCAGGAAACTCCTTGAGACTCTTTTCTCCAATTAACCACCAGAAAACCTGAAGTGGTGCTGTGGCTCAAGTGGTAGAGCACTCGCCTTGAGCTGAAGAGCACAGGGACAGCGCCCAGGCCCAGAGTTCAAGCGCCACGACCCACCAAAAAAAAAAAAAAATTGACTACACAGTAAAATTGAGAATTTTTTTTCTTTATCTTATTGGCTTATTGTTAGTTTGTTTATTGCTGTAGAGTGTGACAGGCTGACTTGAATCCTGCTAATTTGGCTTCCTGAGTGCTGGTATTTATAAAGTGAATATATAGAATTTACAGAAGAATACCTTTATCTGTTGTTGTAACTTTAAAAGAATTTTAATGGGCTAGGAATGTAGCTCAACTCAGTGGAAGAGAGCTTGCTTAGTGAAAGGTCCTTTTATTCTTCCAGAGGAAAACAATTTATTTAATGTGTGTGTGTTTCTGAGTGTTAGTCCTGGGGCTTGAACTCTCAGCATGGGTACTGACTCTAAGATTTTGTGCTCAAGGTTAGCAATCTACCACTTGAGCCACATCTTCACTTTTGGCTCTTTGATGGTTAACTGAAGGAGATAAGAGTCTCATGGACTTTCCTACCTGGGTTGGCTTCAAAGTTTGATCTTTAGACTTCAGCCTTCTGAGTAGCTAGGATTACAGGTGTGAGCCACCAGTGCATGGCAGAAAGTGATATTCTTATGAGGACTCAATAATAGTATTCTTGTAATAAGTCTTAGTTTAATAATAAAAAAAGCTGTTAGAGAAATCTAATGAAATGTGATTTCTTTTAAGGAAACTTACATGCTTGCCGTAACCTTGGATGAATGGAAAAAGAAACTGGAGTCTCCCAACAGAGAAATTATTATATTACACAATCCAAAGGTAAAATGCATTAAAGCATTTCACTGATGTTGAGATTAAATATTGATTACTAAGGGAAACTTGTTTTCTTTCCATATGGTTCCTATACAGGATAACATTTAGTAAATTTTACTAATAGTAAATGCACCATAACTTAAAACTTAAGATTGCACTTAAAACTTGAGATTGGAGATATGGCTCAGTTGGTAGAACACTAGGCAATGAGCCAAAAGCATCATGTCCTGGACCAAAAAAAAAAACTGTTACCTTTATTTACTCCACTCAGCTCATACAATATAATTATGTTAAGGAAAGTCATGTCATTATATGTTGAGAAAATCACCAACACATGTGAGCGTGTCTTTCATGTTAGGTTTATTATCAAATGATCTATAGCTTGATATATTTTCAGAGTTCCCATTTCAAGCTGTAGGTGTTTCATATCGAATTCCAGTTGAGACTTGACTATATATTTTAAAAGTTGGATATCTGTAATGGACACTATATTGCTCTGATCTTTTCCATTAAAGCTCATGGTACATTACCAGCCAATTGCTGGATCTGATGAATGGGGTTCAACACCCACTGAGCAAGGTCGACCAAGAACAGTGAAGAGAGGGGTTGAAAACATCTCTGTTGACATCCATTGTGGTGAGGTTCTTTTTTTCTTCCAAAATGCTTTTTCTTCTGAAATACTTACAAGTATTTCATTCCTTAAATTCTGACTGCTTTTCTTTTTTCTTTTTTTTAGATTCCTCCTTCAAGGCTTAAAATGATCTTTAATAAGATGGGCTTATTGTGTGCTAAGATTACTGTCATTTCATCTACTAAGGTTTTTTTGTTTTTTGTCTGTTGTGGAGTTTGAACTCAGGGCCTACGTGCTGTCCCTGAGCTTCTTTGTGCTCAAGGCTAGTGCTCTACCACTTGAGCCATAGCACCACTTTGGTTTTTGAGTAGTTAGAGATAAAAGTCTCATGAGGACTTTTCTGCCCTGCTGGCTTAGAACCGTGATCCTCAGATCTCAGCCTTCTGAATAGCTAGAATTACAGGCATGAGCCTGGCAATATTATTTGTTTGTTTGTAACCCCAGCTGTTTTGGGAGGTGAAGCTAGGATGACCATGATTTGAGGCTAGCATAGAGGATAAGCGTTAGGGAAGACCACAACAAAGTATGGTTGCATACAACTGTAATTCTAGCTACTTGGGAAGCAAAAGGATGGAGGTTGAGGCCAGCTATGGAAAAAAAAGCTAAGGTATGGTAGTATGCTGTTCTAGGCAGGAGGCATGGTAGGAAGACTGTGGTTATTGTCCAAGGATGGCCTTGGTTAAAAAAAAGCAAGCCTCTATTAGAAAAACAGCTAAAGCTGCAAATTTTATTTTTTATTTTGACTAGAAATATAATACTGTAATACCTGGCCCTGAAGGTTTTCAACTAAAAGTTTCATTGGAACTTGATTATCCACTAGAGTCATATCATTGGTTTTGCACACAAATTTGATTAAAAAATGTCTTTTATCTTGCAAAAGAGATGATTTGTCTCTTGGGTAAATGTTTTTGACTTACTGTTATTGATTGGTGGGTTGATTTTTACATAGGATATTATTATGCCTTTGCCTGGACTGTTCTCCAGATACCTCCTGTCTTTGTCTCCTTAGTAACCAGTATTTCAGGTGTGTGTTGCCATGCTCAGATAATTTACTATAATTTACTATAATAAAAAAAAATGAGTTTAAAGCTTGGCATGGTAGTATACTGCTGTAATCCCAACACTCAGGAGAGTAAAGCAGGAGGATCTAATTCCAGAGTAGGCTATATCCAGATACCTAATGAATTCAAGGCTATTTTGAGGTACATAGTAAGACCATGTCTCTTAAATAAATCAACAGAAACAAAAATTACAGACTTTAAAATCATACTAGACATTATTAGGATAGTTGATAAAAATGGAATTAGTTAAAAATATATTATTGGGGCTGGGAAGGTGGCCTTGCATGCATGAGGCCCTAGGTTCAATTCCTCAGCTACACATAAGCAGAAAAAGCTGTAAGTAGTGCTGTGGCTCGAGTGGTAGAACTCTAGCCTTGAGCTGAAGAGCTGAGGGACAGCACCCAGACCTAGAGTTCAGGCCCCATGACAGAAAAAAAGAATTTTTATCTGCTGGGCTGGTGGCTCACGCCTGTAACCCTAGCTACTAAGGAGGCTGAGATCTGAGGATCATGGTTCAAAGCCAGCTGGAGCAGAAAAGTCCATGAGATTCTTATCTCCAATAAGCCACCAGAAAACTGGAAGTGGCGCTGTAGCTCAAGCGGTAGAGTACTGGCCGTGAGCTGAAGAGCTGAGGGACAGTGCCCATGCCCAGAGTTCAAACTGGGACAAAACGAACAAAAAAAACAAAAAAAATTATCATTGTTAAATTGCCTGGATTTGATAATTGTTCAGTGGTTATGTAAGAGGAGGAAATACATATATTAAAGGGCTAAAGAGGTAGGTTGTATGAAATCTGGTGACATACGTAACTTGCTTCCAAATGGTTCAGAGAAATAAATGTATGTGTGGATATATACATACATAAAGAAAATAATACAGCCACTATGGTAATTATTTAAGAGTTAAGTTTATAAACAGCACATGAGAGTTACTATATTACATCATCTAGTTTTCTATGTATGTAGTTATTTCATGATGAAAAGTTGTAAAAATTTTCACAACTTATTTTGATATAGAGAATAGAATCAATATACTTTTACTAAGTTTTTAATATAGGAATGTTTTTGTCTTTTATTCATTTGTCTTTTACCTTGCTTACTTATAGCTTGTTCATTGTGAATGTTCGTTCTTTGAATACTTGACTATATAGGATAATTTTTCTTTTTTACTTTTATTTACAGGGGAACCTTTACAAATAGATCACTTGGTTTTTGTAGTTCATGGAATTGGACCAGCTTGTGATCTCCGCTTTCGGAGCATTGTACAATGTGGTAAGTTTGCAAAGCATATAAAATTAGATCATTGAAGGGTCAGTATTAGTGCTCCTGTGAGCTGAGATAAAGCATCGCCTTTGGTCTGTTGTCTTAGCTGTGTAAGAAGATTTATAGAGCTAAAGACTAGTGACAAGGCAGTAAAGCCTCAGAGCTTAGACTTAAAGTGCTAGTAAATTCCTGAGCTAACAGTTTATATTCTTAGCCAGTAATTTTTGAGCGAACAAGCTCTTTAATACTTATACAATTTTCTCATGATGTAAAGTCCTATTTCTAACCATTTCTAATTTAAGGAGAACCATAACAATGATAGTGTTTAAATGAATAACAGAAGTTTTAATCATTTTTGTAATTCATACTGGGATAAGCTATTTGATGTTATAATTGGAAATTTTAAGGTATTAGTATAACTTGATTTTTTAAACGTAATACCCTCTAAATCTTGGTAGTGTTCAAAATCTGCCCCAGTTAGGGGTTTTATTCTACTGACTAATACTTCTAAGCACAAACTAGAATTATATACTTAAAGGTTAAGATCAATATGATGGAAATTTTGAACAACAGTGTAATTTTTTTAGCTTAAATTGTTGGTTAATGATTACTTTTAAAAATTAAAAAGTTAGTATAGGAACATGACTACAAAGTAAACTGATACATAATAGTGTTTGCTTTTTTATGCCAGTTCTGGGGCTTGAACTCATGACCTGGGTACTGTTTGTGAGCTTTTTACTCAAGGCTAGCACTCTTCTACTTGAGTCATACTTTCATTTCTGGCTTTTGGTGGTTAATTGGAGATAAGAGTCTCATGGAGGGGCTGGGAAGGCGGCTCAGGGGTAGAGTGCTTGCCTTGCATGCATGAGGCCCTGGGTTTGATTCCTCAGCACCACATAAGCAGAAAAAGCCGGAAGTGGCACTGTGGCTCAAGTGGTAGAACGCTAGCCTTGAGCTGAAGAGCTGAGGGACAGCACCCAGTCCCAGAGTTCAGGCCCCATAACCAACAACATCAACAAAAAAGAGTCTCATGGACTTTTCTACTTGGGCTGGCTTGAACTGCAGTCCTCAGATCTCAGCCTTCTGAGTAGCTAGGATTACAGGTGTGAGCCAGCTGGCTTTTTTTTTTTTTTTAAACTTGAAACAATTACCATGACATAGAAGTTTTGATATTAGTATTTCATTTGTTGAAATGTTATATGGTGAAAGCAACTTTTATACTAAAGAAATACCTTTTCCTGTATGTAGTCTTAATTTTTCTTGAATATTACTTTATTGTTTGTCACTTTGAATATGTGATTTAAGCAGATGTAATTAGGCAATATATTATTATGTGATTTGCTGCATCCTAATGCATCAGTTAATTTTTTTTTTTCTAGTTAATGATTTTCGCAGTGTTTCCTTGAACTTGCTACAGACACATTTTAAGAAAGCCCAAGAAAATCAGCAGATTGGAAGAATAGAATTTCTTCCAGTCAACTGGCACAGTCCTTTACATTCTACTGGTGTGGATGTGTGAGTAATATCTTGTACCCTCAAATTATGCCTTTGTACCCTGTGATTATAATTGTTTTCTGTTTATTAGGTTTTTTTAAGGATATTTTTGTTATCACTGTATATTTAAAAAATATTTGCTCAAACAGGAAAAAAGGAAAAAATACCTCTCAGAATTAAATTAGTATTAATAATTTGAAATATAATTGATACAATAGAATTTGGTTTAAGCAGTTAGCATTGTTGTCCTTCTTCCAGACATAAGTTCTGTTTGCCTTTGACACCTGGAATTCTTACCTTTTTCTGATTTTAAAAGTTCTGCATTGGGCTGGGAAGGTGGCTCAGTGGTAGAGCGCTTGCCTTGCATGCCAGAGGCCCTGGGTTCTATTCCTCAGCACCACATAAGCAAAAAAGAAAAAAAAAAGCCGGAAGTGGCGCTGTGGCTCAAGGGGTAGAGCGCTAGCCTTGAGCTGAAGAGCTGAGGGACAGCGCCCAGGCCCAGAGTTCAAGTCCCACAACCGGACCCAAAAAAAAAAAAAAAGTTCTGCATTGCCTTTACAACTTGGGCAGGGGTGGGGGGAAGGAGGGAGGCGATGAGGAGGTAGGGAGGGAAGGCATGCTGGGGGAAAAACAAAGGAGGTAACAATGCTCAATAGGAAATGTAGTCATTACCTTACTCATGTATCTGTAGCCCCTCTGTACAGTACTTTTACAATAAAAAGCATATAAAAAATTTCTGCATTGAAGTCAGGTGCTGGGGCTCGCATTTGTAATCCTAGCTACTCAGGAGTCTGAGATCTGGGGATATCAGTTCAAAGCTAGCCTGGACAGAAATGTCTGAAAGCCTTCATTTCATTAACCAACAAAAATGACCGACTGAAGGAATGGCTCAAGTGGTAGAGTTCCAGCTGTGAGTGAAAAAGCTGAGTGTGAGGCCCTGAATTCAAGCCCCAGTGTACACACACACACACACACACACACACACATCCATATTGTCATTATCAGACTTAATTTTTTTTTTTCCATTTGTGCTGTGGATTGGACTCAGGACCTCTCGTTCTGCTTTCTTGTTCACAGTTGAGGTTCTACTGCTTGAGCCATACCTCTAGTTCTCGTTTTTTTTTTTTTTTTAGTTCTCGTTTTTTGTTAGTTAGTTGCAGATAAGAGTCTCTTAGATTGGTGTGCCTGGCTGGCTTTGAACCTTGATCCCCAGATTTCAGGCTCCAGAGTAGGTAAGATTATGGGCCTGAGCCACTGGCACTAGTGCCTGGCTCTTTTTGGCATTTTTGAATCATGGTCTCTGAATGTAGACTATTTTGGTCTCAAATTTAAGATCCTGTCTTGGTTTCCCAAGTTTCCTAAAAATATTCTTATATCATCAGATATCCAATCAGTGTTAAAATGTCCAATTGTCGAATAAAATATATGGCACGCATATATATACATATGCATATTTTAAACTGGGATCCAATTCCTGGGATTTTTCTCCCATATTTCTCTTCTTGTGTTTGTTTTTGCTTTTTGCTGGTCCTGGGGCTTGAATGGGCGCTGTCCTGGTGCTTCTTTGTGCTTAAAGCCACTTTGGGCTTTTTCTGAGTAGTTTATTATAGATAAGAGTCTACTGACTTTTCTGCCCTGGCTGGTTTTGAACTGCAATGCTCAGATCTCAGCCTCTTGAATAGCTAGGATTACAGGCATAAGCCACCAGCACCCAGCTCCCCATATTTTCTTGCAATTTATACTTGAAAAAGCTATGTTGTCTAGTGAGTATTAGTTGAGCCTCACTCCAGTCCTGTCTTCTGTTTTTCCTATATGTTGATCATCTCTTCTATTATTAAATAGCTGAGTCTAAGCTGAGACACCAAACTACATAATAATTTAAATTGGCTGTAGAATGTATTTAGGTTTTCCTGCTTATAATATATTTCTTTTTTCAGAGACCTGCAGCGGATAACCCTACCCAGCATTAACCGCCTCAGGCATTTCACCAATGACACTATTCTGGATGTCTTCTTCTACAATAGCCCCACCTACTGTCAGACTATTGTGGACACAGTAGCTTCTGAGATGAACCGAATATACACACTTTTTCTGCAGCGGAATCCTAACTTCAAAGGGGGTGTCTCTATTGCTGGTCATAGTTTAGGTAACACTTGAATTCTCTGTAACCAGAGAGAAATATCACTTGAAAGGACACTGGCTTTGAAACACGATGTCTTCTATGAGTTTTCTAGATTTACAGATCTAGAAATGGTCTGTGCTGAAGAATTTGGAAGGCATTAGAAGGGTGGTGGTAAATTGAAAAGATACTTTTTTATTGGCTTATGACTTTTTCTTGTATAAAAGGCAATCATTTTGCTGGGTGCTGGTGGCTCACGCCTGTAATCCTAGCTACTCAAGAGACTCAGATCCGATCACGTTCAAAGCCAGCACAGGCAGGAAAGTCCCATCAGACTTTTATCTCCAAATAACCATCAGAAAACCAGAAGTAGCACTGTGGCTCAAGTGGTAGTGTTGGCCTTGAGCTGAAGAGCTCATGGACAGCACCCAGACCCAGAGTTGAAGCCCCACAACTGACAAAAAAAAAAAGAATAAGACAGTTATTTAATGCTAATGCTCAGAAGTTGTTCCTTTCTTCTATTTTACTTGTAGGTTCACTTATATTGTTTGATATCCTAACAAATCAGAAAGATTCTTTGGAGGATATTGACAATAAAAAGGTAATTTAGCCGTTTAGATAGATTCTCTTATAGTATTTCATGGTAAAAATTTTAGATGAATGTTTTTGGCTGAAGTTAGACTCATATCATGATGTTAATTTTACACTTATTTTAACTAATTATTTTACATTCATTTTAACTTTATTTGTCTGACTTTTAACTTTTCTTGACTGATAGAAGCAGGATAGTAATCAGCTTCTACAGATAAGTGTGATATTATAACCTAGCCATAGCTAGTATCTTATTTCCTTCCATAAATAAAGCACTATTGACACATTAATAGAATTGTAGAATCATTAAGCTAATTGGAGTTTGCATGTAAGGAAATGAAGAAAGAATTGGATGATTTACAGAAATTCTGTTTGAAAGCAAAGGGAGGGGGTTTGATGTTTAAACATGTATCTTTTTCTTTTTTTGGTGATACTGGTGTTTGAACTTGGGTTTTGTGTTCTACCAGTTGAGCTATACCTCCAACCTATCTTTTTTTTTTTTGGTGGGTCATGGGGCTTGTATTCAGGGCATGGGTGCTGTCCCTCCTGAGCTTTTTCACTCAAGGCTAGCAGCTGCCACAGTGCCACTTCGAGTTTTCTGGCAGTTACTTGGAGATAAGAATCTCACAGACTTTCTTGCCCAAGCTGGCTTCGAACTGCCATCCTCAGATCTTAGCCTCCTGAGTAGCTAGGATCTGAGCCACTGGCACCTGGCTTACCCTAAACATATCTTTATAAAACAAAGTCCTATGAACATATATCACTGATAGTATTAATTTGTAACTTAGCAAATATGACACTTTTTTTTTTTTTTTTTTTTATTGTAAAGCTACTATACAGAGGGTCACAGTTACATGAGTGAGGTTATGAGTACACTTCCTCTTGAACATTGTTACCCCCTCCATTGTTTTCCCCCTACCATCCCCTCCCTCCCTCCCTTCCCCGAGGTTCTTTTTTTTTTTTTTTTTTTTTGATTGTGATTAAATGATTACATAATTTCAAAGTCACAAGTTCATTCTAACTTCCCTGGAGCAAATTGTCTACCACAGTCTGTAATATATAACAGTGTTCACATGTTATATACCATATTTGTGATCAGCAGCATGAGGATATTTAGTAGTGGTTCAACCAGATGAGCGGGAGTTCTTTGTTTCTTTTTTTTTTTTTTTTTTTTTTTTTCTGGTTATTCAAAGCATTTTGTTTTTTTTTTTTTTTTTTTTTTTTTTTTTTTTATTGTAAAGCTACTATACAGAGGGTCACAGTTACATGAGTGAGGTTATGAGTACACTTCCTCTTGAACATTGTTACCCCCTCCATTGTTTTCCCCCTACCATCCCCTCCCTCCCTCCCTTCCCCGAGGTTCTTTTTTTTTTTTTTTTTTTTTGATTGTGATTAAATGATTACATAATTTCAAAGTCACAAGTTCATTCTAACTTCCCTGGAGCAAATTGTCTACCACAGTCTGTAATATATAACAGTGTTCACATGTTATATACCATATTTGTGATCAGCAGCATGAGGATATTTAGTAGTGGTTCAACCAGATGAGCGGGAGTTCTTTGTTTCTTAAGTCCTGTTAGTTTTGTCGTATCACTAACCTTTTGGATTTAGCATCCACTTATGAGGGAGACCATGTACCGTTTGTCTCTTCGTTCTTGGCTTACCTCGCTCAACATGATTCCTTCTAGCTCCATCCATTTCCCTGCAAATGCCATTATTTTGTCATTTCTAATGGCTGCATAATATTCCATTGTGTATAGATACCACAATTTTTGGATCCATTCATCTGTGGTGGGGCACCTAGGTTGTTTCCATATCCTAGCTATTGCGAACAGTGCTGCAATAAACATGGAGGTGCACGTGTCCTTGTATATTGGTTCCTGTTGTTCAGGGTAGATGCCTAGAAGTGGTATGACTGGGTCGTAAGGGAGGTCAATCTTTAGCTTTCTAAGGACCCTCCAGACTGCTTTCCAAAGTGGTTGTATAAGTGTACATTCCCACCAGCAGTGTAATAGGGTTCCTCTTTCTCCACATCCCCTCCAGCATTTGTCGTTGGCTGATTTGTGGATGTGGGACATTCTGACTGGGGTAAGGTGGTATCTCAGGGTTGTCTTTATTTGCATTTCCTTCACCACCAGGGATGATGAACATTTCCTCATGTGTTTCTTTGCCATTTTTATTTCTTCATTTGAGAAGTCCCTCTTTAGTTCCCTTGCCCATTTAGTAATTGGTTTGTTAGGTTTGGGAGGGATTAGTTTCTTGAGTTCCCTGTATATACAGGATGTTAACCCCTTGTCTGATATATTGCTGGTAAATATTTTTTCCCAATTAGTTGGTTGTCTTTCTAGCTTAGTTGCGATAGATTTAGCTGTGCAGAAGCTTTTTATTTTAAGGTAGTCCCATTTGTCGAGTCTCTCTCCAACTTGTTGTGACCCTGGGACTCTGTTCAGGAAGTTCCTTCCTGTGCCTATTAGTTCAAGTGTCTCTCCTACTCTGTCCTGCAGTAGTTTCAGAGATTCAGGTTTAATGTTAAGGTCTTTAATCCATTTTGAGTTGATGTTGGTGCATGGTGATAGGCTGGGGTCCACTTTTAGTTTTCTGCATGTGGCTGCCCAGTTTTCCCAGCACCAGCGGTTGAAGAGGCTGTGTTTCTTCCATTGTATGTCTTTGGCTCCTTTGTCGAATATCAGCTGGCTGTAGGCCTGTGGATTTATATCTGGATCTTCTATTCTGTTCCATTGGTCTTCGGGTCTGTTTTTGTGCCAGTACCATGCTGTCTTTGTGATTATAGCTCTGTAGTAGAGTTTGAAGTTCGGCATGGATAGCCCTCCCATATTGTCTTTATCCCCTAGAATTGTTTTGGCTATTCTAGGTCTTTTGTTGTTCCATATAAATTTTTGGACTGTTTTCTGTATTTCAGTGATGTACGTCATTGGGATTTTAATAGGAATTGCATTGAATTTGTATATTAATTTTGGAAGTATCACCATCTTTACTATATTAAGTCGGCCTATCCAGGAGCATGGGAGGTCTTTCCATTTCCTAGTGTCTTCTGCAATTTCTTTCTTTAACTTTTTATAGTTCTCATTAAATAGTTCTTTTACATCTTTGGTTAGGTTAATTCCTAAATATTTTATTTTTTGGGAGGTTATTGTGAATGGGGTTGCTCCCTTTATTTCCCTCTCTTCCTGTGCGTTATCAGTGTATAGGAAGGCAACTGATTTTTGTGGGTTTATTTTGTATCCTGCTATTTTGCCGAAGTGACTTATGATTTCTAAAAGTTTGGGGATGGAGTTTTTGGGATCGTGGAGGTATAGTATCATGTCGTCTGCAAAAAGGGATAGTTTCACTTCTTCTTTCCCTATGCGGATCCCTTTAATGTCTTTTTCTTGCCTTATTGCCCTGGCTAAGGGTTCTAGGACTATGTTGAAGAGGAGTGGAGACAGTGGACATCCTTGCCTTGTTCCTGTTTTTAGGAGGATTGGTTGTAGCTTTTCCCCATTAAGTATAATATTGGCTATTGGTCTGTCATAAATGGCTTTTATTGTTTTTAGAAATGTTCCTTCTATTCCTATTTTCTCCAGAGCTTTTAGCATGAATGAATGTTGAATTTTATCAAAGGCCTTTTCTGCATCTGTGGCGATAATCATGTGATTCTTGACCTTGGCTCTGTTGATATGCTGGATTACATTTATTGACTTACGTATGTTAAACCATCCCTGTGTCTCTGGGATGAAGCCTACCTGATCATAGTGTATTATTTTTTTTATGTGTTTCTGGATTCTGTTAGCTAGAATCTTGTTAAGGATCTTTGCATCTGTGTTCATCAAGGAGATTGGCCTGTAATTCTCCTTTTTGGTTGGGTCTTTGCCTGGTTTGGGGATGAGTGTGATATTGGCTTCGTAGAATGAGTTTGGGATAGCTCCCTCCTTCTCTGTTTCTCTGAAGAGCTTGAGGAGTATGGGTATTAGTTCTTCTTTAAAGGTCTTATAGAATTCTGCTGTGAATCCATCTGGTCCTGGGCTTTTTTTTGTTGGAAGACTTTTGATAGCTTCCTGTATCTCATTATAGGATATTGGCTTATTTAATTGGTTAACTTCTTCTTTGCTCAGTTTGGGTAACTTGTATTTCTCTAAAAATGCATCCATTTCCGCCAGATTTTCTTCCTTTAGAGAGTATAGCTTTTGAAAGTAGTCTGTTAGAATTGTTTGGATATCTTGGGTACGTGTTGTGATGTTTCCCGTGGCATCCCTAATCCTATTAATATGGGTTTCCTCTCTTCTTTTTTTAATTAATCTTGCCAACGGGCCATCAATTTTGTTTATTTTTTCAAAGAACCAGCTTTTTGTTTGGTTTATTTTGGTTATGGTTTTCTGATTTTCTAATTGGTTAATCTCTGCTCTCAATTTGGTTATCTGGCTTCGTCTAGTAGCTTTAGGTCCCATTTTTTCTTGTTTTTCTAGCTGTTTTAGTTGCAACATGAGATTATTTACTTGGTCTGTCTCCATTCTCTTGATGTGGGCACTGAGGGCAATAAATTTGCCCCTCAGGACTGCTTTTGCTGTGTCCCACAAGTTTCTTTGTGAGGTGTTTTCATTTTCATTGAGTTCTAGGAAATGCTTTATTTCTTCTCTGATCTCTTCTGTTACCCAGGCCTTGTTAAGGAGTGTGCTGTTCAATTTCCATGTATTAGAGAAATTTCTGCGGTATGCTTTGTTATTGAGAGCTAGCTTGATTCCACTGTGGTCAGATAGGATACAGGGGATTATGTCGATCCCTTTGTATTTGCTTAAGTTCCTTGAATGAACTATGATATGGTCTATTTTGGAGAAAGTTCCATGAGCTGCTGAGAAGAATGTGTACTGTGTTGTTTTAGGGTGAAATACTCGGTAGATGTCAGTTAATTCCGCTTGAAGTATGGCCTCACTTAATTCGGTAGCTTCTTTGCCAATCCTCTGGTTGGTAGACCTGTCCTTTGGTGAGAGTGGCGTGTTAAAGTCTCCTAGTATTATCGTATTGGGATCTATTTTATTCTGTAAGTTTGAGAGCATTTGTTTAACATATCTGGGTGCACCGATATTTGGGGCATATAAGTTGATGATGGTTATATCCTCCTCTTGGATTGTTCCCTTTATTAATATGTAATGTCCGTCCTTGTCTTTCTGTACTGATTTTAATGAAAAGTTTATTTTGTCAGATATCAGGATAGCTACACCTGCTTTCTTATTGGGGGAATTTGATTGGTAGATCCTTTTCCACCCCTTCACTCTGAGTTTGTTTGTATGTTTGGCTGAGAGGTGGGTCTCCTGAAGGCAACAGATGGATGGGTCTTGTTTTCTGATCCAGTCCTCAGTTCGTTTTCTTTTAATTGGCGAATTCAGCCCATTTATATTAAGAGAAAGTATAGAGAGATGCATTGTTGTCCCTGCCATTCCGTTTTCCTAAGTTTTTCTTCTTTCCTTTCCTCCTGTGCTTGCTCAGTTAGACTTTGAGTAATGCCTGTTTGGGGCAGGTCCCAGTTCCTGGTTGCTTTCTTCAGGTTGTGTCCCCCCTCTTAGAATTCTTTGTAATGCTGGCTTAATGTTTATGTATTCATTTAGTTTTTCTTTGCTATTAAAAGTTTTCAGTTCTCCATCGAATGTGAATGCTAGCTTTGCCGGGTATATCAGTCTGGGTTGGCAGTTATTGGCTCTCAGGGCTCGTATGGTGCTTTCCCAGGCTTTTCTTGCATTCATTGTTTGTGTGGAGAGATCTGCAGTGATTCTAATTTTTTTCCCGTTGTAGTATAGCTCCTTCTTCATTTTTGCTGCATGCAGGATTGTTTCCTTATTATTCAGATCCATCATTGTTACTATTATGTGCCTAGAAGTGTTTCTCCTGGGATCTTGCTTGTTGGGTGTTCGATAAGCTTTTGTGATGTAGTTAAGATGGTCGTTTTTGAGGTGGGGAAAATTTTCATTGACTATCTTGTTAAATAGGTGTTGCATTCCCTTGCTCTGGAATTCCTCACCTTCATCCACTCCGATTATGCGAAGGTTAAATTTTTTAGCATTATCTGCTTGCTCTTGAATTTCCCTTTGGTTTAATTTGAGTGATTTTTCCATATCTGTCACTTTTTGGTCCAGTTGGTGTATTCTGTCTTCTGTATCTGACACTCTACCTTCCATTTCATTCACTCTGTTGACCGTGGCTTCTATTGTGGTTTGCATGATGGAAATGGATCCCTTTATGGATTCAATGTTGGTTCTCAGAGTACTGATCTCACCTCTCAATGAGGTGATATCAGTATGCATTACCTCTAATTTGGCGTTTATCTCACTTCTTACTGAGGTTTGTGCAGCTTCTATTTTTGCATCCAATTTTTGTTTGATATCCTGTATATCTTTTGATAGTTCATCCTTGTGCTCTTTCAATTTCTGATCCATTTCTCGCTTTATTTCTTGAGTCATTGCCTCCAGCAACCCTTGGATGTAGTTTTTGTCTTCCATTCCTGCTTTGCTCCCACTGGGGCTCTCCCCTGCGTGGCTGCTGGCTTTTGAGGTGAGCTTGCTGTCCTGGGTAGTGGTAAACCTTGTGATTTTTCTCTGTGATTTTCGCATGGGGGTTCAGGAGACTGCTCTTCAATCTTGTTTTGGTGTGTCTGTCTTTGCTTGGTTGCTGATTCTCTATTGGTAGAGAGAGTCTGTGTCTGATCTGGATTCTGTTGGGAGCCTATTTCCAGCTGCTATTCACTTAGGATTCTCAGCTCTCTGCTGTAGCAATTCCCGCCTTTGGAAGGGTTGAGCAGCCTAGACTGCTTGTGTTTGCTCCTGCGGGTGCTCTTGGGAAGATCAGATGCTCTGGATGCACTCTCCCAAATACTGGAGTCTGCTATGGGCTCCTGATGTGTTTTTGTTTGTTTTGGGCTGGTTGTGGGCTTGAACTCTAGGTTTGGGTGCTGTCCCTCAGCTCTTCAGCTCAGGGCTGGCACCCTACCATTTGAGCCACAGCCCCACTTCTGACCCTTTTTGCTTTGTTCAGGCGCCGGTCCCCTGGCCTGGTTCCGGCCCCAGCCTGGAGCGCGCTCGTTAGGCCTGTGCTAATGTGTATACCACCTTGGTTATGCAGCCTGGAGGACACAGTTCAAATTTCTTCTACTGTTGGTAGTCTTGACCCAGGGGCACTGTTCCTGGCTTGAGCATTTAAGCTCCCTTCCCGGGGCGCTCTTGCTCTGGCCTGGCCAGCAGAGTGTGCTCCACCGGCTGGTGGGGCTCTCGAACAGTTCCCAGTTTTAGTGGGTCCTGTGGTCCGGGTGTTGGGGTAGGGAGTCTAGGTCAGGGTCTGGGGATTCCCTCCAGCTCTGGTCTCCCTTGATGGATTCCCTGTCCCCTGATGGGTACTCACCCTGTAGGTCGTCAGTTGTTGTTGCAGTCCGTCAGTTGTTGTTGCAGTCCGAGTTCAGTTGGGGTGGTTGCGGGCTGGGTTGGGCGGCCCCCCGCCGGGTCGTTGCGATCGCGACAGGTCCCTTTATGGCGCTGCTGGTGCCGGGCGGCTTTGGCGGGATGGAGCCTCTCCGCTCCGGTGGAGAGTGATGGGTGGGGTGGGATCCTCCTGGAGACTCCCGGCTGGTAGGTTTCTCTGTTCCTGGCGATCCGCTGTTCTGCAATCCGGTACCTGGTGATCTGCAAGCAGCCCCCTGTGTCTCTGTGGCTCCGGCAGCCCCTGCCGGGCCGGCTGGCCGGCGGCTTGGCGCACTGCCGCGCGGCCAGTAAAGGTTGGGGGAGGGGTCTTCGCTCTTCTCTGTTCTGAAATTCTTCTTTTCCTCTCTTTCTTTTTTTGTTATTTTCCACCTCTGGTTTTTCTCTGAGTGTTCGTCTTTTTGTTGTTGTCGGTCTCTTGGGGAGATTAAAGGTTGGAACTCGAACTCTCTTTTTGGTTGGAGAGAGCTGTGGCGTTTCCCTACTGCCCCGTCGCCATCTTCAAATATGACACTTTTTAAGTGTTGTGTTTTTCCTGTTGGACCTTGAGTTTTTCTAGATAAGGGCTTTTTTTTTTTTTGGGTCTGGTCGTGGGGCCTGAACTCTGGGCTTGGGCGCTGTCCCTCAGCTCTTCAGCTCAAGGCTAGCGCTCTACCACTTGAGCCACAGCGCCACTTCTGGCTTTTTTTCTTTTTTGCTTATGTGGTGCTGAGGAATCGAACCCAGGGCCTCAGGCATGCAAGGCATGCACTCTACCACTGAGCCACCTTCCCAGCCCCAAGATAAGGGCTTTTTGTCAGTAAATGCTTGTTAGTGGTGATGGAACATCATTTACTCATTCATGTAAAAATACGTTTTTAAAGCTAGGTGCCAGTGTCTCATTCCTGTAATCCTAAATTCAAGAGGCCGAGAGCTGAGAATTGGGGCTCAGATCCAGCAGGGGAAGACAAGTCTTAACCAACACAAAGCTGGAAGTATACATTGGCTACAGGGGTAGAGCACTAGTTTTGAGTGGAAAAAATAAAGCAAGAGCATGAGGCCTTGAGTTCAAAGCCTAGTACTGCCACACACAAAAAAGTATTTTTAGTTGGAACTGCAAAAATTTAGAGATCATTCTTCATTTGCATTTGTATAACATTTAATATTTAAAGATGTAGAGGCTGGGAAGTTGGCTCAGTGGTAGAGTGCTTGCCTCACATGCATGAGGCCCTGGGTTCCATTCCTTAGTACCACATAAGCAGAAAAAAAAAGCCAGAAGTGGTGCTGTGGCTCAAGTGATAAGGTGATAGCCTTGAGCTAAAGAGCTGAGGGATAGTGCCCAGAGTTTAGCCCCCACGACTGGCCCACCCTCCCCCCCAAAAAAAGATGTATTACCATGAGAATTTTATATACTGTATTTTATAAAGTAAAATGGTATTTATAAAAGAAATAAATTTTGAGGATATGAGATTTATGATTTACTTTATAGGGTTCACCCTCTACCGTTATGGATCAAGGAGATACACGAACACTAGAGGAAGATTTGAAGAGACTTCACCTCTCCGAATATTTTAGTATCTTTGAGAAGGAGAAAGTAGATAAGGAAGCTCTGGTAACAATAATCTTTTAAAATTTAGTGTCAAAGCATTTTCTGTATTTTCATGTGTATTACTAAGGACCTGCTCATTAGAAACATTAGTCATAAATTCTTTTTTTAAATTTTTATTTATTTCTTATTGTGAAAATACTGTACAGAGGGGTTTAGTCATAAATTCTTTATCATTAATACTATTCTTTATCATTGTTTATTTTCTTTTATCATATAAAGTGATCTTTGCTATGTGGCAGTTCAAAGTTTAGATGAGCCATATTGAGATGATTTCGCAATTATATATCAGTGGAACAAAGTCAGACTAAATAGTGCAGATTAGTGAAAACAGAAGGGCTAGAATAAGCCGAGCCTAGTGGCTCATGCTGTAATCCTAGCTACTCAGAAGGCTGAGATCTGAGAATTGCTGGGCAGAAAAGTCCATGAGACTCTTATCTTCAATAAACCACTCAGAAAACTGGGAGTGGCACTGGGGCTCAAGTGGTAGAGAGCTAGCCTTAAGCTGAAGAGCTGAGGGACAGCGCCTATGCCCAGAGTTCAAGCCCCATAACCGACAAAAAAAAAAAAAAAAAAAAAAAAGCTGAAACAGTTAATCACTTAAGGCCGCATTCTTTTTTTTTTTTTTTTTTTGTCAGTCGTGGGGCTTGAACTCTGGCTGTCCCTCAGCTCTTCACCTCCAGGTGAACACTCTATCACTTGAGCCACAGCACCACTTGTGGCTTTCTGAGTGGTGTATTGGAGATAAGAGTCTCATGGATGTTCCTTCCTGGGCTGGCTTTGAACCCCGATTCTCAGATCTCAGCCTCCTGAGTAGCTAAGGATTACAGGCGTGAGCCACTGGCGCCAGGCTTATTTCAGGTCTTTATTGTACATATCTAGAGCTGTTGTTGCTGTTTGCTTATTAGTTCTTTTCCAACTTTAGTTATGTTCTTTTCTGGTTTGTGATACAGACATTCACTTAACAGGTATTTAGTAAATGCTTATTTACTATGACTAGCATACTGTGTCAAGTACTGAGGATAGACTAGTAACAACACAGACATGGTTCCTGACCTAAAAGGTTTTGTATTTCACTGGGGAAGACACATTACATAATCACAAACATAATCACAGCTATGAGAACTAACAGGTACACAGTAGCATAAAAATGATTAATAAGATCAATTAACCATGTCTTGAGAAGGCAAGGGAAGTCTTGCCTATAAGATATATGCTACTTAAATTGAGAGTTTAATTGTTACGCTTCTGTTTTTGTTGTATATTCTCACTGCCTGTGTCCATTAGTAGGAGTATAATCCTTAGGAAGGTGATATTTTAAGTGAACGTGGAAATCCAACATGGTTTTCCAAGTCACTAGATGCCTAGCTTTCCTAGACTTGTTTATTTTTTTAAACAAAACCACAATGTTATTTATATTACAAAATTGATTCTTCCTACTCATATATATGTTATGATCAAAACAATCAAGCTATTAATGACATCGTACCACTAGAGAGTCAGAGCAATTTGGAGTAAAGAACAACAAAGTGCCTAGGACTTGGACTGCAGATGTTGCTCAATTACCAGCCATGAGAATAAAAGCTCAGGCATAGCACCCAGGCCCTGAGTGCAAACCCCCAGGATGGGCATGTACATAGACACACACATACACAGATGCCAGACAAGAGCACTAGACCCTGAATTCAAACCCCAGAACTAGCATCAAACACCGTCTCCCCCCCACCCCCCCACCCCACCCCCCCGCAAAAAAAGTAAGCAATGTGCCTAGGTTTTATTTCTCTCAGGGAATAGGACATTTAATTGATTTTATTTTGCCTAGAAATAAGATAGTTTGGTTTTCTGTGATTAGGCTTTATGTACAGACAAAGATCTTCAGGAAATGGGAATTCCCTTAGGACCAAGAAAGAAGTTACTAAACTATTTTGGGACCAGAACAAGTGCAATGGTATGTATATATTATGACTTGTTTTTTTTACTAAACAATTTTTTGACATATATAGTGTGTACCTTTATGTTTTGTGTGGTGTTTATTTGGAGAGCTAAACAGGTTTTTGTTTTCTTTACAGTGGGGCCTCGATGTATTGCTCTGCCTGTCCTCAAACTCCTGTTCTTTTTTCTTTGTATGTGAAGGTACTGGAGCTTGCACTCCATGCTTCACACTCTAACTTTTTCACTCAAGGCTGGCATTCCACCACTTGAGCCACACCTTCACTACCTGGGCTTTTTTTTGTCGGTCTTGGGGTCTGAGCTCTGGGCCTGGACGCTCTCCTTCAGCTCAAGCTTGCACTCCATGCTTCATGCTCTAGCTTTTTCACTCAAGTCAGGCTTTTTTTTTTTTGGTCTGGTCGTGGGGCGTGAACTCTGGGCCTGGGCACTGTCCCTCAGCTCTTCAGCTCAAGGCTAGCGCTCTACCATTTGAGCCACAGTGCCACTTTTGCCTTTTTTTTTCTGCTTATGTGGTGCTGAGGAATAGAACCCAGGGCCTCATGCATGCAAGGCAAGCGCTCTACCACTGAGCTACTTTCCCAGCCCTTCATTACCTGTTTTTTGGTATAAAGAGTCTCAGAATTTTCTGCCTCAACTAGCTTTGAACCTTGATCCTCAGATCCTTGATTCTCCTGAGTAGCTAGGATTACAGATGTGAGCCACTGGTGCCCCACTCAAACTCTTGGTCTTTAAGTAATCCTTCCATCTCAGCCTCCCGAGTACCTGGGACTACAGGTGCATACCACCATACCTGGCTAGCGCAAAGTTTGGATCATTGATTTATTTTTTTTTTTAGGTTCTTTTAGAAGTCAACTACATTTTCTTTATCCATATCCTTAAAAATGGTATGTTTTGAAGTCTTAGCTCCTCATGACTCCTATCATTTATACATACATACATACATACATACATATATATATATATATATATATATATATATATTTTTTTTTTTTTTTTTTTTTTTTAGAATAGCTTTCTTTTTTTGGGGGGGAGGGTCCAGTAGTGGGGCCTGAACTCTGGGCCTGGGCGCTGTCCCTCAGCTAGTGTTCTACCACTTGAGCCACAGCGCCACTTCTGGCTTTTTTTTTTTCTTTTTGCTTATTGGTGCTGAGGAATTGAACCCAGGGCCTCATGCATGCAAGGCAAGCACTCTACCACTGAGCCACCTTCCCAGCCCCTAGAATAGCTTTCTTGAGATGTAACTCACACCTTATACCATAAAATACATCCCTTTAAAGTATATTGTAGGTTTTAGTATTCTTAGATTTTTTTTTTTTTTTTTTTGGTCCGGTCGTGGGGCCTGAACTCTGGGCCTGGGCGCTGTCCCTCAGCTCTTCAGCTCAAGGCTAGTGCTCTACCACTTGAGCCACAGCGCCACTTCTGGCTTTTTTCTTTTTGCTTATGAGGTGCTGAGGAATTGAACCCAGGGCCTCAGGCATGCAAGGCAAGTGCTCTACCACTGAGCCACCTTCCCAGCCCCAGTATTCTTAGATTTTTATAACCATTACCACTGTCTAATTTCAGAATATTTCCAATACCCTCAGAGGAAATCCCATACTAATTTGTAGTCACTCCCCATTTGTCCTGCCTCTAGCCTCTATCAGTCACTAGTCTGTTTTCTATCTGTGATTTCTCTTATTTTAGGCATTCCATATAAATGAAATCATATAATATGTAGCCTTTTATGGCTGGCTTGCATGTAGTATAGTGTTTTCAAGGTTTGTGTTGTAACTATACTTTTCTATGTTCAGTTAAAATTCTTTCCATATCTTAATAATTAACTTTTTTCAACATTTTTTTTTTTTTGTAGCTGGCTCAATTCTATTTTAAGTCCCAATTCCTTGGTCTAGTTTGTAATAGATTCTGTACCCATAGCAACATCTTACTTGTCTTGGTTCGAGAGGCACAGCATTTCAGAGAACTCCTCAACATTTCTTTTAGTGTTCTGTTGTTTTCTTTCATGGTGGTTGCCTGAAGATTCAACTGCTGCCTAAATAGCACACAGGAATGTCTGTTATAATGAAAGGGAACCTTATTTGTTGCCACTTAAAATTTCTGCACACACCCTTTTAAAGCAGAGAAACCTGTATAAGACTTTGGCTATTTTACTATATAGTAGCACACTTAACTATTCTTTATTCTTTAGGGTATTAATAGACCAACACAATCTGCTTCTGAGGTTAATAGCCCCAAAGGATCTGAATTCTGCAGCAGTTCTGATAGCAGAAGTGATGACTATCTAGATGTTGGCATTGGGCAGGTAATTCTCTTTGGTCATGTTTTTTTTTCTTGTTACCATTTGTATGGTAGAAACAGATGTAACTTTTGTTTTTAATGAGAGATGTTCTTGTTTTGTTCTTTCAGGTGTCTGTAAAATATCCCCGGCTCAAATATAAACCAGAAATATTCTTTGCCTTTGGGTCACCTATCGGAATGTTCCTTACTGTTCGAGGACTAAAAAGGATTGATCCCAACTACAGATTTCCAACATGCAATGGTTTCTTCAATATTTATCATCCTGTAAGCATTGTACAGCTGTCATGGTTTTTCTGAATATTAGAGCTTATTGGTAAATAGCATGTGACTTTACATTGTTTGATTCATTTTAGTCTAGTCTAATAATGGAACAACTAATTGTAATAGTATTGACCTGTAAATGATGGGGCAGAAGAAGCATTCTTTTTTTTTTTTAAGCTTATGATATTCTTTTTATTTTTTGGTAGTACTAGAATGTCGACTCAGCGTGTTGCCCTTGCTAGGCAGATACTCTATGTCTTGAGCCTTGCCACACCTCAAGCTTATAATTACTCTGACCTAAGTGACACAGTTTCTCAGACTTTGTTCAGCAGGGATAAATAGAGCTGTTTTTGTTTTTTTTTCCCCCTCAATGTAGTTTGATCCTGTGGCCTATAGGATTGAACCAATGGTAGTTCCCGGAGTAGAATTTGAACCAATGCTGATCCCACATCATAAAGGCAGGAAGCGAATGCACTTAGGTAAGTCTGCATGTGGAACTTGATAATTCTAGACTTGGCTGATATGAACTACATGGACTTCATTCATTTTGTCTTGCTATGTTGTCTTGTATACCATTTGATATTCTTTATATGTTTCAGAACTGAGAGAGGGCTTAACCAGGATGAGTATGGATCTTAAGAACAACTTGCTAGGTTCACTGCGGATGGCCTGGAAGTCTTTCACAAGAGCTCCATATCCTGCCTTACAAGCTTCAGAAACAGCAGAAGAAACTGAAGTAGAATCTGAGTCAAGTTTGGAAAAGTCCAGTGGTCAGTGACACTGCACACATTGATTATTGGTATCAGGCCAAATAACTCCACGATGTGGAGTTCTTACACCTATAATATTCTTTTCCCTTTATGTGAAGTGCAGTCAATCTTCAATTCTGCTCACCTTAACTATTATAGTAATAACCATAAATTGTAATAGGATATTATATGTGAGAAAAAATGTCAAGAGAAACTTAACTAGGCTTGAAAATGTTCCCCACTTTGGAACAACGGGAGTGATGTGAAGAGTCTGCTCCATGAAATCCCTTGTTTTTATAGGATAAATGTCTGTATATTTGTGGGTCACTTTTATTTTCCTGTCTGGGGAATAGCTGGAATGTTGCCTGTTCAGTTTCACTTTTAGTTTGCAATTTCCCAAAGAGCTTTGTCCCTGCTTACATCCAGCTTAGCAGAATGATTTAGCTATTGCTGGTGCAAGTAATGGGATATGTTGAGAACACATCCACAAAAAAAAAAAACAAAAAACAATTGGGCAATATTAGCAAGAACTTTAGGGAAGAAAATGCAAGGGAAGAGAGCTTTCTGAATAGAGTGTCTCATCATAAGGTAAACTTGTAATCTGCTGGGAAGTAACATGAAATCCTGCAGACTTAGGTTCTTACAGTGGCTCTCCTGTATTTAGATGTTAACACCGAAGAGCCCCCTGTGGCAGTGAAAGAAGACCCCCCCATCAATGTGGGAATGCTTAATGGAGGCCAGCGCATAGACTATGTTCTACAGGAGAAACCTATTGAAAGTTTTAATGAATATTTATTTGCTTTACAAAGCCACCTATGTTACTGGTGAGTTTTGATTATTTGCTTTGTTGTCTTTCAGTGTTGACAATTGATTTGTTTTGTTTTTTGTCGGTTGTGGGGCTTGAACTCTGGGCCTGGGCGCTGTCCCTGAGCTCATGGGGAGCACTCTACCACTTGAGCCATAGTGTCACTTCCAGACTTCTAAGTTTTTGTTTTGTTTTGTCAGTGTTGGCAATTGAACCCAGAGTCTCACACATGCCAGGCAAATATTTTGGCACTGAGCCATACTACCAGCCCCTTTTTTTTATTTACTGGAGCTTTTTTTTTTTTGGCCACAGCTCAACTTCTGGCTTTTTGTTAATTAATTGGAGATGAGAGTCTCATGGATTTTCCTGCCCACACTGGCTTCCAACCATAATCTTCAGATCTTAGCCTCTTTTCTATTTCTCTCCCTCCCCTACCCTCTACTTTCTCCTCTCTCTCATTCTCTCTCCTTCTCTCTCTTACTCCCTCTCTCTCCCTCTCCCCCTCTCTCTCTCTGTCTCTCTCTGTCTCTCTCTCTCTCTTTCTTTGTGGGTGCCCAGTACTGGGGCTTGAACTCAGTTCTTCTCACTCAGTTTTCTTGCACATAGCTGGCACTTTACCATTTGAGCCACACTTCCAGTCTGGCATTTACTTGGTTAATTTAGATGTAGTCTCATCGACTTTTCTGCCTGTGTTGTCTTTGAACCATGATTCTTAATATCTCAGCCTCCTGAGTAGCTAGGATTACAGGTATGAGCCACCAGGGCCTGCCTTTTCTTTTTTCCTTCCTTCCTTCCTTCCTTCCTTGGCTTGAACTCAGGGCCTGAGCACTGTCACTAAGCTTCTTTGCTCAAGGCTAGGGCTCTCTACTATGTGAGCCATAGCACCACTTCTGGCTTTTCCTGTTTATGTAGTATTGAGGAATTGAACCCAGGGCTTCATGCATGCTAGGCAAGCGCTCTACCACTAAGCCACATTCCCAGCCCTGTTTTTGTTTCAGAGTCTTGGCATATAGCTCAGGTTGGCCTTGAACTTACAGTCCTCTTGCCTCAGTCTCCCAGGTGTTAGGATTATAGGCATGTGTTACTATGCCCACCTTGTTTCTGTCTTTTTCTGTGTTCTTTAATTGTTTTACAAATATTTGGTAGATGCCAGGTGGCTCATGCCTATAATCCTAGTATGGGCACAGAAAGTAATCTAAATTGATCTATAGATGAGCGACAAATACCAGTCTTAGCAAATGTCTTTGTAGAAATTAATAAGTTAATTCTAAAATATACTGGAAAATACAATAGCCAAACCTTGAATAAAAATATGACAGCTAGGCGCTGGTGTTCATGCCTGTAATCTTAGCTACTCAGGAGGCTGAGATCTGAGGATCACAGTTCAAAGCAAGCCCAGGCAGGAAAGACTGTGAGACTCCTATCTCCAATTAGCCACCAGAAAACTGAAAGTGGTGCAGTGGCTCAGAGTGGTAGAATGCTAGCCTTGAGTGGAAAAGCTATGGACAGCAACCAAGCCCTGAGTTCAAGCCCTACGACCAACAAAACAAAAAAATGACATATTTACATTACCTGAATTCAAAGTTTATAAGACCACAATGACCCAGATGGTGTTTTATTGTCATAAAGACAAATAGCTTGAACTCAGTCTCTCACTTCGCTCAAAGTTGGCACGTATACTACTTGAGCCACAGCTCCACTTTAGTTTTTTGTTGTTGTTGTTGGGTTTTTATTGGTCGGTGGTGGGCCTTGAACTCTGGGCCTGAGCGCTGTCCATCGGCTCCTCAGCTCAAGGCTAGTGCTCTACCACTTGAACTACAGCGCCACTTCCAGTTTTCTGGTGGTTTATTGGAGATAAGAGTTTCACGGACTTTCCTGCCCATGCTGGCTTTGAACGGAGATCCTCAGATCTCAGCCTCCTGAGTAGCTAGGATTACAGGCGTGAGCCACCCCACCCAGCTCACTTCATGTGTTTTTGATAGTTAATTGGAGATAAGAGTCTCAGACTGGACTGGGAAGGTGGCTCAGCGGTAGAGTGCTTGCCTTGTGTGCATGAGGCCCTGGGTTCAATTCTTCAGCATCACATAAGCAGAAAAGGCCAGAAGTGGCACTGTGGCTCAAGTAGGGTGCTAGCCTTGAAGGCTGAAGAACTCCCGGATAGCGGCCAGGCCCAGAGTTCAGGCCCATGACCAGCAAAAAAAAAGAAAAGGAAAAATAGAGTCTCAGACTTCCTCCCCAAACTCTCTTTGAAGCTCAATATTAAATCTCAGCCTCATGAGCAGCTAGGATTACAGGTATGAGCCACCCACCAGCAGGCAGCTTTAATTGCATTTTATCTATAGAGAGCTGACATTTTAATAATTCTGAGTGTTAGACTGAGTTTTCTGGGCCATAAATGTGTCTTTCATTAGACCATCTTTAATTTCTGTTAGTGATATTTTATAGTTTTTAAATATACATATCCCATGTACACTATAAGTTTTAATTGTATTCCTTTTATGAATAAAATTGAGCCTCTTGTCATTTTAATTTCCTTTTCTAGGTGTTATCTACATCCTTTACTTCATATTGACAGTATTGGATTGAGTACTGTATTTTCCTCAGTTTGTATTCTGGTATTAACAATATTGGTTTTTGCCAAGTAAAAAACATAATTTTTACTTTGGTCTTTGCTTTCTGGTCTTTATAATTTGTGTCTTCCTTATTAAAAAAATCTTTATAGTTTATTGTAATGTTTTATAGCTTAAATTTATCTTAATAATGATTAAGGATAGATCTAGGTCATGTCTTTTTCTCAGTTGTTTCAACACTATTAATAGATTTGATATTGTTAAACTACTATACCTAATGGGACTATGTCTGAAAAGTCCTTTTTTTGGGGGGGGGGGCAGTCTTGGGGCTTAAACTCAGGGCCTAGGCACTGAGCTTCTTTTGCTCAAGGCTAGCACTCTACCACTTGAGCCATAGTGCCACTTCTAGCTTTTTCTGTTTTTATGGTACGGAGGAATTGAACCCAGGGCTTCATGCATGCTAGGCACGCTGTCTATCATAAGTCACATTCCCAGCTCTGAAAGTCCTTTTTTATTGATCTGTTTATATACAAATTTATCTGGTATACCTAATTTTCTCTTGTTGATTTAGGAGTTTCTTGGGATCTGTGTTTGGAGTTTGGGGGTGGGATGGACGGTAGTCTATAAAACCACTGAAATCCAGTGTGTAGTTCTGATTAAATAAATATATTTTCTCTTTCTTGGACAGAAGTTTATAGACCTCATTAGATTCTTAAATTCATGACCCAAAATGAACCATAGATCTAGAGAAATGTTTAAGCTTTATGTCTGTAAGGCAGTGCTTGTTTCCAGACATGCTAGAGTTCTAGCATGTTAGATCACTTTCCAAACCATTGCTAATTATGTCACCTCTGGATTACATATTTTTGGAGTAGTGAAAAATGTGCTTCAAGGCAATTGTATGGAGTAAAATAATACATGCAAAGCATTCAGCAGATATTCATTCTGTCCTTTTTCAACATAAGGTTTTCCTTTTACAGGGAGTCTGAAGATACAGTATTGTTGGTTCTCAAAGAGATCTACCAAACCCAGGGTATCTTTCTTGATCAGCCCTTACAATAAAATGATCCATCTATAGTTGTTTAATGTAAGTTGGTTTTTTTTTTTTCTCCCCAGTACAGGGTTTGAATTCAGGGCTGTTAATTAGCTTATTCACTCAAGGTTGGTATTCTACCACTTGAGCCACAGCTCAGCTTCTGTTTTTGTTTTTGATTTTTTTGGTGGTTATTGGAGATAAGAGTCTTACAGATTTTCCTGCCCAGGCTGACTTCAAACTGAAATTCTCAGATCTTAGCCTCCTGAATAGCTATGATTATAGGTACAAGCTGCCAGCACTTGGTTTAATGTAAGTTTTAAAATGTCATGTATGCAGTATAGTGCTTACATGTTAACATGTTAAAAGGAATTGTGGAGCCTTAAGCTATTGTTCACTAGAGACTGGTTAAACTTTAGAGAAAGTGTTCAACTGCCCACTTAACAACATTGTGCTTGGGATTTTGTCTAATGACATCTTTTAAGATTTAAACTTAGAATCTTAACAGTTTTGATTATCCAAGAGTTACTCTGGCAAGTAACAGTGGATAGCCCATTCTGAGCTTTATAATACTCACCCTCTCTGATGTGAAACAAGAAAGCCTGTAGCATTTTGTATTGTTGCTGGTTGCCTCCGGTTGTGACTGCGTGACCTCTTCTACTCTTTCCCTAGATGGACCTTGAGGGGTCCTTCCCCTGAAAACCCACCTGTTCGTTGCTGAAATGTTCTCCTCAGCTGCATCATTTCCTGCATGTTGTCTGCTCGTTATGCACCATGTCTTTGGAAGATGATCTCCCTTTTTGGAATTGAGTGGAAAGGCAAGGGGAAGATGCTATTTCCATTTTACCACCGACTTCAAGTGTTTACTTGCCACTCTTTATGGGGGCATTTGAATCATCTAATTCTCCGGTGATACTAGGTGCCACACTTCTTGCTGATCTCATGAGATGGAATATGGTCTATTTTTTATTAGATTGGTTTAGGGTTGGTTAGTTGTTTTTTTTTCAAGGAAATTATTGCTTATTTTTAGAAAATGATATTCTAATTTGGGAGCAGAGTCTTGAAATACTGAAGGCATTTAAAGGTACACTTACCTGTTTTGGGGGGGTTTTTTTTGCACTGAATGCTAAATCTAGGTGGGTATCGAGGAAGGCTACTAGGTTTACCTTGTTTCTTTCCTTCATGTTTATGACAAGATAGACTGGAATGAAGCTGGATAAGAATTTTTTTTTTTTTTCCTGAGACAGGATCTTGCTATGTTATGTAGCCCAGGTTGGCATTGAAGCTGTAATCTCCTGCCTCAGCTTTCCTGGTGCTAGGATTACAAGTGTGAGCTACCATGAAGAACATTATTTACACTCTTAGAACTGGACTACTGCTAGGGAAACTGACACTATTCATTGTTTTTATGACTGAGCTGCTATAAGTCTAAAGTGGAGAATTTAATTTACAGTAGGTACATCTGTATAAAGCAATGATGTTATCTATTATAGACGTCCCATTTATACCATACTTCAAATTGTGGGATTTGGGGTGAGATTTTAGGTAGTTCTTTGATAACACTTGTATTCTTGTGTTGAGGGTGAAGTTGTAAAAGCTGATGAACATGACATTGCATGGCCTTTACTGGCTACTTAGGTTATAAATGAAATCTCTAGGGGGTATCTTGTGAAACAGTTGAAATCACCTACCAGTCCCACTTGGATAAAGGTGGTACTGTGATGTTTACTTCAAAAACATTTTGTAAGTATCAGTACCATTAAGCAGAATGCTTATTTGAAAGGCTGTGGGCACAGGCAGTGTTAGTTGAGCAAATGCATCTGACTAGGAGGACATACCTATTCTGAAAAAACCCCGACCCTATGCCTGTAAGTTCCAGGAGCAGCTACCACAGTTACTGTCAGTGAAGAGCATGCACAGTGAGATTTACCTTGCAGAACACAGGTGACTATAGGCTAAACTTTTTCCTAAGCATCTGCTCACAACTTTGCTGTAGGTATTTCTTCCCTTTAGCAGCATTTATTGTCATTCAGTTCTCTTTATGAGCCCTTTAGGCCTCCTCTTGGATTTCCAGAGATTCAAGTGGCAGAAGTAGGCAACCTATATTTTGTAATTTATAAAATATTTTGGCCAATGTATCATGGTATCCAAAGCACTGGTATTAATAGTCACTGAAGCCATCCCTCAGATAGTAATGGTCTTTAGCTTTTTCTGTATAGACAAGGAGGTTAATTATTGTCACCATGTTTATGGAGGAGAGGGTTAGGTAACAGGCAAGCCTGGCCTTTCCTTATCATCTGCATATGGACTAAATGCTGAACAAGTAAGCTGCTAAGTTTCAGATAAACGGAATTCCTTATTTTTATTATTATATAAATTCTGAGTAAGAGTTTTGTCAAGCTGATGTCTTCAACTAGTTGTTTAAGAATAAACCAAAGGACAACTAAGAGTTGAGTCCTGTAACGTAACCAAAGATGGACAGCTTAACACCCGCAGAACTAAGGGAACCACTGGAGTGGAATGGAAGGCTCCTTTCCTGGTGGTTAATATCTCATCCTTCTACTAGTGGAATTCTGGCTGCATAGTACACACATTAATAAGCTCAATTGAAGTTCTTTATTTAGTCATGCATCATTTGCACTGCTTCACTTGTATCATGTGCAATCTCTGACCAAGCCTATTTTTAGACTCCAATGTAACATTATTTTTTACGTACTCCTAGCTGCAGAATTAAGATTGTTTATTTCAATAAGTCACTGTTTGCTTGGAAAGTTGATAGCACTGATTAGCTTTCTAATATTTTGCACTTTTGAAGTGTTTGTTTTTTACGTGATTATATACAAAACTTTAGTAAATACTAAAATAAAACTGTATTGACTAGTTGCCTAGTTTTGCTTGGCCTCATTTATCACAAGGAAAATTAGTGCAGTAACTATTTGCTTCTCTTATGTCTTACCAAAATAAGTTTACAGTTTCAGGCAAAGAACTAATACTAAGTTATGTTCCCACGACTAGTATTTTCATTGTCATAGGCAAATATAGTTCAAAAGTTAAAGTGTGGAAATTACAAGGTCAATTCAGAAATGGTCCTTCCGTTCGTATAAATGCCAACTAGTGCTACAGAGAGCAGGTTGATCACTTATGTGTGATGGGGCGCCAGTGTTCACAGTCCAGCCCTACAGCAGTACTTTAAAAAAAAGTACATATTCACCATTTATTTGAATATCATGTTGACTTAAAGAAGATGCATTGAACGTATCCTGTAGAAAGATAAGCGTAAGACAAAATCATATTTAAAGTATAGTTACAAAAGAGAAAGGCAGTGATAGATCCTACAGTATTGCTCTCATAATGTAACACAGTTGTTCCTTAGGAGAAGACAGGAAAAGATGCGCAGAGTCTTCCACATAACAAATGGTCCACTGGCAGAGTTGACTCTGGCTAGAAATTGAGCACAGTTCAGAGACAAATGAGGTAGAATTACCTGGGAGTGCTGAAATCACAGTCCTCACCATTTTTTTCACTGTGTTCTCATGGTAATTCAACAAAATGGAAAACAGTATCAGATGTCTGGACTTGATAACATAGGTTCAGCAGTGGAGCATCAACCAAAATTGGACATTTTCTCCCTTAAAGCTTGATAGAATTATCACTAGAGAAAGTAAACAAATTCAAACTTCAGTTGATTAGGCCCCAGAGTTTAAGACTTCAAGTTATGAAAAACAGAAATTGTTTCAGTGATTTTTAACTCCAGCTTCTAGGATAAAGTGGTGCTATGTAGTCTGTTTTGTGACAAGATGCTTCTAAGAGCAAGCATTGAGATTGAATGGAAAAACAGGATTTGGGGATGCCAGTCTGATGGACCAGACGTTGGAGAACTTGTGGCGTTCAGAGGTGGAGAATGGCCTGGAGTCTTCATGATAGATCCATGTGAAGTAGGGCAAAGTGCATAACAGAAGGCCCAATACAGTAGGCTGTGTCATCTGTACCTTGGAAGGAGTTAAAAGGCCAGAAATTCCTGTCTTGTGTATGGTTGTTAGGAGGGGTGATTCATCTGTTCTCCACTGAGATAAATTCGACTTTTAAATATCCATACAGTAAGGAATACCAGGTTTCTTCTGAGCAGTGGGAAGCATGTGTTTTTCCTGAAGTGGTTTATCACATTCCACATCAGTCAGAGGAGGGTAATACTGCCTGTAGCACACATAGGCAAGTGTCATTCCAATCATGGACCCAACTAATACATCTGAGGAGAGAAGAAATAAAATCTTTTTGTAGTCAATTAGATTCTTCAATCATATTTAGATGCCACATAATATTAAACAACTTGATCCTTGAGGATACTATATGTATAGGAGCTGAAAAAGCCTCAACTCTACATTTATGGTTTCTTTAGGCTTTCTTAAATGTATCGTTTGTGTTACAAAGTACTCAGTAAAAACACTTTTAAAGCTGGATGCTGGTGGCTCACACCTGAAATCCTAGAGGCATGGTTCAAAGCCAGTCTAAGCAGGAAAGTCCAGGAGACACTTATCTCCAATCATACACTGTGGCACTGTGGCTCAAGTGGTAGAATACTATCCTTGAGCAAGAAAACTCAAGAGACAGCACCAGGCCCTGAGTTCAAGCCCCAGGACTAGTTTAAACAAACAAAACCCCCCATACCTTTAGTCAGTAATTGTTGTTCAAAGTGGACTAAATTAATTTTAATTCAGAAGAATAACAAATGTTCTTGTAGTGCTATTCATTGACCTGTTTTCACCATTTCAAGAGTTCTGGCCGGGCATGGTGGCACAGCCTGTAACCTAATACAGGTGGCTGAGGCAGGAAGATTGAGAGTTTGAGGCTAGCATAGGCTACAGTCAGGCTCAGGAGTTACCTCTCATTTCTTTTTTTTTGGCTGATTCTGGGGTTTCAACTCAGGGCTTTCTTGCTCAGCTTGTCTGCATGACTGGCACTCTACCATTTGAGTCATGCCACTAGCCTGGCTTTTTGATTAACGAGATGCAACCTAGTGAGTGTTCCTGTCCTGGCTGGCCTCAAACTGCAGTTATCCAGTTCTCAGCTTCCTAGTATCTTGAGGTGAGCCACTGGTGCCCAGCTTCTCTGCTTATTAAGATATAGCTCCTGAGGCCTCCGAGCAACACTGCCAGCTTGTCAGACTTCAACTGCGGTTTTTCTTTGGCAATACTTTTTTTTAATTTGGATGTTTTACTATAACGTTCAAATTACCTTTCTTTGGTTTAACTATAATTTTATGTCTCATGAATTTTGTTTTGGAATGAAAATCTTTGGACAATATCCTTAGAAATCTCCCTGTGTAGTCCAGGGGGCCTTGAACTTCCAGTTCTGCCTCAGCCTTCCAAGTCCAGAGATTACAGGTTGGTGCCACCATGCCTGGCTTAAAAGTATTTTTTACAGATTCAATTCAGTCTCATGCTTCAAATAATGGAGACATCACAAGTTCTATTTTGGTAATCTCTTTAAAAGGGTAAAGTTTGCCTCTCATCTGGCCATAGATGCACATAGTACAGAACCCAGATCATCTACACACACTTATTCTCATTGGACAGATGCTTGGTGAGTAAACAGTTTCTCTTTGCCAGTCTCTAAGGATAAAGATGAGTGAAACATGGACACTCTTGAGGCATGCTCATCTTACCTTGCCAGTGGTGCTTGTAGTCACAGGTGCGGGACAGAGCAATTATAGATGCAAAAAAGAGGGGCGACAGAAAGGCACAAAACCTCCAAGATTTCCCGCGCCCTTGAGGTGTGAAGCAGTGTAACTTCCCTGCAAGGTAGAAGGAGGCAAAGGCCAGGCCAGCAAACGCAACTAGAAGAGAAAACCCACAACTAATGTGTGTCCTATTGGAAACTACTCATCTCCCCACAGGAGGCCAGGGCAAAAGAGTTTGCGCTGTCTCTTTTTGTATGCTTCTGTGTACAGTTATAAGGAAAAAGGAAAGAAAAAATATAGGACATTTTGTGTCATAAATTCAGTAATATTTTACTTGAGATTAGTTTTGGGAGTGCAAGTTACACAACTTTGGACAGGTTACTTTTGCTTTCCATAGATGGGAATTATAAAAATAATAGTATCTCATTGGGTTATTGTGATCTATAAATGAGGTAGAAATATAATAAAAAGCTTCAGCATACTTGACTACAGAGTAACTAAAGTAAAGGTTAGTATTTTTTGTGAATACTACTAGGTTCCAGGATTTAAGCACATAGTAATAAAATGTGCAGATTTCATGAGAATAACCCTGTGTGCTAATATTTATACTAATGTTCAAGACTAGTGAAGTTGTAGGGATTCCCACTGCTAGGCACAGTGCAACTGGGGTTAGATATTCCTCCCACTACCAGCTCTCCATTAAATGTAATGAAATAAGAATAGAAACAGAGTCCATATGAAATTCATACAGGAAGAATGTCCACTAGGGAAGCTTTTGCGGCCCTCATTGACCACGTCCTTATTCCCTGTGCATATCAACTCAGGATGGGCTAGCCCATCTGGGAAACAGCGGTAGAAGAAATCTGGGCGAGGCCTGGAAAAAATAAGCATAGGTTAAGCAAACATCATTCACACTTGAAGTACTTTTTAGTTGTATATGTTAGTCACATGTCCCAGACAAAATAATATTAAAACTGGATTGGGATAATCACACTAAGAGAAAAACAGCCTTAGTCCTGGGGCCAATATTTAAATTAGGAAAAGAAGAAAAGTCATTCTAGCATGCGATCACATTTCAGGGCAATCACAGGTAATCACGGGTGATTTCAGAGGTATGCCAGACACCACAGGTGGCTGTGGTTTTGGTGGCAAATGCCAAAAGGCTGTAATAAGGCTAGCCGTTACGTTCAAGATAGAAGAGAGAGCAGGCAGCTTCTGGGGAATGAAAAAAAGAAAAAAATAGATGGGGAGGACAGCCTGACATTAAAGTCCAATGAGACTCAGCTCCAAATAAACACCAAAAAGCAGGAAGTGGAGCTGTGGGTCAAGTGGTAGAGGTCATGTTTGTGTGAAAAAGCTGGGGGATAGCACCTGGGCCCTGAGGAAAAGCCCCAGGACTGGCCAAAAAAAAAAGAAAAAAAGGGAGAGAAAAAGATGAGGCCTTGGCTGCTGACGAGTCACTCACCTCCCCACTATCAGCTTTATTGTGTTGGTAAAGACACCATTCAGGGCGAGGGCAAGGGTGGCTGCTGGAAAGCAAAGCAACTGTTAGTGCTGTGGGCCCTGCTCACCCCGAGACAGAATCCCAACAAAATCTGTGTACCACCATGAGGCCCTCAAGGACCACCGCTTGAGCAGGCCCAAGACACGAATGGGAAAGAAGCCAGTGCCTTTAGGCACACCCGTGTGGTAGAGCCTGTTCACCAGGGGGTTGTTACTGTGCCAGCGGTCCGTCTCGGGTAGAGGGAGACAGAGGAATCTAGGACTCCGTAGCATGGTTGGCTGAACCCCCCAATCACTGCCATCTCGCTGCCGGCACCAGGAGCAGCAGGAGGGTTAGCTCTTACCAAGGCAGGCTCGTTTGCTGTCTGTGGCGTCAGCCTTCTTGAAAACCTTGGCCAGGAAGATGAGAGACAGCGGAGAGAGAAACGCGATGACCTGACAGGCGGGACACAGCACAGCACAGCTCCAGCGGCAGCCCGCGCGGGCCCCCGCGCCCCGCGCCCGCGGGCCGGCCTGCTGCTGGCCCGGCTGCGTGAGCCAACTTCCTCCGGAGGGGCGGCGGGTCGGGCTCCCGGCGGACCCCCCCCCCCCCCGTCCCCCGGTCCCCCGCCAGCCCGGGCGGCCTGCCCGCTGCGGAGCAGCTAGCCACCAGGGTGCGACGCGGAGCCCCCACGCACAAAGGTCGGCGCGGCAGGGAAGTACTCCGCCTCCACGTACGGGTTCCGGTACAGCCACATCTCCTCCGGCTGGATGCGCCTCTGGAAGGGGGGCAGCAGCTCGGTCACCCTGGGGGAACAGAGGGCCTGAGCTCCCGCGGAGCGCACGGAGCCGCCGCGCCCGGGCCGGGCCCCGCACGCCCTTACAAGAAGGCCACGAACAGCACGACCCGCACGCACACTTCGACCCCACAGGCCACCGCCGTCCCCGGCACGCCGCTTCGGACAGACGGACACAGCGACATGGCAGGCACGCGCCGAGGGCAGCCCAGCTCGACCAGGGGGAGAGCGGCCCTGGGTCCCGAGGGCCGGCTGACGGCCGAGTCTCCAGGAAGCAGGAAGTGGGAGGGGCAGCGGTGCGTGCGGCCGAGCGCCACCTTCCCAGAGAGGAAAAGCCAGGCGCGCGGTCCCCGGGTTCTGTCCACAGGGAGCCCGCTTCCGGCCACGCAGCACACCGCCTTTGGGTCTCAAACCAGTGCCATAGAAGCATCATGGGTGCCTGGCAAAGCAGGGGTATCGTCAACCACGGCAAGGTCACTTTGTAAGGTTCGGGTTCTTAGTACAGAAAGAAGAAAAGCCGGCTGAGACGGGCAGTTTTGTGTCACCTCATGGCCCTGGTGACAGCCTCTGCCCCAGTGAGTGGTAGCAAGACATTACAGGCGAAGAACAAGCCCACATACTGAACTTGGAACATACAAGACAATTTATTGAGGTTGATCTCAAGCAAAATCGGAAATTAGTGGAATGTCATTAAAAACGTTTCCAAATCAATCCTCACAGAACCTGAAAACACGTTTGAATTCCAAAGTATTTGTAAAATAAAAAAGGCAACATTTCAGTAAATATAATGTACAAAAATGACATGTTCCTACTAGTACAACATCAGTTAGAAGCTTAGATATTACAGGCAATCCTAAGTGCACTATAACTAGTCCACAATAAGCTAGCTATATACAGGTTAACCAAGCTTTGCACGCTTCACACTTTGCAATAAAACAGGCCAATCAAAATCCTCAAAATATGACATCTTGAACTCGATGTGGCAGCATGGAGTCATGTACAGTAATGCCCCTAGTGGAACATTCCCAGGGAGAATTAACACGAATCCCTTAGTGTCAAGAGCTTCTAGGCAAGTCACAGAAACTCTGACATTAATGGATAGATAGTGATGCTTTGTTATTAGACTCGTCTCAAGTGATTTAGGCAAAATAACATTTCATAGGATCTATAAAGTTTATTACAGAAATAACAGTTTTACAAAGGCCATTATGTAAAGCATATGAAAAAAATGAAAAGGGAATCTGTAGGTATCTGTTGTGCAACATTACTGTGGGTACAAATGAATTTGTCATTAATTCCAAATGCACACACCCTTGAATATAAAAAGATGATCTTTTCAGTCACTTGTAATCATTTAGCATCTTGGTTAATTAGTGCCAACAACATCTCCACATAGGGCATGTAACAAAACAGATTTTTTTAAAAAAAAATTCTTTCTGGGTGGTACTGGGGTTTGAACTCAGGGCCTTGCAAATGCCAAGCAGGCACTCTGCCACTTGAGCCATACCTCCATCCAATGAGATTTAAAAAAAAATATTAATAACAGCAAAAAAGCAAATTTATTCAGCCCACTTTTAAATGGACAAGATTATCTTTTAAATACTCTGTATCTTGTACAAGCCATGTGGCTGACGCTTGTGAGCCACTTGCAACACATGAAGAGGCTGTGGGCACAGCTGTGGGCATAGGGAAGCTAAGGGTGCTTCATTACCATGGAGCGATTTCGTAGGAAAACTGAGGACTCAATAATGACTTTGGCAACTATCCTGTTTTCCCTTTTTACTTACATGTTAATGACTTTTAGAGCCTAATGAGGACTGGTAATTCTCTTCCTCTACCCCCTTCATACATCTGTACCACAAGTGCTCACATTTGTCAATTTTCAATGGACTGACAAAAAGCCACGAAAACGGAAATGTGTTTTTGAAAGTTACACACAGCACTGTAGGAGTGTAACATACATAAGTGCAATATTTTTTCCCTAACACAGGCATGTATTTATTAAAAGGAAAGAGGTGCTTGGGAAAAGGGTTGACAGATAGACAAAATAAGAAACTTACTAGGAAATTTTCATAAAAATGCTGCTGGTATCCATGCAAGAGTCTCTTCTTCAAAGGTAGACAATAAATCTAAGATATCAACTATGAATATATTCCCCCATTTGAAGAACTTGGTCTTTAATCCCAGTTAAGGAGGGTTAAGAGACTAGAATATTTTTAAAACAGTATACAAAACAATGCTTTGTAGTTCATACATTTAAAATGAAACTATAAAATAAAGAGCATCTGAAGAGCTTCAAGTACTTAAAAAACCTGAATTCAATGAGGCAGAGGTCTCAGTGTTAAGGTGACTACATCGTACCCGTGGTAAACATCAGCTTTCCCCTCCCTTACTCTTACAACTCTTTTTCTTTTCCAGAACCCTTGATGCCCCATCCCAGGCAAAGGAGGATGAGATTTCAGTAATACAAATCTTCAACTATTCAATATTGGTTAATACATTGCAGAGCTGCCTAATTATATCTATTTCCTACTCCATCTAAAAAGGGAGCCAAGTTCTACCTTTTGCTTGTTAACAACCAGAGACCAGCTCGAGGTGGTCCTAAACTGAAGGAAATCGGTCCATTTGATCACCTCCTGTTTGCAGCAGCTTGGACAAGTGGAGGGAAGTAGACACAACAGCCTTGTAAAAATTAATTCTAGTCTGCATTGCCCAGCAACAAAACAACTTTACATCACCTCACTGTTACTGCATGAAGTACTGCAAAGACAAGCTTTGCAAGCTTGTAAGGACTCAGGGCTACTTGTCTTCTTACCCTGTTAGGGACATGGTGTGTGACTGGCAGTACTTTTTCTTTATGGTGAATGCTCAAAAAAAAGCTTTGCATTTAAAGATGATAAGCAACAGTCCATGGCAGTACGGGGATTCCATTCTGGACTGTAGATCTGGGTCTGACCCTGATTGCAATACATCATGCAAGAAACAACTCAAAAAGGAGGCTATTTCATGGAATCTTGTCCCATCTGAGATTATATCACATGATGCGATACCATCTGTGTCCTACATTATTTACAGGCATGGTTCTACATACTACATGGTAGTGGCAGGAAAGGGGAGGCAGCATTTTCCCCTTTCTCCAGTTATCTTTTCAGTGTTCAGATGTGTTACTGACTTACACAGCAATCTTCATGTTCCATGATTTTAAAACTCAGTCCATTCAACAGCTTATGCCAGATCTTATTTGTGAGGAAACAGTGTGGGAACTTTAAAACAAAAATGAAAATAAACCCTACCTGACTGTGATCTCCAGAGCTGACTTGAAATGAAGCCCCCAGCTGCTTCTGCATGCTAGGGGCAAAGGGCATCTTCCCTTTTGCTCAGCAGACCACAGAGCCTGGAGTGTGTGTGCGTGTGCACGCACGCATGTGCACATGCCAGTCCTGCTTTCCCTGCAGTGCCTAGGAAGATTTTCCTGCTCCATATTTAACTCTTAGTCATCCAATTTCTGAAGTTTTTGCTGATGATCAAAAATGTTATGTTCACTTCTCCCTCCAAGCAATCCACATGAGGTTATAAAACACCACCATGATCCCAAGCTGCTTTAAAAGTTACTTCATTTGGGGCAGGAACAAAAACCAACCACTTACGCTATGGTCACATGTAGATTTTAAAATGAACAAACAGCAACTTGAGGCTGATTAAGCAGAACAGGCAAGCACAGTACATGTGTGTGTCTACCCACAGACCACTAGCTTGCTGCTTTCATGATCTATGGAAGTGGTCAACAGGGAGGTCCTTGGCCCTGGCATGACCAAAACCATTGTTTAGACCTTCAAACACTGGAGTTGTGGTTAGCTATTTAGTTTTCTACTTTGATTTCTGAAATGACAGAACAATCCTATTATTCATTAAAAAAATTTTTTTAAAAAGTCTCTGCAGAGCAGAGTTGTTACAGATATAAAAACAAAATGTGGCCCAGTGCAGAAGCTACATAAAAGCACTCCAACCTAAGGTATTTGCAGTACATGATACCTGGGCTCACTATATAAAAGTCATCAGATATTAAATAGCATTAATTTGAAAAGAAAACAAGATACAATATCATTTGGATAGTTCCAACAAGAGTTGCATTTGTATTAAAGGAAATTCTTGTTAGTAAGTTTAAAAAAACATATATTTATCATATATTTATATAAAATAAGACTTTAGTACAATAAAACCTAGATTTTCTTAAATTATTTTTAAAAGGACATCAAACTACATGTAACTGCTCAAGAGCAAAGTCTAGTGTTTTCATGAGCTGTTTATTTCACATTACTTTTATGATTAGACTTGGTAATGTGTAGAATTTTCCATTTTATTCTTTCTTTGGGGATCATATCTAATCATCAAAATTACTGGAGGCCAAATAAGTCTCCCCAGAATTAATTACTATAATCAGGCAAATGGCAGTTTAGGAGCTTACATATAGGAATTGTAGTGTTGTTGCTGTTATTCTTTGTAAGAGAAAATCCAGTATAATTGCACATTTTTATACAAAAAAGAGAGGCACAAATAGCTCTTTTTCTTTCCAGAAAGAGCTCTAAATAGACAATAAAATGGAACAAACACAACTGAAGGAATGTGGGAGAGCATCCACCCTCCTGAAGTTCGTAAGGGAACTAGGTTAAGGGAAAATAAATGCTACCAGGTACCAGCATCTGTAAGCAATCAAATTCACAGAGAAAGTTAATATTCACTCAGGCTAACCCTAGACTTCTATTTATATGGTGTAATAACAATCATTACTAAGGATTTCATACAAGGAATACTTGAATATACACACTCCTAAGCAATAAATGTGGTGATTTTGTAGACAAATACCCAATATACTTGGGTCTGTAAGATTCAAACATCCTAGTCAACTCTTTTGGCTAACACTGACTTTCTTGGGAGCTTTCTCCACATGCTTGCTAAGATGAAGTGTTTGTATAGCTTTTATATACCCTGTAAAAGTAGAACTTCTTCCCCTTATAAAACAGGGGTAATTTTAACTATTAGGTAATACTAAAAAATTGTTTACATAGAATGTGAGGATGGTCCTACTGCTTTTACCCCGTTCCTATTAGGAACCCCCACAAAAAGATCCATTCGAACCCAACTCCAATTCACTTGTGTAGCTTTGCCAAGAAACATGACTGAATGGTCAGTTGGCAAAGGAAATGTCTGACTGGAACAAGGAAATACACAGAAAACAAAATGCCATTAATTCTAAGTCTGAATGGGTCTATACTAAATTGGAAAAAAAGATGGGACTTCTAAGATCCAATTTCTGGTTTGTGCCTTGCATCTCTGTTTAGCTACCTCATCCTGCATCCAGAGGATGGGAGTGACACTCCACTGTGCATTCATGTTAACTATCTGCAGTGTATCAGAAAAGCCCACTACTAGTGGATGATATTTTAGAATCAGTGAGCACATTCATTTCTTTCCTCCTTCTAGAAAAAAAATCCATCCAGCTGCCTTTCTAGGTACAGATACCATATCACAAAGTCCACCTAGGTTAAGAACACAAAGGCAGTGAGGCCTTGGTTTCCAAGAGGCCAGATTTAATACTTGCAGAGCTCTTCTGCGAAAGACAAGGAAGGGAAAGAAGTCAACCCCCACCTACCGCTCAGGAAAGAGGTACAAAAAGTGGTCACACCCTTTTCTAGAGGGTTTCCCTCCAATTCCTTACTGAACACACACACACACACACACACACACACACACACACACACACACACACACACACACACACTCATTAGACCATTTGAAACACACTTTGGGAAACTTGTAAAAATGAAGATAAAGGAATGCTACTTTTGCTTTCTATAACCAAGGAGCACATTTAAGACTTTAAGCCATCTCATTAACAAAACTTTCCTTTTCAATTTTTTCTTTAAAAGCAAAGACACTTCTTTGCCCCACTCTGCAAAAGATTTGAAGTACAATAAAAGGCAAGGAAAAACCAAGGGAATTTAACCCTCCACAAAGAATCCCCAAAGCAATATAACAGGAAAACCAGACATACCAACTACTTCTGCCTGTGGAACCATTTCCTATTTTTGTTAATAAGGCAGTTCTGATGGCAAAGGCTATCTGTACTACACAGTCTCTTCTTTTTAACACATTATCTGCTTGCTTGCTTCTCTTCATTTCATTTAAATAAAAAGAGAAGGGGAGGAAATCATGATCCATTTATTCTCCTGCTTCTTCTCCATGATCTCCAGATTCCCATCTACACTTGATCTTGCTCCAGTACTCCGATGACACGGGAGACAGGGGGTCATGTTCGGAGCAGCAAAGGTGGCCTTCCAGCGCAGAGGGAACCAGAGCCCCCTTGTCATGCTCTTTACAAAATGAGCGTGGACAGAACTCACAGAAGGAAATGGCCGCACTGCCGCACTTGCTGCACTGATGCCACGGGCATTCCCACTTCCCTAATGCCGGGGGAGAGGAGGAAAGACCCATTAGTGCCTGTCCTCACTACACAGGAAAGACCAAAACCCCGCCTTCTTCCCTGACTGGAGACTGAGTCCAAGTGTGTCCAACTCCAAATTTAGCCAAATAGACATTTAGGAATATCATCTAGAATGATGTGAGCTTCTGACCACAGAGGCCAAACGATGACCTGCCTACCTATGGCAATCAGAACTAAAGAATCCTTCTTGCTACTTGTGTAGTATCCCAGATTTGTACGACAGGTTTCTCAGTAGCCTACTTTTGTTGACTATGTTGTTTTTTCTATTTAACTTTTTTTTTTTTAAATGTGTGTGCCAGTATTGGGGCTTGAATATAGAGTTTCTCATTCTTTTTTTTTTTTTTTTTGGGAGGGGGGGATCTGGTCATGGGGCCTGAACTCTGGGCCTGGGCTAGAGCTAGCACTCTACCACTTGAGCCACAGCGCCACTTCCAGCTTTTCTTCTTTTTGCTTATGTGGTGCTGAGGAATCGAACCCAGGGCCTCAGGCATGCAAGGCAAGCGCTCTACCACTGAGCCACCTTCCCAGCCCAGCTTCTCATCCTTGCTTGGCTGTTTTGCTCAAGGATGGCACTCTACCACGACAACTACTACTCCCTCACACTTCTGGCTTTTTGCTGGGTATTGAAGATAAGATTTATCTGCCTGGATGGCAATCCCCACATTTCAGCCGCCAGAGTAGTTAGGATTACAGGCATGAGCCAACAGTGCTCAGCTTACTTAACATTTTTTTATTTTGCATTCTAAGGTACACACATCTGGCAAAGATGTAAGAGAAAGACTCGAAGGTCTAACTTACCATATGGTGGCTGAGTCAGGTTAAGGCATAGAAGGTGGTATGCTTTGGGACAGTCTTTTTTGTCACACATGACCAGCTCTCCACTATCTCCACATTGAAAACAGTAATCTTCATACATCTGCTTTGGTTCTGTTTTGATTTTCCGTCTCTTCTGCTTTAACTTAGCATTCTTTGCCTTCTCTTCAGCTGTTGACGCACATGCTGTCTGCAGAAGAGAAGGAGCTCAGTTTCAGTGGTCACCCACCCCCAGTGTGGGAAGCTTCACACAGAAATGAGAACTCTCCTACCAACAGGAGATGGACTTAGCTGTTAAAAACACCCCAAGAAAAACAAGACTTTCACTGACTTCCAAATAGTGCTTTGTTCTTTCATTGCAAGGGGGATGGTTAACTGAAGCAAGTTTAATGCTTAGACAATACCACAACATCCATCATTATAAAAGTAAGTTTGGCTAGGCACCATGGCTCACGCCTGTAATCCTAGCTATTCAGGAGGCTGAGATCTGAGGATTGCAGTTCAAAGTCAGCCCAAGCAGGACCACCAAAAAAACTGGAAGTGGCTCTGTGGCTCAAAATGGAAGAGAATTAGCTTTGAGCAAAAACAGCACAGGGACAGCACCCAGGCCCCGACTTTGAGGCACCCTCCCCAAGCCCCTCTCTCTCACGCACACACACAAACACACACACAAGTAAGTTCAAAATGTGATTTTAGAACTTAACAGGCCTTACTAAAATAGACTTCATTAGAAAGCTGAAGTGGCTAACCTTTGGTAAAGTACTGATAGCCTGCAACATAAAGCACCTTTCTGTGAGACAGTCATATATAAGCTGCTGCCACAGCTCCATTTTGTATCTCCCCTTGCCTCGTGCCCTCTGCACAACTGACCTTTGGCCGCACTCCTAGAAAACCACTGCAGTTATCTGCCCCACAGTGGCATGCCGTTCTGCCATTGCCCAGGCAATCCAAGTTATAATTAAATGTTAACTCCATCCCTAAAATGTAAGAGAAATAATTATTCATACTTAAGTCACGATGAAGAGAAATGAAGCCACACTCATACTAAAGAACTAACAGAATTCTAACATCCCCATCCACCCAGTACAAGAATACTAAATACCCTAAATACTAAATACCCTGACTGTGGTTGAAAACAATTTAATAAGGCTAAGAATTTGTGATCTATGCTCAAGAAAACCACTGAAGCTAACTATGACAATGTTATTTGCAGTAATTAATGCCTTACATAATGAACCCAACAAAGTTAAAAATGAAGGCTAACTACATAAACCGAAAACTCAAAGGTTCAAACTCGGACTTCCTACATTGTCTTCCAGCTGGGCCTGACTAATCCAGAGTTCCCAAAGAGTTTAAATCTGTCTTAGTACAGGGTATGGTGGCAAACACCTACAATCATAGGTACTCAGGAGGCAAAGACAGGACGATCACAAGGTCAAGGTAAATTCCAGGTCAGCCTAGTAACTTAGCAAGACCCTGTTTCAAAGTAAAAATAAATTAGGGCTGGGATGGTAGACAAGCAAGGCGTTGGGCTCAATCTCCAGTAATGCAGGCCAAAAGAGTCCTTGAGATTCCATCTCTAATATAACCATCAAAATGCTAGGCTGGAGGTGTGGCTCCAGTGACAGAGACAGTACTCAAGCCAAGCAAGCTTGAGACCCTGAATTCAAATCTCAGTACCAGCAAAAAACACAATGTGTTTTTTCTGTTCGCGTCCATTTTTAAATATACGTAATAAAGACAAACCTAAATTTTCCTGCAAAAGTACAGGTTAAGGGGAAGGACAAATGAAAAGTGATAGCTCCAGCTTCCCAGGCTTTTGTATAGTATGAAACAAAGATCTTTCAAAAGTTGAAGACACAAAGTCAGTTGATGCTAACAAAAGCAAATTATTTTTAATGTGTTAGCTGGGCACTGATGGCTCATGCCTATAATCCTAGCTACTTGGGAGGCTGAGATCTGAGGATTGCAGTTCAAAGCTAGCCCAGGCAAGAAAGGCCATAAGAATCTTATCTCTAATAAACCACTCAGAAAACCAGAAGTGGTGCAGTGGCTCAAGTGGTAGAGTGCTTGCCTTGAGCTGAAGAGCTGAGGGAAAGACAGTGTTCAGGCCCAGAGTTCAAGCCCCATGACTGACATAAGAAAAAAAAAAAAAGGAAAGAAAGGAAGAAAGAGAGAGAGAGAGAGAGAGAGAGAGGGAGGGAGGGAGGGAGGGAGGGAGGGAGGGAAGGAAGGAAGGAAGGAAGGAAGGAAGGAAGGAAGGAAGGAAGGAAGGAAGGAAGGAAGGAGGGAAGGAAGGAAGGAAAGAAGGAAGGAAGGAAGGAAGGAAGGATGGACAGAAAACAACAGCTTATGACATCTGGTTACATCATACACACAGCAACAATTTGGAGGAGTCAGGAATTGGTTTCCCAGAATAGTGGGTTTAATGAGTGGATATGCAATCCTGCCTGGCTCTTGCTATGTTTTTTCTTTAGGACACAGTATTTTACTTCTCATTTGCAGATAACACCCAAATTCCAAATATTAACATGCCATCTTTACTTATTTATTTATTTATTTATTTTGTTGGTCGTGGGGCTTGAACTCTGGGCCTAAGCATTGTCCCTCAGCTCTTCAGCTCAAGGCTAACGCTCTACCACTTGAGCTACAGTGCCACTTCTGGTTTTCTGGTGGTTTACTGGAGATAAGAATTTCACAGATTTTCCTGCCCAGGCTGGCTTTGAACTGCGATCCTCAGATCTCAGCCTCCTGAGTAGCTAGGATTACAGGCGTGAGCCACCGGCGCCTGGCCATGCCATCTTTTTTGAATAAATACTTGAGTGTCAGCCTTCCCTATTAGTAAGGGTCCCAGGGAGCAAGTTAACTTTTTCTTTTCTCTTCTTTCCTTTTTTTTTTTTTTTTTTGCCAGTCCTGGGGCTTGAACTCAGAGCACCAGCACTGTCCCTGAGCTTCTTTTGCTCAAGGCTAGTACTCTACCATTTGAGCCATAGTGCCACTTCTGCCTTTTTCTGCTTATGTGGTACTGAGGAATTGACTGCAGGGCTTCATGCATGCTAGGCAAACACTCTACCACATTCCTAGCCCCAAGTTAACTTTCTTTACCTGCAGGAATATCGCAAAGAGCAAAAAGTCCAACTCGAACATCTCCATTCACTGTCCATTTTTGTGTTTCACAGTTTGGATTACAACTGTGGTTCATAAAACGAGAATAATTCCCTTTTGGGCCAGCGTCAATTATACGGTCCTTCAGGAAGAAAAGAAAAAAGATGCCTTTGACATAAAACTCAGTGTAAGTCTACTGCAGAAACTCACCCAGTCTGTCCAGGGCCACAGCGCAGCAGCCTGTGCTCCCAGATGCTGCATGCCTGCCAACTCTAAAAGCCTGACCTACACTCCTCATGCAGTTACCAGTCTACTAGATGACTGTCAAGCCAAGTGATTAGGGCAAAGTGGAACTTAACTTTTTTAAAAGTATGCTTAGAGAAACAGACCACAGACAAATGGTACTTGAAGATAAGTGGACTCAGATGTATTTTCTCCAAGTTCAGATAACTCCTCTAGTGTTGTTTCCAGCCTTGCCTTCCTGCTCTGAGCAGGAAGGAAAACTGGTATAGGGGAGACAAGGTTCAACCACAAAGACAGAAATGAAGACCTGAAGGTTTGCTAAGTAGGCTACTGTGTGGATAAACTGCCGTGTTTGCCCGTTTTTTTCTGTTTTCATCTACACTGCAGTTCCACGCAGTAGAGAGCATAATGCTGACACTCCTGACAGGCTCAGAGAGGCCTGAGCATCCAGAGTGTCATCAGCTGTCTGCAGGGCCTCTAGCAGGGAGGATAGGAGTCAAGAGGCAGACTGAGTACTACAAAAAGCCTGCATCTTCATTTATGCTCATGTAACATATGTTTATGAAAGTTGCAAAACTTTACAACAGTGACAGCAGTTAAAATGCCTGTTAAGATGGGTGCCGGTGGCTCACGCCTGTAATCCTAGCTACTACTCAGGAGGCTGAGATCTGAGGATCGCAGTTCGAATCCCAGATGGGAAAGTCCCCAAGACTCTTATTTCCAATTAACCACCAGAAAATGAGAAGTGGTGGTGTGGCTCAAAGTGGTAGAACAGCAGACACAAGCAAAAAAATTTAGGGATAGTACTCAGAGCTGAGCTCAAGCCCCATGACCAACCAAAAAACCACCTTGTAAAAATGATTTCTGTATTTGTATTTTAAGCTATTTATTTTACTCATAATAGTGTGTGTGTGTGTGTGTGTGTGTGTGTGTGTGTAAAATGTGTCTATGGCATTTGTGTATTTTTATATGCCAATAAATATTTTATTTTTTCTGGTGGTGCTGGGGATCAAACCTTTAAATAGTCTGGAACACAGGAAATATAGGCACTGGTCTTGGCTCTTAATATTTCCACAAGATATTCAACAAGTCTCTTATCACATCTCAATCTCATTTTCTTATCTGTATAAATCAGAATACTATTGAGAAAATGAAGTGTAACCAGAGATGTAGTGTAAAAATTACATGATACTAGACTAGTATTTTTACTGTCATTTTTCTTATGACAACTCATTGTTTCCCTAACAGTTTATACAGAACAATTTAGTTTTTGCTAAATCAGAAATTTAATGGGAGTTTATACCTTGGGAGTCAAAACTGATTCTCTCCATCAGTGATAAAGAAACGGGGGCCCAGGCTCAGTGACCGACAGAGCTGGGACTAAGCTCAGGGATGACAATGCAGAGATGCTGGCCCTGCGTCTGGCTATCTCTCACAACATGTAGAGTTTCAGTCATGATATAATTTGTGCATCACAGCAGACAGCACCCTGGCTACTGAAAATCTCATCTGCTTGAAAGCATCAAATTAAAAGAAATAGTTCAACTTAAAGCCGTAAGTCTAAAAAGTCCCTTTTTCTTACCCCCCCCAAAAAAGCAATTTTACCTTGGTAACAGTTAACATATAAAAATTAGTTACACTGTTCTCGTGTGCTCTCTTGATTCGTAGTCTACATTCTTCTTCATCAATTAATTCACCAACATATTCATTTACAAATTCACCCTGCCAAGAAGCATGAAATATGTCAATGGAAACTGATATAAACATTACAAACACAAATTTCAACACATGCAGAATCCAAGACAACAAATTGAAAGAATCCTGAAAATACAATTTCAATGCTACAAATAAATGGTTTTTATTTATTCATGGGCATTTAGAAGGCCTTGGTTTTCAGGATAAGTGTCTCAAAAGGTGTCACTCTGCCTTTTCTTGCTAACAAAACTAATCGTAAAGTTGATGTATAACGATGTAGTTGGGCCCCATCTTCGAGACTGTAGTTTCACGGATCTTGATAGCTTACAGCTAGAGTAGCAAAGAAAAAGGGGTCTAGAAAGGATAAAAGCTGAAAAATATCTGAAACTGTTCCTAATATATTTATTTATTTTTAGTGCTGGTACTGGGGCTTGAACTTAGGGCCTCAAAAGCTTGGCTTTTTTTCCTATAGCTGGTGTCACTTGAACAATGCCTCATTTTGCAGCTTTTTTTCTGGTTCAATGGAAATAAGTCTCATAGACCTTCTTGCCCAGGCTATTTCAAACCATGATCCTCAGATTTCAGCCTTGGCATGAGCCACTGTCATCTAACTTTAAACTCTTTACTTTGAAGAATTTATACCAAATTAGAAAAACAGTGCAGAGATATCTGTACCTTTCACTCAGCTATCCCCAGTGATAACATCTTATATAATCAGCATAATGCTACATTATTTTCACACATGTATATGTATGTGTGCACACAAAGTACAGTACCCACTGTTACACTCAACATTCAGAAGTGGTCCTTTAGCACTTCTCTACATCCTATCCATTCCCGATCCCTCCTCTACTTCATGCAACTAAGCTGCTCTCCATCACTAGAATTTTGTTATTTCAAGTTGAATTATTCAATATGTAATCCAATGGGGCTGTGTTTTATTTTAAGCACAACAACAACAACAAAATCAAACTCAGGCTAAGACCACCCAAAGTGTTATGTGTCAACATCTGCTTTTTACTGTGGAGTTGTGTTCCTCAGTATGGACATGGCACGGTTCTTTCTTACAAAGATACAGGCTGGTCTGTATATTCATGTACGGTGCACTGTTGGTCCCAGATGGCTTTTCCTACACATTGAGCTTTGTGATCTGCCACTGGAGAATTCTGCACTGTTTTATGGTGTTACTCTGAAAGTGAGGGACCAGGGGGATAAAAGAACGTTCCATCTTGCCTGTACTATCTCGTACTATGTACTCTTGGCTAGTTTATGGCACATTTTCTTTCATGGACATTGGTAAAGCAGAGTATCAGCTCTACTTCATATTGCATATTGGATTTCAAGGTAAGATTTCATTGAGGAAATGATTTTATGGCTTCAACAGTTTGAAAACCAGCAGGGTACCAGTGACTCACACCTATAATCCTAGCTAATTGGGAGGTTTCAATCAGGAACAGTGTGGTTACAGACTAGCCTGGGCATAAAAGTCCATGAAACTCCATCTTAATGGAAGAAGCTGAACATGGTAGTGCATGCTTGTCATCCCAGCTACAATGGGAAGTATAATACAAATTCCAGTCCAGAAGTGTATATGGGCAAAAAGTGAGACGCTATCTCAAAACTAACCAAATGCTCAAAAGTGACCCTGAGCTCAAATGCTAGTATTACCACCAAAACAAGGAAACAAAAAAGAAAAACAAAATCAGCACAACCAAAGCATACACACACACAGAGAAAACAAACAACAAACCTTTACAACCATTTCTAATGGCTTGTGTTTATTACTATATGGAAATGAAGCAAATGTAGAAAAATTCAAGTCCTAAGAGCAGATATAAAGAATAGTGTATTCACAGATATACCACTGTGAACAAAAATAGAAATATTTTGAATGTTCTAAAAGTGACAAAAATCTTCAGCCTCAAAGAAAGTGCTTACCACACTTTAAAACATTATGAACTCAATTATGAAAAATTACCAAATGAAGAAATTTTTAAAAATGCTACAATATGATGTTCAGAGACTGCAGCAAAGCTGGGCATGTTGGTGCACACCCGTAATCCCCAGCATTAAGAGAAGGAGATAGGGAGGTTGTGGTTTTGAGCTTTGAGGACAGCTGGGGGCCATGCAGCAAAACCCTGTTTCCAAAAACAAGTAAAGTCCAAAACAAATAAAAAAGACTGCAGTAAAACAACATGCTTTAATTTAACATCTCAGTACTGGCAGTACTGAGGTTTGAACTCATACCCTTGTGCTTGCTAGCAGGCCCTTCACCAACTGAGCTATACCTACAACCTTGCTTTTTGCTGTTTCTTTTTTTTTTTTTTTTGCTGGATGTAGGACCTGAACTCTTGACCAAGGCGATGTCCCTTAGCTCTTCAGCTCAAGGCTAGCGCTCTACCACTTGAGCCACAGTGCCATTTCCAGCTTTTTCTGCTTATGTGGTGCTGAGGAATCGAACCCAGGACCTCATGCATGCAAGGCAAGTACTCTGCCACTGAGCCACCTTCCCAGCCCTTTTTTTTCTTTTTGAGATGGGGTTTTACTTCCTGACTAGATTTGCATCTAGACTACAATCCACCTATTTCAGACTTTCTATGGTTGCTGGGATGATAGGTGCACACCACCCTGTCCAGCTTTCCTCTGCTGAGATGGGGTCTCATGGACTTTTCTGCCTGGGTTGGCTCAGAACCATAATCCTTCCAATTTCAGACTCCCATGAAGCTTGAGATGACAGGCAAGTGCCATTAACCCAAGTCTCACAAACTTTTCTGTCCAGGCTGGTCTTGAACTGCAATCTTCCTCAGCTCCCAAGTAGCTGGAAGTACAGGTTGTGAGCTACCAATAGTTGGCTTATTACTTTCTTTTTTTAAAGTTTCTGTTAAGAGGTCATGAGTGTAGATCAGTAATCAAGTATATGCTTAGCTTCAATGGGCCATAACATCCCCAAAACCATTGCTGAAAAAGAACACTATAAACTATGTTTGACCCTGGTACACATTTTCAGGAATCTGTTATATGTGAATATAAAGGGGCTGACTATATAGTAAGTTCAAGGTCAGCCTGAGCTACATATCAGATCCTATCTCAAAAAGTCAAAGGTTGTAAAAATAAAGCCACACACTTACAGTTATCTGGTATCTGACAAGAGAGCCACAAACGTAGGGTGGAAAAAGATAGCCTCTCTCATAACTGGCATTGGGAAAACTGAGCATCCAAATGTAGAAAACTAAAATTTGATCCCCATGCACCAATATCAACTCAACATGGATCAAAGAACTCAACATCAGACCTGAGACTTTCAAACTACTGCAAGATGGAGTAGGAGAAACATTAGAAAATAGGCATAGGAGCCAGGTGCCATGGTTTGGAGGTTCCTCAAAAAACTAACGAGAGGGCTGGGAAGGTGGCTCAGTGGTAGAGTGCTTTCCTTGTGTGCCTGAGGCCCAGGGTTCGATTCCTCAGCACCACATAAGCATAAAGAAAAAAAGCCGGAAGTGGCGCTGTGGCAAGTGGTAGAGCGCTAGCCTTGAGCTGAAGAGCTGAGGGACAGCGCCCAGGTTCAGAGTTCAGGCCCCACGACCGGACCCAAAACAACAACAACAACAAAAAACTAACCATAGAATTTCCCTATGACTCAGTCATACCAGTTTTGGGCATCTATCCAGAACATTACAAATCAGTATATGATAAAAAACACTTGCATATTCATGCTCACTGCTACACTATTCACAATAGCTACGTTATGGAAACAGTCCAGATGCCCTACAACAGATGAGTGGATCAATAGAACAGGGTACCCATACACAATGGAACTGTACCCATCTATTAGAAAGAATAAGATTATGTCATTTGCAGGGAAATGGATGGACCTAGAATAAATCATGTTAAGTGAGTTCAGCCAAGCTCCAAGAGACAAATGGTGCATCTTTTATCTCCTATGTGGAAGCTAGATCTAAAATATAACTGGACATGATAACCTATACAGTACTCTAGGCACTCATACAGTCAGACTAAAAGAAGAAACTCTTGGGGAGGAATCCTGTGAGCATTTATTAAAATACAATTTATTGAAATGAATTTCAAGAAACGGCAACATGGGTTTTTGTTGCTGTTAGTCTGTTTTTCTTTTTTCTTTTTTTTTGTCGGTCGTGGGGCTTGAACTCTGGGCCTGGGCGTTGTCCCTCAGCTCTTCAACTCAAGGTGAGCGCTCTACCACTTGAGCTACAGCGCCACTTCCAGTGCTGTTTTTCTTTGCTATTCTTTGTAGGGAGTGCTGGGGGAGCTCAGAAAGGGAGGGAGGAACAAATGCAATCATGATACCCAGAATACACTATGTGGAAAATGAACTATGTAATTGTGCGTAGGGATAGGAGGGAGAAACTGGGAAAAAGGGAAGAGGTGACATTGTCCAAAAAAGAAATGTACTCATTACCTAATTTATGAAACAGTAACTCCTCTGTACAACATCTGAATAACAATATAATTATATGCTTTTAAAATATAAGTATTTATATTTTTAAAATATAAATATATGCCTAGCATTCATAAAGCCCTGGGCTCCAACCCCAGCACAGTACATACAAATAAAGGTGGGGAAGGGGGGAAGAAAGGGATGAGAGGGGAGAATGACTAACCATGTAAAATCTAATTGTATTTACTTATTTATTTTTGCTGATTCTGGGGCTTGAACTCAGGGTCTGGATGATGTCTCTGAGCTTCTTTGTGCTCAACTAGCATTCTACCACTTGAGCCACAGCACCACTTCCAGCTTTTTCTGAGTATTTATTAGAGATTTATTTATTAGAGATAAGAGTCTCAGACTTTCCTGGCTGGGCTGGCTTCGAACTGCAATCCTCAGATCTTAGCCTCCTGAGTAACTAGGATTATAGGCATAAGCCACCAGTGCCAAGCTTACAACCCAATTTTATATTTGATTTCCTTACTGTAAATGTACCCCAAAATCTTTTTAATGTTACTACAAAATTTTTATGATTATGCTTTTTAAATTCTTGATTAGTTATTTTATAAAAGACTAAATTACATTGCATTAACAATCCCTCAGGTCTTAAAGAAAAAAAAAATCCAGCCGGGCACCAGTGGCTTACACCTGTAATACTCAGGAGGCTGAGATCTGAGGATCACAGTTCAAAGCCAGCCCTGAGCAAGAAAAGTTTGTCAGACTCTTTTCCAATTAATTATCAGAAAAACAGAAGTGGCTCTGTGGCTCAAACTGGTAGAGAACTAGGACTGAGAAAAAATGCTTAGGAAAAGCACCCAGGTTCAAGCCCCATGGCTGACCAAAAAGAAAAAAGAAAATACAGACTGTATTTCCTTTTTCTTCCCTGTATTACTAATCCAATAAATTACTTTAGTTGGCTGCAGTAGCTCATGTTCTCAGCAATTCAGCTTAGTGAAGACTGAGAGGATCAAAGTTCGAGGTCAGGGCTGGGAAGGTGGCTCAGTGGTAGAGCGCTTGCCTTGCATGCATGAGGCCCTGGGTTTGATTCCTCAGCACCACATAAGCAGGAAAAAAAAAAAGCCGAAGTGGCGCTGTGGCCCAAGTAGTAGAGTGCTAGCCTTGAGCTGAAGAGCTGAGGGACAGCACCCAGGTCCAGAGTTCAGGCCCCACGACCGGACCCAAAACAAAACAAAACAAAAGTTCCAGGTTAGCAAAGCAAAAGTTAGTGAGATCCAGTCTCAATCAATAAGCTGGTATGGTGAAGCACACACCTGTGATTCTAGCTACATAGGAAGTGTAAATTAGAGGATTATGATCTAGGATGACCCAGACAAAAACACAAGACACTATTTGAAAATTAACTCAATCAGAAAGGCATAGGGGTATGGCTCAAAAGGTAGAGTACATGCTTATTAGTAAGTGAAAGGCCTAGAGTTCAAATCTCAGCACCACTAAAAATAAAATATAATAATAATAATAATAATAAGCTATTAGGATAGATACAGATACTATTAAAAGGTGGGAACATCAGGATGGCCCCAGAAATTTCATGAAACTCATATGCATGTTTGTATGTGTGATATCATTTGGTAACACACACACACACACACACACACACACACACACACACACACACACACACACACACACACACACACACACACACACGGGGTTGGGTTTTTTTTGGTCAGTTCTGGGTCTTGAACTCTGGACCTGAACGCTGTCCCTCTCAGCGCTTCAGCACATGGCTAGTGGTCTACCTCCTGAGCCAGAGCGTTACTTCCTTCCAGTTTTCTGAGTGGTTTATTGGAGATAAGAGTCTTACAGACTTTTCCTGCCTGGGCTGGCTTTGAACCATGATCCTCACATCTCAGCCTCGGGTATAGCTAGGATTACAGGCTGAGCCACCAGTGCCTGGCTAAGTTTTGGTATTAAATAATAATATTTAACCAAGCATTCTAATCTACATATTCAATGACAGCAAAGCTTGTTAGCTCTACCTTCAAAATGTCAACTGTAGGCTTAGCAGTCCTACCTGATATCACCCCTCTCTTGGGTCTTCTTCTCTTTGTTACTTAATACTCTTCCCTAAGTCCTCCACATTCCAAGCTGTCCCCTTTTTTGGGCCAGTCTGGGTTTGAACTCAGGGCTTAAGGGTTGTCTCTGAGATTCCTCTCAAGGCTAGTGCTCTACCCTTGAGCCACAGTACCACTTCTAGCTTTTTCTGAGCAGTTTAATGGAGATAAAAGTCTCATGGACTTTCCTGCCCAGGCTGACTTCAAACCAGGATCTTCAGGTCTCAACCTCCTAAGAAGCTAAGATTACAGGCGTGAGCCACCTGTGTTGGGCTAAAGCTGTCTTTTGAAGCAATAGTATAGCAGATAGACCTCGAGGTGCTCTTCCTAATTCTAGCCCTCAGGAATTCATGCCATTGTGCAGTTCCTTCCTATGGAGGGTTAATGTCTAATCAGCATCACTTGGCAATAGTGAGCGTATGCATGTACTCATGTGAGTTTGTGACGTGAAAACTCTGGTTTTATCTTGCTGGATGGTCACTCCCTCCGACATTGGGAACCCAGGTGATAAGGAGCTGAGGCATCCTCTAAAAGCTGAGAGCAGACCCTGCCCAAAGAAATACAGAAACAACAACAACAACCCAAATCAAGAAACAACACGCAGATCTCAGGGTTATAACTACAAAGAACAGAGTTCCACCAACAGCCATATGGACAGAGAGATCTTTCCCTAGTGGTAAGATGAGAAGTCAGCCCTGGATGATACTTTCAACCCAGTGGAGCCCTAAATAAGAAACCAGTTAAGGACTGCCTGGATTGCTAACCCACATAAACTGTGAGATAATGTGTGCCAGGTTTTACATTGCTACTTTGTGCTAATACTGTCAATTGCACTGGAATATACAAAATCAGATCAAGTTAGTTCCTACTAAATCCTACACAAGTTTCTTATCCCATGGCATATAAAGCTCCCTAAGTCCTAGGGCCTGGCTATCTCTCTCACCTTATCTTCTATCACCCCACCTCTCACTTCTCTTCTCCAAGCTGATTTATCTTTCCTTTGATATAGCATGTTCTTTTAGATGTACTTGCATAGCTTTCAACACTACATATCAATCAAATGTCACCTCCTCAGGCCACTGTTAGCCAACTCCTGTCCTTTTTTTTTTTTTTTTTTTTTTTGGGTCCGGTCATGGGGCCTGAACTCTGGGCCTGGGCGCTGTCCCTCAGCTCTTCAGCTCAAGGCTAGCGCTCTACCACTTGAGCCACAGCGCCACTTCTGGCTTTTTTCTTATTGCTTATGTGGTGCTGAGGAATCAAACCCAGGGCTTCTGGCATGCAAGGCAAGTGCTCTACCACTGAGCCACCTTCCCAGCCCCACTCCTGCCCATTTGTACAGCTCTGTTAATCTTCACAGCATTTAATGGTGTAATATCAGCTGCTTATTTTCTGTCTCCTCTAGTGGATCCACAAAAGTAAGGGCTATGTGTGTCTTGTTCATTATTGTTTTCTAAGTGCTCAGAATATTACCTGGCACAAAGAAAAAAAAGGTCGGGTATGGTGGTACACAGCTGTAGTCAGTTATTTTGAAGGTAGAGGTATGAGGATTAGGGTTTGAGGCCACTTTGAATAAAGTTAGTGGTAAACCATATCTCAAAAACAAAGTAACAAAATCAAAACAACTGGGGGAATGGCTCAAGTGGCAGAGCACCTGGTTATCATATATAAGGCCCCAAGTCCAGTACCTAGTATCACCAAAAAATAAAAATAAAACCCTCAACCCCCCCCCCCAAAAAACCCCAAATCTTCAAACCAGATGCACAAAGATAAACTAGAATGTTCAATACAACACACACACACACACACACACACACACACACACACACACACACTTATACAAATGTATTGGGTAATAAGCTAAATAGTAATGGTAACATTCCATAATCCCTATAAACTAGAATAAGGTGAAATCTACATGTATTACCACAGGTATTTTGTTTACATGGGAAGAGTATGTTTGATTATGTTTATGTTTAGAAAACTCTACAAATACAGAATATGTGGATAATATTTACAGATGTGTTCATCGCTTCACAGAAAAAGTTCTAAAGGTTGTATACCAAACTATTCACAGGGACTTCCTCTGGTAAAGACAACATGAACGTAGCAGTGAAGGAGGAATTTCACTCTACTATCTTTTTGATATTATCTGACTTTTCTTTACCTTATTAGATATTTTTCAATTAAGTTTTAAAAAAGATAGAAACCTGTCAGTAATTTTATATTCCTATTAGATCTATCTTCTCTTAGTGAATGTACTTCAAGTTCTGTACACATGGAACTAGGTAAGGAGGGGTGAGGTGAACTAGAGGACTTGTTTCCAGGCCTGTGTGAATAATCTCATTAAGCTAGTCGAATTTCTAACAAGGACCCCAGGAGATTGTCAGGCAGTCTAAAATTTGAGACCCAGTATTTGAATAGTAGGATGTGGATTTTCATGTAAATGTTTTTCTACAATGGGTTTTCATTTCTGTGTTAATGTGACTGCTTTAAAAAGTTATCTCTAAATACATAGAAGAAAAAAAAACACAATTGTTACGGGCCTCAACTTTTCCCAATTGCTTTTCATCATATGACCCAAGAGCTGTAACCTTTAAGCTTTTAGGCCAGGGGCTACAAAGAGACTGCCAAATGACTGAACTACGATGCTAACCTAGGACTTTCATAACTTCATTATTTTGCCTTTTCTGAGACATTTAAGTAATTCCATTTAACCAGTAAGAAAACACTTCAAATAGAAAATGTCCCTTCTTTTGATGGCTGGTCACAGGACACTCAAAGGTTACCTGTGTTTTATCACACCCTCTTTCCCACAGCTTCTTTGCTCACAAAGTGGCAAATGGGAATTTTCAAAAATTTCCCATAAATCTCTGTATTTTTATCCCTACACTGAGGCTCATGAGGCACAGGACCTGTGGTTCCTCTCCACTCCATCTCCATCCCTGAGCTACCTTCTTAATGCTTCTTTTGGTCCTGAGGCCCCAGCCTCTGCGCTCAGTTTTGATGATCTCTGCATCTGGGTACAGCCTCTTGGTGAAGCACTGGTTCTGACAGCGATCTCCAGCAGGGCACACCTGTGGGTGGCACTCATACTGCAACATTCTGTTCAGACACTCAGATTCTAGGCCGCAAGGGTTCTCATCAGCAGGCTTGCAGTTACAACGGGGGATCTCCGACAGGTCAGCAACCTGGATCTGAACCTTCCCTATTACTTTGTTAGCCTAGGAAACAAAATTACAGATGACAGCAAAGCAGCAGATAGGTCAATTTGAACACAAAATCAAAATATCCAACCTCCTCTGGCCTCTGCTAATGCCTAGTGACTTGAGAAAAAAAAGCTTTTTACCTCAATTTCCCCAGGATTAAACTAAGAATAGGAAGAGAGAGCTCAGATGACAAAAATATCTAAACCTGATGTGAATTCTCATTTCTCCTTTTACTGGTTGGCAGAAACTTCAAATCTGAAATTGAGAGAAAATAGGCTTGTCTGTGAGTTAAAGACCCATGTTCTCATTTGGTGACAAGATAACCAACCTAATAGGAGCATGAATGGATTTTCACATAGGCTATGGTGCTTTCTGGTAGAGAGGATTTGTCAAAGACCCAGTTCTTAAAGCACCATACCCAGGACTTCCATTGAATCTTTCAGTAAAAGTTCTTGGCCAATTTCACAGAGTTCTGGCTGATGATTAGTGAAAGTTAACAAACAAATGGCCTTTACTGAGAGAAAAATGTGTTTTCTTGTCTATGAAATACCAATGTTTTCATGGGTAAAGACTCACTTTGATGTGTTTGTAAGGAGGAGGTTTTCTTGAGTTTTTCTCAATCTCTAATGCTTCTTTACTTTCTCTTTGTGCTTTCAGTTCCTGGAAACGTTTGGCAGCTTCTTCCAGTGCTGACAAGAAGACAAAAGTAAATAATTACAAAAATAGAGTTAGAACATTAGCTTCTTACCTTCTCAATGCTCTGCATCTGGCATGAGATTACCACTCACACCAGTCTTGGTAATCACAACATAGGATACAACTCACCAAACACTATGTTCTGTGCATGTGGATGTCTCTGAGAAGAGGTCCTATTTCAATGACAGAGACCTCCAATGCCATGACAACAGCAGCTATTGACCTTCTTCCCCAGAAAGCCAAACTCCTAGCAACTCAGTACAAAGGCAGAGTATGGCTTCTTTTGGGAAGTCTTTACTACTCTTCTGTGGCAATCGCTGCATTTGACAGAGATTTCCAGCTCAAACTTAATTTACAGAAATGTTGCTAAAGCAGCCCCTTTCACATACACTGTATATGTTTTAGTTTACTGATGCACAATCACAGTGCTGGTGAACATTCTCTAGTAGCAGAAATGTAATGGGCACATGAGGTTATCAAGAAACCCACAATACTTTCTCAGTTCTGGGTAACTACAAACACGATCCAGCTTACCTTTTTTGAAGGTCTTGTTAATACTAGTCTGTCCCTCAGCAAAGCTTTTGTCTCCTTCAACATAAGGGAACACTCTGCCTTGGTGTACCCAATAGTAGTCATGAGAACCAAAGAAGAACACAGGGAAGTCCCCCAAGTCATGCTTAAGGCCTTGGATGTTCAGTGGCACAGACCTGGGATTGCAGATCTCAGCTGGCCACCATCTGAAAACAAAAGCAGTTTTAAACAAATCTCACCATTCTCTACAGGTTGGCAGGAGAAAGTAAGGGGTTTCATGGTTTGCAATTTTTATTCAGATTCTGAACACAGGCTATTTTGAACAAAAGTTCAAACACAATCCAAAGCATCTATCATTAAAAAACATTAGCCAGGCACTGATGGCTCACACCTGTAATTCTAGCTACTCAGGAGGCTGACATCTGAGAATCACAGTTCGAAGTCAGCTCAAGCAAGACCCCGTGAAACTCTTATCTCCAATAAACCACTCAAAAACCAGAAGTGGAGCTATGGCTCAAAATGGTAGAGCAAAAGATCTCAGGGACAGTGCCCAGACCCTGAGTTCAAGCCCCACAATTGCCAAAAAAATGAAAAAATTTAAAAAATTATTTTGAATTAAGAAAATGGTGAACAAAGGTTAATAAGCAAGAAGGCTCTAAAAAGCTGATTTAGTATCTTTCTTAATATGTTTAATATTTGACATTTATGAACTATGTCATAAAAATAATAAGTCATAAGGTCTAATAACAACAACACTGAACCCACTACCTAATCCAAGAACCAGAATGCTACCAACCTTATTCCAAACCTAGGTAATGTTCTAGAAGTCACTCTCCCCTGTCACCCCCACACTAACATATGTGAACATTTCAAGGAATAAAAGATTATCTTTTGAGGAATTAAGGATTACTTACTTCGAATAATTCTGAGGATAAATGCTTTATATTAGAACAATGTCTCCTATGCAACCCTACATTCAGGGCAAACACTTCTTGGCCTTTGCATCAGTTGGCAATTCAAAGTCTAATGCCTCTTAATATAGGGTAGGGCCAGAATGAAAACAAAGCAGTATCATGCTAAGATACTTGATCACTGCAGTAGTCATTAAATGAAACTATCTGTAAGGAGCTTTTAACAGTTTCTAGTAACTAGACAAGTTAGGAAATAATGGGAAGCCAGGGGTCAGATAATGAGGCTCCAACCCCAATGATCCTCATGTGGGCTTCTGTGGTTTACAAAGTCACCAATGCAAAGAGTAAATACATGAAAACAAATATTTAGCCCCAGGTAGGAAGTCCATGAAACTCTTATCTCCAATAAACCACTAGAAAAACCAAAAGTGGTGCTGTGGCTCAAGCGGTAGAGTACTCGCCTTGAGCTGAAGAGCTGAGAGACAGCGTTCAGGCCCAGAGTTCAAGCCCCACAACCGACGAAAAACAAAACTTTCTTTTTAATTCCTTGAGGTTAAAATGTGTACCTATGATTCTAACATGTGATACCAGACTACCATCCAACTGCTCCTTTCCTTTATGCCTTCACTGCCCATAAATCAAACCTATAAATCTTTGTCAATCTACTTATTGAGAACAAAATTGTTTCATAGTGTGTTATTTTTTAGTAAGGCTAAACATTTTTTTCTGGGATTATTTCCTATTTGCTACTATTTTGCAAACTGATTCTGTTCTTTGCCTTTAAAAAATTTTCTTTTTTTTTTTTTTTTTTTTTTTGCGGGGGGGGTCAGTTGTAGTGCTTGAATTCAGAGCCTGGGTACTTTCCCTGAGCAATTTTTGCTCAAGGCTAGCACTCTTGGAGCCACACACAACTCCACTTCTGGTTTTCTGGTAGTTTTTTGGAGATAAAGAGTCTCACAGACTTCTGTGCAGGCTGGCCTTGAACTATGATCCTCAGATCTCACCTTCCTGAGTAGCTAGGGTTATGGGTGTGAATGAATGTACCTGTCATTTTCCAATGAGTGTGGAGGAGTGAATACTTTTGATATTTGTCTTTTACAACTTTAAGTCTATTTCCACATTATATTAATTGATTTATTTCAATCTGATTTTTTTAAAAAAATTAAGATGTGGAAGTTTATGTTAAAAGAAAAGGGGATGGGTTCCTTTCTCAACTGCTCCTGGATCTCAGCTAAAAACAAACTTTTTATTTGTTTTATACTTCTGGAAATTTACCTAGGGCTTTCCATTCTATGAGGCAAGTGATCTGCACAGTTGGATCCCCAGCCCTTGATTTTTTTCAGACAGGAGGGAGCTCTCACTCTGTACCTTAGGCTGGCCTCAACCCTGTAATACTCTGGCCTTCATCTTGCAAGGGCTAGAACTACAGCAACATAGGAGGCATAGGTAAGAAAATCATGGCTGAAAAATAACTAGGCTCATGCCTATAATCCCAACTACTTAGGAGGCAGAGACTGGAGGATGGTGGTGTAAACCCATCCAGCCCAGGCAAAAACTTAGAGAGACTCCATTTCAAATAATAAGCTAGGTGTGATGGTATGCACCAGTGATCCCAGCTACATGGAAAGCCAAAGGTAGGAGGATGGAAGTTAAGACTAATTAGGTGCAAAAACATAAGACACTATCTGAAAAACAACTAAAGCCAACAAAGGACTGGAGGTTTGATTCCAGTAGGAGAGTGTCTACCTAGCAGGCATAAGCCCTGAGTTCAAACCCCAGTACTACAAAAAAGCACAAAACCAATCAGAACCAAAGGCTCTTCCTGGAATAATTCTCTCTTTAAATTATAAAGCTATGTTTATACACACTTCTTAGGGCTTCTAGAAGTCAGAACAAAATGGGCTAGATTCAGGACCAGTGAGAGCTATTTTGGCCTGGATGTAAACTAAATCTTACTATAAATCAATATAAATCTAATTAAGGCACAAAGAAAATAGCATTTCTACTGACTAATCAAGACCTTTTGTTACAAAATTAAGTAGAATATAGTTCATTAGTATAAAACTTTCAGCTAGGCGGTAGTGGCTCATGCCTATAATCTTAGCTACTGAGGAGGCTGAGATGTGAGGCCTGCAGTTTGAAGCCAGTGTGGGCAGCAAAGTCCATGAGACTCTTAGCTCCAATTAACCACCAGAAAACAGGAAGTGGCGCTGTGGCCCAAAAAGGTAGAGTGCTAGCCTTGAACAAAAGAACTCAGGGACAGCGCCCAAGCCAGGAGTTCAACCAACAACAACAACAACAACAAAACTTTCAGAACTTAAAATAAATGTCTAGCAACTAGTTCCAAGGAAAAAGAAAGTCCAACAACATAAACTTCCCATTGCTGTAAAAACCCAGGATGAAAACCTGTTTCTTTCCTGGCTTAGGAAGAAGACAGGTCTTGGCTGCTCTGCATTCACTATGAATCTGGTCTGAAAAACAAGTACTTCCTCTTTGTCCTTTGAAAACTTGCCTGTAATTTCCCAATTTGACCCAAACAATCTGCTTGTAATGGAGTTTCTTGCCAGCTTTACAGTCATTGCAATTCCAGCAGCCGTCTGGCATATCTATGCTTAGGCATTCTGGGTGGAAGGAAGCCGGGCACGATTCGCAGCAGAGCAATCTTCCACCTTGAAACAAATAGACAGTCTTAATAACTGAGAAAAGAGGAAAGAGAAAAAGAGAAAGGCGAAAGTTACCTTTGAAGTGCATTTGATTTAAGTTGGGGGACAATAACAAAGGGATTAAGTCACATCCATAGAATGGATTAAAATAGAAAATAGAAAACCAAAGAAAATATTTAGCTACTTTTTGGGATTTTTTTTAGGATGTCAGTGGCTAGAAATAGAGCTTTGAGTAGCACCAAAAGCATTATTGTACTTTTTACTCCTCTAAAATATGGACTATTGAAGTACCAGTTTAGCAAGCAGCTAAAACTCTTAAAATTATCAGTAGATGCGTAACATTTTTAGATCGAGTAGATATGAGGGTAAGTTAAAAAAATGAACAATTTTCTTCAGTGATAAGAAATGGACATCTTTATATTTTAATCCAGTGCCAAAATTAACTAAATCCCTTTATAATAAAATTAGAAAGGCCCCTTAACAAGAATGGAAATAGGCAGTAGGCTCAGCAGTATTTTTTTTTTCCATAAGAGGATATAAAAAAGAACATTGAGAACACAGATTCTCTAATTGGTGATTGAGTATCATTATGATTTCAGTGATGACAGAAAGTCAAACGCTATATAGCAGTGGTTTGAAACTTTTTCATTATCAAGGATCCTTTTGCACAGACCCATATTTGCAAATATTGTATCACTTCAACAATTGTGCACTTCAATAATAACAATTTCTATTTTATTTTTTCTCCTATTTTAATAACTACAGAAATGCATATGCCAAAGACCCAGTCCTAATAATCAAACATCACATTAAGCTCTTCAAATTATAGCCAATTATAAAGAAATTCACGTTGCCTTATTTTGTACAAATGTATTATTCTGTTAGATAATAATAGTTCAGATATTATGTTTATATGTCTTCTCAGACTTAATCTTGAGAACCACTGCTTTATAGCGTGAAACTAAGTGATTACCAGTGTAGAATGAAGTTCCATATTTAGGACATCCCTCTAAGTATCCTTTCAAAACTCTCTCCTTTGAAATACACAAAATGATTTCTGGATTGATACCAAAACAAGTATGGCAGAAGTAGAATTTTTAATGCAAAAAAATTGTTTTTTGTCAGGATTAAGCATTTCTAGTATTTCAACAAGTGACAAAAAAGGGATTAACTTCTGATGATGAATATAAGACATTTACTGCAAAAACAAATCCATATTTCCTTTGGAAAATTACCTCTATAACCGCTGAATATACTGAAATTTAAGGTTTCATGAGCAAAAGGTTAAGAACCTTTATGAGACTTGATCAAATGACATGCTCCAACCTTTTGATGGTTTACCATCTATTTTCCAAAAAAAATTTTGTCTTCCTGAAGACTTTCAAGCTTCCAACTGATTAACATGAAAACAAAAATCTATATGCAGTCAGTGATGAATTAAATTTCTGTATTTCCTCTGCTCAAAAGCTTTTCCTTCAATCATCAGGGCTCCCCCACACACCCCCCCTCTTTGACTGAAGATCTCAATATAGACTGATTGGCTGAATTCTCCAGCCCAGAGATTACCTGCCTGAATGCTTCTGAGGAGGATAGAGAATATTCTGTAAATTTAAAGCAAAATGAATGATTCATGGGTCTTGCAAACAGTTTTAGAGATTATCATTATCAGTACTGACATAGAACTCAGGCCAGTCATTTTTAATGATTATTATAAAGTCCTAAATATTGAGTCCTATTTCAGAGGAAATACAGAGCCAGAATCAACAGTGAAAATCATCATGATAAAGATGTTAAAAACACACAGGAAAATAGAAAAAAAATAAAAATACAAATAATCTACCTTGGTGCTATGCAAGAAAACAGCTTTAGGATGCAAGAGAAGTAATATATGGTTCAAGCTAAGCAGAGGGCTCAAAATAATCTCAATTCATGGCAAGGTTAAGACTGAGGGCTGAAAACAAAGCAACAACTGAATTAAACTAATTTTATAAAGATGCCAGCAGGAAAATAAAGCATTTCCTAAAATGCCTCCAGTAAACTAACTTTACTGAATTATGAAGTCAGACCTATGCCCATCTTTGTTTTGGAAGGCAGTATCACCAGTAAGGTTATACAATCTGACCTCATGGAAAACAAACAAAATAAATACCCTTTCCAATACATACTGAGTCCTAATCAACTTGTTTAGTTATACTTTCTTTTAGTCATGAGTGGCTATCTGACAAAGAGCAAAGATATGACCAACAGGCAGCACAATGAATGAAGAAAGAAAGGAAAGAAAGAAAGAAAGAGAGAGAGAGAGAGAGAGAGAGAAGGAAGGAAAGGAAAGGAAAGGAAAGGAAAGGAAAGGAAAGGAAAGGAAAGGGAAAGGGAAAGGGAAAGAGAAAGAGAAAGAAAGAGAAAGAGAAAAAGAAAGAGAAAGAGAAAGAGAGCCGGGCGCCGGTAGCTCACGCCTGTAATCCTAGCTACTCAGGAGGCTGAGATCTGAGGATTTCAGTTCAAAGCCAGCCCATGCAGGAAAGTCCGAGACTGTTATCTCCAATAAACCACTAGAAAACCGGAAGTGGCACTGTGGCTCAAGTGGTAGAGCGCTTGCCTTGAGCTGAAAGAGTGAAGGGATAGCGCCCAGGCCCAGAGTTCAAGCCCCATGACCAACCAAAAAAAAGAGAGAGAGAAGCGAAGAGAGAGAAAGAGAGGGAGGGAGAGGGGAGGGAGGGAGAGAGAGAGGGAGGAAGGAGGGATGGAAAAGGAAAGAAAGAGGGGAAGAGGGGAGGAGGGAAGGAGGGAGGGAGAGGTAAACAGAAAGGAAGGAAGGGGACTCAGGGTATGGATGGATATGGGTTCTATAGATAAGAAGGAAGAAGCCTGGCGCTGGTGGCTCATACCTATAATCCTAGCTACTCAGGAGGCTGAAATCTGAGGATCACGGTTCAAAGCCAGCCCGGGCAGGAAAGTCCATGAGACTCTTATCTCCAATAAACCACCAGAAAACCGGAAGTGGTGCTGTGGCTCAAGTGGTAGAGTGCTAGACTTGAGCTGAAGGACAGCACCCAGGCCCAGAGTTTAGCCCCACGGCCGACAAAAAAAAAAAAAAAAAAAGAAAGAAAAGAAAAAGAGAGAAAAAGAGAAAAAAGGAAAGGAAGGAAGAAATAAAGAAAGAAGGAAAGAAAGCACATTTCATGTATACCTAGTATACCATACATGATACATATCAGGCATGCATGAATTTTTCTTTATAGATTCCATATCTGGCCTCCAGATCCAAATGGGAAACGTATATAAGAAAATCCCTTTACCTTCCAAGCTCACCCTTTTTTTTCTCTGGGATAGTAACTCCCCAAATAATACATTATTGTTAAATCAGTTTTTCTCTTGATTACCAGTACGCTATGGGATACTAAACACAGATGTCTTCTTCTATGGATGAAATCCACTGGAGGAATATAAATATGCATTCAGCTCTTGATTTCCTATGGATTATCTATCAGCAATTCAGCTGGGCTGCCTTCTAACATCCAGTATTTGAGGAACCTTCTATGCCCACTTTCCCACCAATGTCTTGTAAGGAAATAGCAGCAATTTTTATAGCATTTTAACAAATATTTAAGAAACAAAATGTTAGAATGCATTCTAAAATAAAACTTTTAAGTATGTGTATCTTGATTTCCTTCTCTTAAAAACCTATCTTATTATTCAGCTGACAGTAACACATCATACTTCTATTCTAACATAAACGCTAGTTCTACATCAGGCAGAAGGGAAAGAGCCTTTAAAACATTCTTATATGTTGGAAAAAAAAATCTTACTCTTGCTACTTTAATAACCTACATATTTGGAATGTGTGAAAAGTAACTCAAGGAGAATGGAAAATGTGATAACAGAATTATTTTAAGCCCTTTTTAATAATTTTGCAGCCGTATGAAGACACAGTCACAACCACCAAGGCAGAATTTACCAAAAGCAACAGATGGTGCTTGACAGGCATACATTTCCCCCCTTCATTTAAAGAGAAAAAAATAGGAAATGCAAAAATAAAACGAGATAAACTATTTTGATTATTACCTTTCTCACATTTCTTTTTGGAAGCTGACGAAGAAGGAATCATAGGTAATTTCATCAACTCAGCACGATTTGATTCGTTCAGTAGGTAGTGGGACTTATAGGCATAGGAACTGAACATGGGGTCTGAATGGTCCTGAACTATCAGCCCTATACGAAACAAACAGAAAGAGATGAGCTGCAATGAAACTACCCATGATTCCATGAGGTAAGAAATAAACCAACACCTATTATGAAGCTGGGCTTGAAAGTTGGGTGTGGAGGGAGGACATGAACAAAAAAGAAAGACCTAACAGAAAAGCTTGCTACAGTTACTGAAAGTAGTATGAGTTATCAAATGCCTTATAACTATATAGAAACCTCTACACTTTCTAGAAGAAAACCCTGAATCATTTGAAAACATACACAACATTTGATATCATACCAAAACTCTGAAAGATTACTGAAAACTCAAGAAGGAAAACAAATCTATGTTCCTTAACATTTGGAAGTACTATGATGACCATCCAAAGAACAAAACAAGGTATTACTTTGCTAGCTAGAAGAGCAATCATGAAACTCAGACCTATTTCAAAATATCCAATAGGACTCAAAGACAGAACTGAGTCTCCTATCTCTTCCACTCATATCTTGAGAAACACTCAAGTAAATTCTAGCATTCTCTGTCAAATAATGAAACTTTATCAATACAATATACGATTTTAGCTGGGCACTGGTGACTTACACCTAAAACCCTAGCTACTTAGAAGGCTGAGATCTGTGGATCGAGGTTCAAAGCCAGTTGGGGCAGGTAAGTTCATAAAACTATCTCCAACAAACCACCGAAAAGCTGGGAAATGAAGCTGTGGTTCAAATGGAGTAATACTTGCCTTGAACAAAAAAGCTCAAGGACAGTGTCCAGGTCCTAAGTTCAAGCCCCAGGACAGTAAGGAAAAAAAAAAAAGAAAGTGGTTGTGACAATGCAAGGGTTTATTGAAGCAGGATCTACCATCTAGCTTCCTATCTGGAGGAAAACACACAATCTACTACAATCACCCATGATTCTTCTTTTTGCCTCTCTTCTTCCCGAGTTAGGTTTCTAATTCAACTGCAAGCCACTCCTAAATCCAGGCAACTATGAGACCAGAGAATATTTCTCTATCTTGGTTACTAGTTACTGTATTGAAATCTATAACTTTACAACACAAATCACAACAGCAATTTCATTTAGGGGTCATGTTGAGAGGAGGAAGGATATCATTTACTTTTTCCTGTGGGTTTTACCTTTTAGATACTGCCATCTACTGAGATGGAATCAAGAAATGCTTCTGAACCAGATGATAGGAAAGGAACCTGACAGTGCTAATTATATAAGAATCTTCTAAGAAGAGTTATGCAATGTCCAAACAAATTCCACACATTTAATAGGAGACAGTGTAGTTTGTATTTAAAAAGTAGGCCTCGGGCTAGGTTATAGTGGATTGTGTCTGTAACCCTAGCTACTCAAGAGGCTGAGATCTGAGGATCAAGGTTCAAAGCCAGGCCAGGCAGGAAAGCCTGTGAGACTCCAACCAATTACCAACAAGCTGTAAGTGAAGTTGTAGCTTGGGGCATAAAAAGCTAAGGGACAACCCAAGCTACGTTCAAGTCCCAGTACATACATACACCAGGCTGAGTTCAAGTCCCAGTACATACATACACATGTGTACACACACACACACACACACAAGCAAAATAACAAGACTTTATATTATCAAAATTTTATTTCACAAGTATTTTTATACAAGCAGTACTACATGCTTGTAGTCATGGCACTCGAGAGGCTGAGGTAGAAAGGTCAATGGAGCCCATGAGTTCACGATGATTTAGGCAACATAGCAAGACTTCATCTTTTAATTAAAAATTGTAAAAAATATTTTACAATACTATTAAAGCAAAAACAAAAAAATGTTTTCATCTTTAGAACAGTTTAAATAAAATATAACAGGCCTAACAGGCCTTAAGAGTCCTCTCAAATATTTCACACAAAGATAAGTATACAAAACTTGGCACTTGCATTAAAAACAACAGAAATAGTACTTGAGGATACTAGTTTATTTCCAAATACTTACTAAATTTTTTTTGAAAAAAGTTTCATTGTAATACAACCAAGATAAATCTGGATCCCATGTATCATAAAGAAGCTCTGCTTGCTAGCATGCATATGGCCTTGAGTTTGAGTTTGATCCCAGAACCATTACCCCCTACCCCCTGCAAAAACAATAACGAAAGAAAGAAAGAAAGAAAGAAAGAAAGAAAGAAAGAAAGAAAGAAAGAAAGAAAGAAAGAAAGAAAGAAAGAAAGAAAGAAAGGAAGGAGACAGAAAAAAGGCTCTATTTATATGTACAAGAAACTCAAGCTTGCGGACCCTCCCCAGGGCCATAGTGTTTTCAGCTGATCAGTCTCTTGGCATACTTAAGTATCATAGCTAGCAAGTAAAAGTCTTTGTTGCTGACTCTTAAGTAAATCACCTTAGCTTTGTCTTATCAAGCCCTCTGAATGCTAGACCCAAAACATCATAAAATGCAACATAAACAATGGAAAAATAACTGTGCTAGCTTTGTCTTCCAAGTAAAACTTAGTAAGATGAAAGCTCTAGATTAAAGAGAGGACATGAGAAAGATCTACTTCAAAAATACTTGCAGATTATTAATCCTTTCAATTATAGAAATTTAAATAGAGGGCTGGGAAGATGGCTCAGTGGTAGAGCACTTGCCTTGCATGCCTGAGGCCCTGGGTTCGATTCCTCAGCACCACATAAGCAAAAAGAAAAAAGCCGAAAGTGGCACTGTGTCTCAAGTGGTAGAGCGCTAGCCTTGAGCTGAAGAGCTGAGGGACAGCGCCCAGGCCCAGAGTTCAGGCCCCACGACCGGACCTCCCCCCCCCCCCCAAAAAAAAAAAAAAAGGAAATATTAAATAGAAAAACCAAGAACTTATCTGCAATTCTATGTTTGTTTTATTTTTAATATATTGATGGTGCTGGGGACTGAACCCAGAGCCTTGCATATGCTTGATAGGCAAGCACCCTATCACTGAGCTATTTTCTTAGCGCTCTATTTTTAAAGAAAATTCTAGGGGCTGGGAAGGTGGCTCAGTGGTAGAGCGCTTGCCTTGCATGCATGAGGCCCTGGGTTTGATTCCTCAGCACCACATAAGCAAAAAGAAAAAAGCCGGAAGTGGCACTGTGGCTCAAGTGGTAGAGCACTAGCCTTGAGCTGAAGAGCTGAGGGACAGCGCCCAGGCCCAGAGTTCAGGCCCCACGACCGGACCCCTCCTCCCCCCCAAAAAAAGAAAAAGAAAATTCTAGCTTAGCTTTTGGGAAAAAAAATAACAATCTGAATGTCTGTACCTGGTGGAACAAGCACCTGAAACTTAGATAGGAGGATCCTGAGTTTCAGGCCACACAGCAAGACCCTGTCTCTAAGTGAATAAGTAAATAAAAGGGACTTTTGGTAATGTGCACCTCTCCAGGAGTTTAACAGAACAGAATTTGGCATTGGGTGATAGGCTGTACAGAATGGCCTGAGTTCTCTCAATGCTGAGACTCATTCTAAGTGGAAATATGCCAATGATCTGACATGGAAATAAAGAGGGTTGACACTTACCTCTGGCACAAACAAAACAAAAGCCTACATTTATAGCAGCAGTAGTATGATTGCCCCGTTTGGAATGGTTACTACAGATGAGAATGTAGGAGGTCACAGATACACTTCCAGCAGCAATGCAAGCATCTCCACAGTGATAGGCGACTGGACATCGCAAGCATCTCATCATGCGTCCTGTGTAAAGACAAGTCAAGTAGGGTTGTACTGAGCTGGACAGGAGTCTTTTGAAGTTGGGCTTTCTTGAGTTCTCATGTGACATTAATTATAGTAACTATAAAATACTTTTTCTTCACCAGGCTGTTTCTATCATTTCTATGCATATGATCCTAAATAAAAGCCTAGTAACCATTTAGAGATTGTTCAAAGAAAAAAACAATCTGTTCCAATGCTGGAGAGATCCTGATAATCCAAAATGGTGCCTGTTTAAGGGCTTTTCAAGTGTAGTTTTGAACATATCAAATTTTCTTTTTTAATAGTATTTTTGGTACAGGGGATTAAACCGAGAACATTGCACTTGTTAAGCAAGTGCTTTTGCCACTGCACTAAACCCTAGCCCTGGAATTTTCTTCTCATGGATTTGCATGGAATTTCTTCTCATAGATTTATAGTTAAGCCTTTAACCACAAATTAGAGAGAATGCCTGATGTTGTCTGTATTGTGTTTAATGCATTTTTTTGACACTGAACTTCAAACAAGAAATCTTTGTCCCCTCCTGTAATTTATGTTACCTTTGCTTGCTTTGTGGATGTCTTTCTCCATAGAGCAGGCAGAGCAGCAATGTTGAGGACAGCGGAATCCTTTAGACTCAAAGATGGCAGTAGGAAATTTGCGAACACAGGCTTCGTGATAAAATTTCCCACAAGTTCCAACAGAACAACGCTTCACATCTTTACCAGATACTTTGCATGAAAAACATGGGTGTTCCCCTGAAAGATTGGTGAGGACCATAGTTAAATAAGATCTGATTAAAACATTCAGTTTACTTATTTATTTGGGGTGTAAGGAATGGAACCCAGGGCCTTGCATATGCAAGGCAAGTCCTCTACCACTGAGGTACAGCCACAGCCCTGGGTGTTTCTTGAGACAAGATTCCACTAGTTTGGAATGGCATGAAACTTACTAGGTAGCCCAGGTTTGCCTTGAATTCATGACCCTACTGTTCTCTGACTGATTGGATTATAGGCATATGTTATCATGCTTGGGTACATATTCCTTTCAGAGTTGTCCTCCAAAAAAGAAGCTCTACAATTACATTTAACACATTTTTTTTCCTTGGGTCAGGTCGTGGGGCCTGAACTCTGGGCCCGGGCGCTGTCCCTCAGCTCTTCAGCTCAAGGCCAGCACTCTACCACTTGAACCACAGCGCCACTTCCGGCTTTTCTTCCCCCTGCTTATGTGGTGCTGAGGAATCGAACCCAGGGCCTCAAGCATGCAAGGCAAGTGCTCTAACACTGAGCCACCTTCCCAGCCCCTACATGTAACACATTTGAGTGTGTTGACACATGCCTATAATCACACTTGTTTGTAAGACAGAGATGGAAGGACAGCAATTTGAGGCCAGCCAGAGCAAAGAAAAAGTCAATAAGACCTTTATCTCAGAACATAAATTGGACATGGTGGCACATGCCTATCACTCCAGTCATGCAGGATATGGACACAGGTCCAAGGCTGGCTCCATGCAAAAATGTGACACCCTATCTGGATAAAATAAAAATAAAAAGGGACCGGGGCATAGTTCAACTGAGAGAATACTTGCCTAGAAAGTACAAGGCCCTGAGTTAAAATCCTAGTATAGATAAGCATTAAAGAGGCTGCATTATTTGAGAAAATTAATAAATACCTGTGATATGAATAAAGAAAACTTATTAATATTAATGATATGAAAAATGAGACATCACTATAAATTGCACAAACATAAAGATACTAAAAGTGCATCAAAGCCAGGTGCTATGCCTATAATTCTAGCTACTTAAGAGGCTGATATCTGAGGATCATGGTTCAAAGCCAGCCCAGGCAGGAAAGTCTGTGAGGCTCTCTATCTCTAATTAGTCACCAAAAAGCTAGAAGTAGAACAGAGCTGTGGTACAAGTGGTGCGATACTAGTCGAGCAACAAGCTCAGAGACAGTTTCTAGGCCCTGCGTTCAAGCCTCAGGACCAGCACACACAGACACACAGACAAAAATATATCAATATATCTCACTAATAAATTTAAATTCTTAGATGAATGAACAAATTCCTAGAAAAACAGATCTCACCAATACTGGTGCTAAAATATTAAACTGTCAGAAGAAATTGAAACTATAATTGAACGTATTCCAACAAAGAAAATTGTATGCCCCCATGGCTCCAATGGTCATTGTGCCAAACATTTAAAGGGGGGAAAATGATGGCAATTATAACAGAAACGAGGTAAAATGAAAAACACACAAAAAAGAAACAAGTACAAGAAAGCAGATGTGGGAAACATGAACCAAAAATGGCTAAGAAAAAAGATGACTGAGGATTATATTTTGTCCTCTAGAGTTCACATATGTAGAAAATACACACCACCTATGTAAGTAAAGCTAACTGAGTAAGATTTCACAAGCAGTCAGAGAAATGCTAATGGAAACCGATTTAAAACACAAAGAATAGTTGGATAATACCTGTTGTTGATAAGAGCATAGGTAAGGTAGTCTCTTACACAATTGGTAGGAATTAATGTTGGAAAGAGCTATCATCCTAGGCGACAACTAGGCAATATTGTTCTCAATAAAAGCACTATCAGAAAGTGGAGCTGTGGCTCAAAGGGTAGAGCGCTAGTCTTGCTCATGGACAGCACCCAGGCCCTGAGTTCAAGCCCCACAATGGACATACATACATACATACGTACACACATACATGCATGCATGCATGCACAATCACATCCTCTAGCCTACATGTTCTAGTTCTTGGTGAAGACATTTACATACATGAATAAACGATTACTGCAGCACTGTCTGTAACTGCAAAAAGCTGAAAGCACCTCATATTTCTTCCATAGGGGAAGAGATAAATAAACCATGATGTGTGCATATTATGAAATACTGTCCAATAAATAAGATGCACTTCTATTTGACATAAAGAGACTCTTACAGGACAAGGGTATGACACATTTTTTGTTAAGCATATGTAAAAATGTTATACAGACAGAAAGGTTTACAGTACTACCCAAGAAACTGATAACAATAGCTAACTCTGGAGATAGCCAGAAATACATTTATAGAGAGGGGTCTAGGATTTTAAGAGTGGTGATCAAGGCTTGGGCTGCAGCTCAGTGACAGAACACATGCCTATTATTAGAATTTACCAGGCCATGGAGACCAATTCTCAGCACCAAAAAAAGAAAGGGAAAAAAACAAGAGTGATAATCATTTAGAGACATGAGTTAGAAAAGTTAATTATGATATGTTCATAATAAAGTTTATATAATTAGAAATAAAATTAAAATACTATCAATAAGAATACTATATAACATAAATGGACAAGATTCAAAAAAAGCAAATAAAATACAGAAAAATGCTCAGCTGGAAAGAAAGAACTACAAATTATGACAACTAGTCCTACATTTAATGGGTATTTTGATATCAGCCCTTGAAAAGTGTTTAAATCTGTTGATTTCTTTTCAATTATCCCTATAAAAATCAGAAGGGAAATATAAGAAACAATATTGGTTTTTGCTTTACAAAACAGTAAGTTGAATTACAAGATTATTCCTTGACTTTTCAAATTGCCTAATTTTCAGAAATTGGCTGAATTATAATTTTTTTAAATGAGTAGTTACCTTTACCATGAAAAAATAAAATGAGTAGTTACAACTGTGATGTCTGCATATTTTTGTTGCCTTTATTCTAGAAATAAAACACAATAGGACCCAGCCAGGAATCTACCCTGAGCAACAGGAACCAGGATACAAGGACACATGCACCTCCATGTTCATTGCAGCACTGTTCACAATAGCCAAGAAAATACGGAAACAACCCAGATGTCCCACTACAGATGAGTGGATCGAAAAATTGTAGTACTATACAATGGAATATTATGCAGCCATTAGAATGGACAAAATAATGGCATTTGCAGGGAAATGAATGGAACTAGAGCAAATCATTTTGAGCGAAGTAAGCCAAGAGCAAAGAGACAAATGCCACATGGTCTCCCTAATATGTGGATGCTAAAGCCAAAAATGCAAGGAGATATGACAAAGTAAACAGGACTCGAGAAACAAAGGACTTCCACTCATTTTGTCTTATTATTGCTAAATGACTCCATGTTCTTAACCACATATATGGTATAAGTATGCATAAATCTGAGGGAAGCTAGGAGGAAGACACAGAATCAGAGGGAAATGGGAAAACATACAACAGAGTGGCCTATTGCACTGGACAGAGATGAAAATGAACTAAGTAACTCAAAGGCAGCAATGGGAGGGAAGGAATGAGAGGAAAAGAGGGAAGATCTTACACTAAGCAAAAGGAAAGAAATGTAAATCTCACCTGATGTGCAAAAAATAGATGTATTGTCAAAGCTCATAGAATTCACAAACTTTATAGATCATGATAATGACAACTTGCCTTATGAAGGCTAATGCGTTGTGACTTTAACTAAGTATCACTATGCCACAATACTGTGAAATTTGTGAAATTTATATAATTACCTAATCTCAATAAAAAATTAAAAATTAAAAAAACACAATAGGGTTTTCCTTATTATTTTCCTATAGCAAACTTGTAGTTCTGAGTTACATCACAGCATGTATATAGCTGTGAAAAGTATTTTTTAAAATATTTTATTGTAAAGATACTGTACAGAGGGGTTACAGTTACATGAGTAAGGTAGTGAGTTCTTTTCCTATCAAGCATTGTTACCCCTCTTTGTTTTTCCCCTACTATCCCTTCCCTCACCATCTCCCCAATTCCTCCTTCCCCAACAAGTGGTAAAGTTCATTTTCAATGTAGTGTATTGTATTTCTTGTTACAATGGGTCGACCTGTATCCTTGTTTCAGCATTTTGTTATTTCCCTTCCCTTCCCCAAATTGGAAAAATGTATATACAAGATGCAGGGCACCAGAATCAAATACAGTGACAATAGGGGGAAGACAATGGGGGAAGAACATACAAAAGAAACAAAAAAATCACATAGTACATTAAAAACAACAGCAACAGAGACAAAAGCCTCTTGTATCCCTATCTTGGGGTTCATTTCACTTAGCATCATCTTATATGGCCATATGTACATAGCTTCTGTCCTTTTCTGATTGTCTGGTAAGATTATCCTAGATGTATACTAGTTATTGCAAATAAGAGAAATAATGGGACCTATGTTTCTTTGGATCTGGCTTCTCTTAATATAATTTTTTCCAAGTCTTTCCATTTCCTAACAAATGGGGCAAGTTACTATTTTTTTTTAATAACTTCTGGAGCTAGGATATGATTTGGTAGTAGAACATTACATAGTGTATGGAAGGCCTAGGGTTTTACCCTAGGGGGTAAAAAAAGCCCTGAGGGAAAAAAGTCATTTTTAGATGTTAATAAAATTAAAATATACATTTTAAAGATAAATTTAACTAAAAAATGCATAAACTACTCCATATAAGAGTGGTCTTCATGTGCATGATCATAATAAGCCTATTAAGTTCTAACTGGTGCAAGTGATAGACTGATTGTTGAATTGTCCAATTCCTTTGACTTACGTCAGACCTCTAGCTTGTGAAAGGTAAAAGTATCCTCCCTTCCCATAATGAATTAGGGTTTTTTTTTCCTTTTTTTTTTTGTTGGTTGTGGGGCTTGAACTCAGGGCCTGCACATTGTCCTTGAGCTTTTTTGCTCAAAACTAGCGCTCTACCACTATGAGCCACAGTGCCACATCTGTTTTTTTAGTGGTTAATTGTAGATGTAAGTCTCACGGATTTTCCTTTCAGGCTGGCTTTGAATTGTGATCCTCAGATTTCAGCCTCCTGAGTAGCTAGGATTACAGGTGTGAGCCACTGGTACCTGGCTTGTAATCTCAGTCCTTCTGTTCAAAGTAGTAAAAGGAAGTGATTCTTTTCCAGAAAACATATTTGTCTTAAATAACAGAAAGTGAGAGTCTAATTAGCAGGAAGAAAAAACAGTAAGATCATGGGTTTGAGGCCAGAATGGGCTATGTAGCAAGTTACAGGTGAGGCTAGACTACACAGGAAGACCCTGTCTCAAAAAAACAAAACTGGTTGCTATGACTCAGGCCTCTAATCAAAGCAACTCAAGAGTCTTGAGATTTGAGATTCACAGCTAGGTAGAAAAATCCAAGAGATTCCTATTCATAATTAACCAGCAAAAAGTCAGAAAAGGTGTAGCTTAACTGGTAGAGCACCCTCTGTGAGCAAAAAAGTCAAGCAAGAGCACAAGAGTTCAACCCCCAGTGCCATCATAAAAGAAAGGAAGTGTGGGGGCTGGGAAGGTGGTTCAGTGGTAAAGCGCTTGCCTTGCATGCTTGAGGCCCTGGGTTCGATTCCTCAGCACCCATAAACAAACAAACAAAAAAATTGGAAGTGGCGCTGTGGCTCAAGCGGTAGAGCGCTAGCCTTGAGCTGAAGAGCTGAGGGGCAGCACCCCAGCTCAGAGTTCAGGCCCACGACCAGACTCAAAATAAAAAAAAAAAGAAAAGAAAAGAAAGAAAGGAAGTATGTCTGACTTCATTCTTTTGCACATATACTCATTTTTCTAGGCTCATTTGTTAAAATTGTCCTTTCCCCAACTAATGGTCTTTACACGTTGTCAAAAATCATTTGACCAGAACTAGAAATGTGGCTCAATTGTAGACCTCTTGCCTAACAAGTATGAGGCCCTGGGTTCCAAATTCAGCACCACCACCACCAAAAAAAATCCCCCCCAAACAAAAACCCTAAAACAACAATCATTTAAGTTGGGTGCCAGTGGCTCATGCCTGTACTCCTAGATACCAAGGAAGCTGAGATTTGAGGATTGCAATTTAAAGCCAGGCCAGGCATCAAAGTCCCTGTGAGGCTCTTATCCCTAATTAATCACTCAAAAACCTGAAGTGTAGCTGTAGCTCAATGTGGTAGAGTGTTAGCCTTGATCACAAAAGCTCAACGACAGCACCTAGGCCCTGAGTTCATGCACCAAAACCTCCCCTCTCCCACACACATATACAATCATCTGAACATATATGCATGGGTTTACTTCTAGGTTTTCTACTCTATTCCATTAGTATATGTCTATTATCTCCATACCAGTATCATTGTTTTGATTTTTTTTTCTTTGTCAGTCATGGGGTTTGAACTCTGGGCTTGGGTGCTGTCCCTGAACTTTTCAACTCAAGGCAAGCACTCTACTACTTGAGCCACAGTGCCACTTCCAGTTTTCTGGTGGAGATAAGAACCTCACAGACTTTCCTGCCTGGGCTGGCTTTGAACTGCGATCCTCAGATCTTAGCCTCCTGAGTAGCTAGGATTACAGATGTGAGCTACCGGTGCCCAGCTGATTTGGTTTTTAAATCAGGAAATATAAGTCCTCCAACCTGATACTATTTGTTTATGAATTTTCCTCTTAAATTTCCAATAGGTATGTGCCAAATGAGACTCTACTCCACCTTTGTTGTCAGAATTCTACTGTCTTCTAGAGCTCAGCCCTATGAGTGTTTTAAGACTGAAAATACATATGGCCCTTCCAATCCAAACCAGGATTGCGTATTTAAACTCCAGTGGTTTATGTGGGGTTTTTTGGTCAGTGGTGGGGCTTGAACTCAGGGACTAGGCGCTGTCCCTGAGCCTCTTTGTGCTCAAGGCTAGGGCTCTCTACTATGTGAGGCATAGCACCACTTCCATATTTAAACTCTTAAAGTGGCCATGCAGGTTACAAAGTACTAGGGCTTTAGGAAAAGGGATTATTGGGAAATGTGGGCAACCAAGAGGGCCTGCCTATCATAAATATTCAAAAATGAAGTTATTTTTCAACTTGTGTTTTTTTTGTTTTGCTTTTGTATTTTTTTGGGGGGGAGGGGGATTCCGGTCTTGGGGCCTGAACTCTGGGCCTGGGCGCTGTCCCTCAGCTCTTCAGCTCAAGGCTAGCGCTCTACCACTTGAGCCACAGCACCACTTCCGGCTTTTTTCTTTTTTGCTTATGTGATGAATCAAATCCAGGGCCTCATGCATGCAAGGCAAACACTCTACCACTGAGCCACCTTCCCAGCCCTGCTTTTGTATTTTTGAGATAGGATCTCTATTCATGTGTAACCCACACTGGCTTCAAACTTAAGATCCTCCTGCCTCAGCCTCCTGAGTATTGAGATTAGAGTTGTATATCATCATGTCTCCCTTTATACATGCCTTAATTTTACAGATCTCTAACATAACAGAGTCTTAGTTCTTGCTAGGTACTGGTGGTTCACACCACTATCACTAGCTATTCAGGAAGCTGAGATTTGAGGATCATGGTTCCAAGCCAACCTGAGCAGGAAAGTCCATGAGATTCTTATCTCCAATTAATTACCAAAAACATTAAAATAATATAAAGCTTAAGTGGTAAAGTACTAACATTGAACAAAAAAGCTCAGGGACAGTGCCCAGTACCGAGTTCAAGCTCCAGGACTGGCAAAAATATATATATGGAAGACCAACAAAACAAAGAAAACAATGTACAACTATCTTTCCGAGAGGCTGCTAGGTGGCAAATTGGTCATAGTTTTATATCTAAATGTGATGATGAACAAAGCATTTGTGATAGGGAAATATACACTCTACATATGCTAAACAGCATTTATAGTATAATTTATAGTGTTATTAGTATGTGGTAGGATATATGGCTATGAAATGGAACATCAGCTACTTGGAGTCTGCCTAGGCTCAAATTCCACCTTCATTATATAGTACCTTTTGAAACTGGGCAGTGTACTAAATTCTCTATTCATTTTCCCTCTTCTACAAAATAGAAAAATAATGGTATGTACCTCATAATGTCCTTATGTTAATATCACAGGCTAACACAGTATTACCAGCACCTGGTATTTAGCAAGTGTTCAATAAAATTACCAAAGAATTTTTGGGGTATACATTTAAATGATAAGATAAAAAATAAATGTGAGAATCCAAATAAAGAGGGAAAAAAATGTCCAAGAAGGTCAACATATCATATATACTTGATATCCACTTAACTCTTAAAACCTCCTTCAAAAAAATCAAAATCCGGGCTGAGAAGGTGGCTCAGTGGTAGAGCGCTTGCCTTGCATGCATGAGGCCCTGGGTTCGATTCCTCAGTACCACATATGCAGGGAAAAAAAGCCAGAAGTGGCACTGTGGCTCAAGTGGTAGAGTGCTAGCCTTGAGGTGAAGAGCTGAGGGACAGGGCCCAGGCCCAGAGTTCAGGCCCATGACTAGACCCCCCCCCCCCCCAAAAAAAGAAAAATCAAAATCCAATGTATACACACACACGCACACATACAAAACTCATGTGCACACATACATAGCTCATAAAAACAGCACTACATGTTGTCAATCAGGTTTTTACTTGCTATGCTGTTTCAGACTGATCAACAATTACTGCTTTCCCTGAGTTTAACCAGGGTTACATAGAAAAGAAACAAATGTTTCTCTTTGTGTATAATTGATCTTCTGACAGATGGTAGTATCCTAGCAGAATAAGAAAGAAATGGTGAATCCAAGTTTAAAATAAAATTTCCAGTAGCTCTATCTTTCCACTAAAACAGACTCAGCATGGTTACAGTTTTGATTGAAACAATTCTAATCTATTAAAATTAAAGGATTTGGGGCTGGGAAGGTGGCTCAGTGGTAGAGCGCTTGCCTTGCATGCATGAGGTCCTGGGTTTGATTCCTCAGCACCACATAAGCAAAAAAGAAAAAAGCTGGAAGTGGTGCTGTGGCTCAAGTGGTAGAGCGCTAGCCTTGAGCTGAAGAGCTGAGGGACAGCGCCCAGGCCCAGAGTTCAGGCCCCACGAATGGACCAAAAAATAAAAAATAAATAAAATTAAAGGATTTTAAATAATTTACTGAGCACAAAAAAATCTCAAAACTATCTGAAAAATTCAATTCACATACCTTGTATAATTCTTTACATAAGACAAACTTCTCCTAATGTTTTGCTAGAGTTATGGTATAGAAACAGGTAGGAAGAAGTTTGTGCCTAGGAATCTAAATTGTTGGATGGTGTTTTAATTTATTGAAATACCCATAGGAGAGAAACAAAGTTATACAAGATGAAGAAAGAATCAGATGTTAGGGAAAATGTCACTCTTCCCTCTCCATTTCCTTAGAGTAGCTTACCAGTGTTACACTCTGTGCAGATGAACTTCCCTTCAGGAACTGATGTCAACCCCAGGCATTCCAGGTGAAAGTGTCTGCAGCATTCTCCCTCACATGGAGTCAGAGAGTCACCAGGGCTTTCACAGATCTACAAAATGGGGGGCAGGGGGCAAGCAGTGTTTCTCAAACTAGCAGGTTTCAGAATCCCACAGAGGGCTTATTAACTTAGCAAAATACAGGTCAGTGGGTTCTTCTCCAGATTCTAAGCCAGGGGGTCTAGGGTGGCTCAGAATTTGCTTTTCTAACAAGCTTTCTGGAGAGGCTGTCCTTGGACTTCCCTCTGAACTACATAGCTATTGCAACATGGCATAAAAAGCTGCAAAGTCATACTTGATCTTTTATGGTTCCTTCTTTGTGATTGCATAGTTTAGCTTTTCTTCAAGGAACAAAATAATATTTTTCCAACAGAGTAAAAATACATTTAAAAGTTCATAAGCTCAAATTTAGGATAAAGTATTTGAAATCTGTCATCTGTTATTTACTTCCAATTAATATAAAAAAGATGACTGGTACTTGCATTTGAACGACAAGAATGTCAACTCAGAAAAGGTAGACAATAAATTCCAGATCTGTACCTTTAAATCAGCACCACAATTTAGAAACACAAGGCCCTCTTTCAGCATATCAAACACGATGGCAATTGTGATCAGCCAGAGGATCAGCCTCCTCCCTACCTGACACACGGTGTCCTTCCTACTGCCAACACCTCTTCGGGACAAATTTGAATCCATGGACTGTGCATCAGACATGTCTGCATCTGCAGTAGCTGAAGGGCTATCTACTTGTTTTCCGAAGCCTACCTATATAGAAAACATAGCACATCTTAAAGAAAAACAAAACAGAACTCTGCTTAAAGTTACATGCAATGAAAATCCTGGTAAGGATAGATCAGGTAGATATTGACACACCTTTTTCTTCCTAAAACCCATGGATACCATATGCCTGCTGTTTGAGGGAGAAATTGTAGTTAAAATAAAAAAAAAAAAAACCAACTATGATCTATGATTTTTTTTTAATTTACTTTTTGGTGCTAGTACTTGGGCTTGAATTCAGGGCTTGGGCATTGTCCCTTAGCTCTTTTGCTCAAGGCTAATGCTCTACCACTTGAGCCACACCTCAACTTCCAGCTTTTTGTGGTTAATTGGAGATAAAAGTCTCATGGACTTTCTTGCCCAGGCTGGCTTCAAACCTTTATCCTCAGATCTCAGCCTCCTAAGTAGGTAGGATTATAGGCCTGAGCCACTGGCACCCAGCAAAATAGAATTCTGCTATGTGAGAGAATTGTAAAATTTCAGGCATGTATAAAGGCAAGTGTGGTGGTGCACAACTGTAATCCTAGTACTCAGGAGGCTGAGGCACAAAGATTTTAAAGTTTGAAGCCATCCTGGGCTACACATAGATGAAGATCTTGTCTCAAAAAACAAAACCACAAGTTACAAAATAACCAGTCATTTTTTGTCCCATAAATTTGAGTATTTAGAAATCTCCCTCATTTCTTTAAGTAAGCTAGACAAAGCATTGTGGTACTTTTGTTTGCAAAGCAAAAAAAGGCAATTCTACCCAGATCCAGGCACGTATTTACCTGCAGATCACTCAGTCCTCTAGAATCGGAGTCAGACGTGTCTCTGTATGCAGAACTAGTCATTTCTACATCTGTTGAGGCTCGACTCCTTTTCTTTAGAGGTTTACAGGAATCTGAAATCTCGCTGGCACCTTAATACAACACACTGAAATTAATCCTAAGTAATACTTAAGGTTTATCATTTTAATTTTTTTTGTGTGGGAGAATATTTTCTTTCCCCAAACTCCTTTCTTTAGTGTAGGAGGGAAAAAAAAAAGCACAGATCTCTTTGTAATACTGAAGATGCAAGTCAAAACTTCATGAGCTTCTGACCTTTCTTGCTCTATTAAAACATTTAATTCAGTTCTCCTGCTCTAAAATAGCTCTAGAACTATTTTCAGTCAACACAGCTCAAATTCCAACCTAAAAACCAATTGTATCAAAACTGCAGGACAGCTGATTAATTTGGAGCAACTCAAAGCACCATTTGATTTGGAGGGGGAAGACATAAAACCCAACACACTGTGTAGTTTACAAATATGGTTGCAGAGACATCTCCATCTTGTTTTTATTAGGGATGTGACAAATCTTTGATTTGTATTCGATTCGTACACGGATAGTGCCATTTTCCCCCAAATTTTGTGATTTAGTTGATTATTGTCCCCCCAATAAATTTTGAATGTTCATGATTGTTTATCTGAGACTTGGTGAAGTGGCATTTATTGTGACCATTAACAAATGCTGCAGCACTATACATGTCATGCCATTTAGGAGGCACACTGCTGAGTACTGTAAATGGACAATCAGTATTCAATGCAGTCAAATCATGAAGAGCTGGATGAGAAGCCTCTGTGGAATTTGTGCGGGAAGGAATAAATATGGAAAAAAAAAAAAAAGACAGAGAATAGTGTGGAATTTTTTTTTTAAAACTGTGTGTAATACAAATCCAGCCAAAACAATAGTGCAAAAAGTTACAAAGCAACAATCTCTTGGGCTAATGCAGTATAGGCTATACAGAAACAGCCACGATGAAATGTGCAGATCAGGCACGGTGAATACCAAGGAACCAAGGAGACGGTTATATTTCCACCCACAGTTTGTGTTTTGGATTTTTTTTCCCCCAGAATTTCCATACAACAGACAGACATCTAGATCAGCCCAGCAAGCTATGGTGGAAGTGTGCAGTCCAGAAGAGACCATGGAGAAACAAGTCTCCTGAGGCCATGAAGATCCGCAACAGGCTGGGTGGGAGCAGCACTTGGTGTATAGCCATGTTCTGTGGTGGAGGATGTGGGCCTCAGGAGACTGCTCAGATTACTGGAACTTTGTTATCACATCCCATGCTACAAGTTTTCACTGAATGCTTCCTGACATCTAGAAATGAGGGTGCCTGCCCATGTTAATGCTGATTAAAAAACACAAGTACACAAATCTATTTCCTTCATTGCTGGTGTATGGACCCAGAACACCACCACAAAATATTTCCTTGGCCTAAAATCACTGGATTAACAAGGAGTTTTAACAGAGGAATAGGAGGAGTGCTGTACTGAGAGGCTTTCGAAGGGAAACACAGGTACCGCCAGTTCCGACGAGTTTCTGAAAACACTAGAAAAATGACAGACTGCTGAAGACAGCTGTCATGCTGTTCTCCATAACGGCACTAATATTAAAAAAAATAAGAGCTTTTAATGATTGCAATGTATACAGTTTGAGCTGTTTGGCAAAACCCTGCAGATATGCATAAATGATGCTTTATTTAAAAACAAAAAAAACAGTCCATGTTGGAATTGATCAGTGTACATTAAACGGTGGTTTTTAGGCTGGACCCATGATTTAAGCTGTACCCATCCAGCTCAAACCAGAAAAAAAAAAAAAAAAGACAAACAACAAAAAAATCATTTGAATGTTAAAGCAATTGTTCAGTCTTGAAGAAGAAACCAGGCCAATAATGATGATTGGCAAAATCAAAAACAAAAGAAACTGTTTAACAAGCCGCCGACAAAGAAATCTTGAATGGAGACTACAATTCTGGAGTTTCTGGGATGAAATTGTACAGGAATCTCAGTCCACAGTTTCCTCAACCGCTGCGGAGACGGAGCTGTCACTGTATCTGACAGAGCCCTGCACTCCCCGGTCCGCCGACCCTGTGGAATGGTGGAAACACAACGCAATCAGGCCTCCTAATCTCGCAGCGATCGCGATGTCTTTCTTGGAGCTCCGCCAAGCAGTGTTCCCTCCGAGAGGCTGTTCAGTTCTGCTGAGGATCTCCACGGAGACCATCGCTGCAGACTTCTCCCCGAGAATGCAGAGAGGCTGTTGTTTTATTTTTTATTTATTTTTAAATAATGCAATTTGCCCAGAGTAAACTACAAATACAGTTTGAGCTCACCAAAAATGCATGAAACATGCCATGGAGTTTGTACTGTAGTCAAATTGCACACAGAAAATACAGATATAAGTTTAAGGTTTCTTAACCTTTGTGCGTATCTCAAATAGATTCACATATGATCATTTAATAATGGCCATAAGTATGCTATGGATCATTTTAATTTACAGAAAGGTTTTACAGCACTGTAAAAATAAGTGTGGCAACATTATTTTTCAATCAAGTTGTCTTGTCTGATTTGTCATAGTCCATTTTTGACATTTATAGCTACTATTCGGTATTCAGTCGAATACCAAAAAAAGTGGATTCGTCACATCCCTAGTTTATAAGCCAGTGAAACCCCAGAATCTTATGGAGAAAAGTTGGAAACAGTATCAAGTCTATGCGGTGTTCTCCAATTTACCAAAACAAGTAAGATTTCATGTGGAGGCACAGAGTGAGATCAACTCTAAAAGTCTGCCTTTCTCTCTCCCTCTATCTCTCTTTCTCTCGCTCTCTCTCTCTCACACATACACAACACACACACACACACAACACACAAATGGGATATTGTAATTTCACACTGAAAAGCAACAACAGTGATTTACAGAGACAGGCAAAAATACATGAAGTACAAAATAAAAAAATTCTTAGAATTGGTTTAGTCAAGGAAATGCAAAGCAACATTATAGTATTAACTCACCTTTTTGTAATCCAGTCTTCACTGTAGCTTGAGGAACTGTTTCAACCTGTTTGGGGGAAAAAAATTACAGCATTAACAAGGAATTTTTTCACTCTTGAACTACAGGGAAAAAAATTAAGACTTGCATCAATCTAAGTAGTGATGAGTGATCAATGTATCTGAAAACTAAACTCAGTCCCATCTTATGGGTCAAGTTCTCTGTCTTAAAGTCAGGGAGGATTTAAATCCTAGCTGCCTATGCTGAATACCAAGTGACAACACACAGCCACATGCTCTCTAGCAAAGATCTTTCCCACCATGCCCTTGGAATATGAATAGAACAAGAATACTTTCCTCAGTGTCTGGGAGGCAGGAGAGGGGTTGTTTCTGCAACCAGCCCCAATGCTGCTATAAACCCCTCCCGCCCCAAAGACGTTAGGATAAATTTTTACTTACTATGAAACTCAGGTTAATGTAACTCACGCCACTTTAAGACCCTTCCGCGCCTGCACTCACAGCTAAGTTGCTGGGAATCAGGACCCTCTCTGTAGAGAGTGCTACAGGGCTCCATACAGCTGGAAGCTCAACACTTTTGCTGCTAGTACAAACTTAAGAAAATAAGTTTGTGATATTGCAAAAGTACTTTCTTGAGTGTCTTATGAACAGTGTCTTGATCCTACATTAGGAGAGCGAGATCAGAAGTTATTCTGCCAATGTATATGTAAAACACGGGTAATTTGAGGATTGAAGCACGGGAATTAGAGAAAGGATGCTGTTGGGAGGAGTTCCTGATTAAGCTATGAATTGAATTTCATGTTTCTTTAAGATGTGGTGAAATATGCATGTTGAAACACATTTTGTAAATATTTAAGGATTGTTCTAAGCTTTTTAAAAAAAATTTTATTTTTTTACAACAGGTAAAAAACATACAACAGAAATGCTTTTTTTAATAAGATACAATTAGTCATACAAATATAAAATCTTCTAAACAATCACTGATATTGTTTTACTACTAACTATAACACAGTGGCATTAACAATTTGTCCCATTTTTGTACTTATTCTGCTTATTAACTTTAAATTGACTGGTCACAGACTGAATTTGGAAACCAGGTGGCAAAGTCACAACTTCATTTTGGTAATGAAAACTACAGGTCTGCAAGAGCTTAGAAAGATTTTTTTTGGAATTTCCTAAGTATGAAAGTTAATATGGTAAATGACAAATCAGTATATTACTTAACTTTAGTTAGATATTTTGAAAAAAATTGTTTTACATGCTTGTGACATCATAGAGCACCCACAAAGTTAACTTTTAAATTTGGAAGCTTAAAATTATAAATGCAATACTTTAAATAAGAAAGTCCACATTCTCCCATAGCGGTTTTAAAATATAAAACTTATTGGAACTAATACTATTAGAATTTTATTTTAATGCCAGGCATCCAGATTGTAAAAATGGATAACTTTCAGCTTTAAGAAAAATTAAGAAAATTCTGATTATAAGCTTAATTTAAAGGAGGATAGTTTTAAAAGATTCTTTGAAAAGGTAATTTAATATGAATGTTACTACACTGATTACACTGGTTGAACACATTCAAAATGGCTCCACAACACACTCTTTTTAAAGTTTGAATATTGTCTATCTGATAACCTGATAACCAGGTGAGTGCCATTCCACTGTAAAAATATCATTCCAAAAATTCTGTGATGCCAACAGAAAAACCAGATCATCTATGATTATCTGCTTCTTAAATACAGGCATATAAGTTAAATTAATTTGATTTGTTTAAAAAACAAAAACAATACATACCAGCAGCTTATAAAAGCAAAAAGCAAAAAATTTAAGAGGGAGAACTCAATGATGGCTCCAAATGAAAATCATGAAGACATGAAATCATTGTGCTTATAAAAGAAATTTAAAAATAAATGTGAGGGAATTTTGTGAGAGTCTCACACCACTGGCTTCCCATCTCCCAAAGCTTGACTTTTTTGTGAAAATGCTTAAAGCAGAATCACAGGGATGGCTGAATTAGAACTGGGCACTGCAACCCACCAGGACAGAAGCGTAAGACAGTTTAGAAAGGAAACTCAAAGCAGAGAAAGTTTCTCTTTCTTTTGAGATACTGAGATAAGCCACAAATTTTACATATACAATGCTTTAACTCTCTACATGTAGGAAGCCAACCTGCTCCTTTTTGATCTTCTTCTTTGGCACAACCTCAGTGGATTTCTCTGATTCAGATCGAGTCCTAATTGATCTTCTCTGTTGTTTCTTTTCTACTGAGCCTAAGAGATGATTTAAACACATGAACAAAAACTTAAGTATAGCTTGACATTCGTGCAGTTAAGATCTGACCCAATTTCTTGCTTTTCTTACTCATTACTTTAGAATTTTAATTAAAAGTCACTAAAGATTTTAAGATGATGGGACCCATGTACCCAGGCCATGGCAGCCAGAAGGTGGTAGGCCAGGTAGCCAGGCAAGCTTCCTTTGGTATCCTCTTGCATGTACTTTCTGCCTGGATGGGCTGGGCTCATATGGTAGCCAGGATTTGTGGACCCACTCAGGGGCATACTCAGACCTTAAATGGACCCTCTGCTCTGAAAGGGATTTAGCAGAGAACTGTGTCAATGGTAAGGCAGTACCTGGGCCAGAAGTTAGAAGCCCTTGGGGCTGGCAAGATGGCTCAGTAGCAGAGTGCTTGCCTTGCATGCATGAGGCCCTGGGTTCGATTGCTCAGCACCACATAAACAGGGGGGAAAAAAAGCCGGAAGTGGAACTGTGGCTCAAGTGGTACAGTTCTAGCCTTGAGCTGAAGAACTAAGGGACAGCGCTCAGGCCCAGAGTTCAGGCTCCACACCCGTCCAAAAAAAAAAAAAAAGAAGTTAGAAGCCCTTAGACGTGAGTGAGTGAGTGAGTGCTACAAACGAGCTATTCTTGTTCTGAGGCAGGGGCATTTCCTGTTGGAGAATCTGGTATTTTTAAAGTGAGGGGTTCACTTCCTCTATATCGCATTTTTGACCTTCAAATCATTTCTGTCAACCTGACTCCCTTTGAATTTAGAGACTACATGGCATAGTTAAAATCAGGGGTTTGGATTCAGGCACAACTGGATTAGAACCCTATACTTCTGCATGACCAAGGACAAATGATTTCATCTGTGGAGCTTTAGCTTCTAGACAAAGGGGGGGGGGGGGTAAAAATAACATCTAATTCATAAGGTAGTTACAAGAATTGATTGGGATCACTTGAATAAATGCAACCAAAACAGTAATAAATGCTAATTGGATCACCAAAAAAGAAAGGTTTTAAATATTTAGGGGCACAAAATTAATTAATAGCTTATTAGTAAAGGCCCATGAGCCAAGACTGGGATCTACAAAATATTTTAATTATACAAATAAAGGAGGATTCAATTTTGTTTTTACAGTTTAGTTTTGAAAGCAGGTAAACATGTTTAGGAGTTCTGGTTAATCATTGCCAGCAGAGAAGTCACAAATAAAGGTGTTAGCTGGTTCCTTTTCTCTCTTAAGAGGATTATAGAGACCCTTATTTTAAAACATTTGAAACACTTTTTTTTAATCAAAATTAAAAACAAAGAGGGAATTCAATGATGGTTCTAAGTAAAAAAAAAAACAGTAAAACATGAAATCATTGTGCTTATAACCAAAATTTCAAAATAAATAGAAGGAAATTTTGTGAGAGTCACACCACTGGCTTCATAATACTGAAGTATAATCACCAATATTCAAGTTCTACCTACCTACTAGGGGAGACAAAAAAGAAATGGAACAGCTTATCAGTAATCAAAAACCTTGTTTTTGAGGATGACAATATATGGTACCATGAAGTGCAGATGAGACTCTCTTACAGAGGAGTTAACCAACAGGGCTTTTAAAAATACTTGAAGGATGCCAGTGGCTCACACTTATAAATCCCAGATACTCAGGAGACTGAGATTTGAGGATTACAGCTCAAAGCTAGCCTGGCCAGTAAAGTTCATAGGACTCTTATCTCTAACTACCAAAAAGCTATAAGAGAAGCTGTGGCTCAGTGGTAGAGTCCAATCACTGAAGGGGAATAGAAAAAAAAATTCTAAACATTTAAAACAAGTAACAAATATTATACACACCTTCTAAGACAGAGTGAACATTTCTAGATTTGGAGAATGGCTTAGAAGCCTGGTCTGAATGCAGACCAGATTCCTCAAGTCACAGAAATGTAGCAGTGCCACAAATTCTTAGTATTCCCTACATTCACCAAGAAAAGCCTCAAGAATTTTTTTCCTGAAGTTTACACAAGCTGAGGCAAATGATGTCATTGCTTTTTTGTTTTGTTTTTTGTGGGTCATGGGTCCTCAATTCTGGGACAGCCTGGGCACTGTCCCTCAGCTCTTCAGCTCAAGGCGAGTGCCCTACCACTTGAGCCACAGCGCCACTTCCAGTTTCCTAGTGGTTTATTGGAGATAAGAGTCTCACTGACTTTCCTGCCCCGGGTTGGGCTTTGAATCGTGATCCTCAGATCTCAGCCTTCTAAGTAGCTAGGATTACAGGCCTAAGCCACCAGTGCCCGGCTTCTGGCTTTTCTTTTCTGCTTATGTGGTGCTGAGCAATCTAACTCAGGGCCTCATGCATGCAAGGCAAGCACTCTACCACTGAGCCAACTTCCCAGCTCCATGTCACTGGTTTTTGAAGGGAAATAAGTCTCCTTTTGACCTTTCAACTAGTAAAAGTATATATATTTTTTGGTGTTAGTTCTGCTGGGGCCTGGGTGCTGTCCTTGCTTTTTTGCTCAAGGCTAAGCATGCTCTCACTTGAGTAACAGCTCTACTTATGGCTTTTTGGTAGTTAACTGGAGCTAGGAATCTCAGTTTCTGCTTGGACTGACTTTGAACCATGATTCTCAGATCTCAGCATCCTGAGTAGCTAGGATTACAAGCATAAGTCACTGATGCCTGGCTGAAAAATTGTTCTCACAAAAAACCAAAGTTATTTCAAAAGATAAAATATGCTTATCAAGCAGAGCTGGCAACCAAACTTAAACCAAGAGCAAAGCTCTTGAGCATTTGTTCCTAAAGTAATGCTTGAGTCATATTCTACAACCTAAACTAATGTACCCGCCTAATGAAGGAACTACACTGTCTCTTTCCAGACACAAAGAATTTAAAACAAGAAAATGAAAATTCATGGTAGATCTTAAATCATACAATAAAAGACTACATGAAAATAAAATGTTTAGTAGTTGAGGAAAAAAATTCCATTAAAAATAAAAGTATATCACTTAGGATTAATCTAGTGTTACATATTTAATATCCCTATTCATATGAATAATTCTAGTCAAAAGACTACAGATGTTTTGGGATCTACCTACTCAGGTATCCCATTTAAATTCAGACAAATGAACAACAGTTAACAAAACTAGTAATAAAACTGATAGGCTTAACTGAAAATACCAAAAGGTACTTTAATATTCAACGAAAGAGGGGGTTGGGAAGGTGGCTCAGTGGTAGAGTGCTTGCCTTGCATGCTTGAGGCCCTGGGTTCGATTCCTTAGCACCACATAAGCAAAAAGAAAAAAAGCCGGAAGTGGCGCTGTGGCTCAAGTGGTAGGTTGCTAGCCTTGAGCTGAAGAGCTGAGGGACAGCGCCCAGGCCCAGAGTTCAGGCCCCATGACCGGACCCCCCCCCCCCAAAAAAAAAATTCAACGAAAAAAACAAATATTTCAAAACACAGCTAATGAATGTAAAATCTAAGTCTATTTTCTCATTCTTTCACCATTATAATTTCATTTTATTATATGGTGCTTTGAAGTGATACAATCAGCAGACCTGGCTCTAGATCTTGTTCTCTCATTATAAATTTGGCTTCCTTTCCCAACTCAATTCGGGATAAAGGCATATTAGCCAGTAAGCACCATCTGATTTGTGCCCAAAGTCCTCTGATACCACGTCTCCCTGTCTTTCATCCTTCCTATCATTTGCTTTTATTTTTTGTTGGACATGGGGCTTGAACTCAGGGCCTGGGCACTGTCCCTCACCTTTTTTGCTCTATCACTTAAGCCACAAATCCACTTCCGATTTTCAGGTAGTTAACTGGAGACAAGGAATCTCACAGACTTTTTTACCTGGGCTAGTTTTGAACTACGATCCTCAGATCTCAGCTTCCCTAAGTAGCTAGGATTACAAGTATAAGCTACCAGTGCCTGGATCCATCATTTGCTGTTAGAAAGCTAGCCAAAATACTATAAACATTAGAATTTTATTTAAGCTTACCAGCTACTCAATCCCAGGTGTACCTGAGTTACTACTGATTGAAGATTACTACTTCAAAGTCTTAAGACTTTGTTCTTCCAGAACAGTATTTGGTTACTGTGTTATTATGATAAAATAAATATATATTTGGCCTGTGCTCCTTTTCTAAATCCCCTGAAATGCTTTAAGTGACAGGGCTGCTAGGTGTATCTTTTGTTCTAATGTTTGGTCTTTACTCCCAACACAAAGCTCCTGGTAGAATGTCTCCTGTTTAAATGAAGCAACTTTGGTAGAGTCTGAGGTGGAGGCTGGTCAGCAGAAAGACTAAGCCATGATAAGCAGTATTCAGCTGCACAGAGACCGAGTTAGTAATAAATCATAGCTTTGTGATAAATCTCCTATGAAAATCAAGAACACGAAGGTTTGGAGAACGTCTGGATTAGAAAACCCAACGTGCTTCTGGGAAGGAAATGAGGCCAGAGGGCATAAAAGCACTGCAGACCTTTCTATATGCATTGGTCTGCACCTTCTCAATCTGGCTACTCGTCTATACGCTCCATAACACCTTTTATAATAAACTGGTAAACAAGAAAAACACTTTCCTGAGTTCTGTGAGCCACTCTTGTAAATGAATGAAGCAAAGGAGTGACAGGAATCCCAAAATATAGCTGGTCAGTCAGAATTTTTTAATATAATCCTAGTGCTATAGTACATGCCTATAATCTCAGCACTCAGGGAGACTGAGAGGAAGATCTTGGATTCTCATCCAACTTAGGCTATAGAGTGAAATCTTGTCTCAAAACAAAACAAAAAAACTGTTTAAATAGGGTTACAGGTGGACCCATTACAACAATGAGATGTATGTCAAAACACAAACTTTTACAACTTTGGTGGGGTGGGGGAGTGGAGAGAGGAAGGGATGGTATGGGGAAACAAAGGAGGAGGCAACAATGCTTGATAAGAAATGTACTCACTATCTTGCCCATGTAATTGTAACCCCTCTGTATGGTATTTTCACAACACACACACAGACACACACACACACAACCCAAAAAATATCCTGGGAGTAATCTTGAAGACACACACACACAGATACACACAGACACACACACACAGACACACACACACACAGACACAGACACACACACACACAGACACACACACACACACACACACCAAAAAAATATCCTGGGAGTAATCTTGAAGACGGAGTCCTTTAATACTAGGCTATGGCTGGGTGCTGGTGGCTCATGCCTGTAATTCTAGCTGCTCAGGAGACTGAGATCTGAGGATCACAGTTCAAACCAGCCTGGGTATTAAAGTCCGTGAAACTCTTATCTCCAGTAAACTACCAGAAAACCAGAAGTGTTTCTGTGGCTCAAGTAGTAGAGCACTAGCCTTGAGCTGAAGAGCTGAGGGACAGCGCCCAGGCCGAGTTCAAGCCCCATTACCGACAAAAAAAAAAAAAAAAAGGCTATGGCCAGGCACTGGTGGCTCACGCCTATAACCCTAGCTACACAGGAGGCTGAGCTCTGAGAATCATGGTTCAAAGCAAGGCCGGGCACAAAAGTCCGTGAGAATTTTATCTCCAATAAACCACCAGAAAAACCGGAACTAGAGCTCTGACTCAAGTGGTAGAGCACTAGCCTTGAGCTGAAGAGCTGAGCAACAGTGCCCAGGCCCAGAGTTCAAGCCCCAGGACTGACCAAAAAAAAAAAAAAAGGCTATGAAGCCTGGCCTAGAGGAGGCAGGAAGATGAGGAGTCAAATGAGTCTGGACTACATAGCCCCACAAAAAACCAAACAGGTACAAAGTGTGAGAACTGAATGGAATCATATACCCTGCTGGTGTATAAGAACTAGTCAGTGTAGGGGGAAAAAAGGCAGAAAAACACCCAGCAGGGCGCCAGTGGCTCATGCCTGTAATTCTAACTATTCAGGAGGCTGAGATCTGAGGATCTTGGTTCAAAAGCCAGTCAGGGCAGGAAATCCTTGAGACTCTTATCTCCAATTAACCACCAGAAAAGCAGAAGTGGTACTATGGCTCAAGTGGTAGAGTGTTCACCTTGAGCTGAAGAGCTCAGGAACAGTGCCCAGGCCCAGAGTTCAAGTCCCATGACTGACCGAAAAAAAAAAAAAAGTCACTTCTTCAATTCCAAAGAAATTTTTAGAAAACAAAATGAAACAAACTCTTTTTTCCTAAGATTCCAAATGACCAAACTAATGAACACCAAACACTTTTCCTAATAGTTATGTGAAATAGTATAAAATTACCTTACTGAATATAGGCATTCTCTCACTCTATTCTACCTTTGCAATACTGGGTTGAACTCAAGTTATTACCATTTTACCACTTGAGTCATACCCTCAGTCCTTTTGCTTGTTTCTCAAATAGGTTCTTAAGTAACTTTGGCCAGGATGGCAATCTGTAAGTAGCTGATATCACCGGTATGGAATACCATATCTACCCTAGGGCACATGCACACACATGTGTGTGTATGTGCACATGTTGATCTTGGGACTTGAACTCAGGGCCTTGAGCTCTGTTTTTTTGCTCAAGGCTGGCACTCTACCACTTGAACCACACCTTGACTTCAGACATTTTGCTGGTTATAGAGGTAAGTGTGATGGACTTCTCTGCCTGGGCTCATTTTGAACTGCAATCTTCAGATTTTAGTCTCCTAAGTAACTAGGATTACAGGAGTGAGTCACCAGCATCCAACTTCCAGTATCTTTTAAGTAAGTGTAACCTAGCCTGATTTTCATTTTGTAGTACCTGTTAATCAGAGAACAGGTTACATTAGATTAGCTAAGTCCTAAGCCCCTCAGCTATTAATGCTTTGCACACTTAGGAATAATGAAAGGATCACTGGCATTTAATAGAGATCTTGTTTCCAGTAGAGGATAAAGAAGGGAATACAAACATTCTAATAGACAAGCGCTTGTGGCTCATGCCTGTAGTCCTAGGTACTCAGGAGGCTGAGATCTGAGGATCAAGGTTCAAAGACAGCCAAGGCAGAAATGCCCATGACACTCTTATCTTCAATAAATTACCAAAAGAAAAAAAAAAGCCAAGAGTGCAGCTGTGGCTAAAGTGGTAGATCACTAGCCTTAAGCAAAAACAAAACAAAACAAAAAAAGTCATGGACAGCGCCCAGGTCTTGAGTTCAAGCCCCAAGACCAGCATGCACACATACACACGTGCACATGCACACATGTACACACACACACACGAATGTGTTAATAGTGCTGGAAAAGCAAAGATGCTATTCTCATGCAAAAAGATAATTAAAATGGTTGATGTACTCAGTTTATTTAGATTTTATAGTTTATATTGTTATTGTGGTTTTTAAGACAGTCTTGCTGTACACTCCATCCAGGCTGGCCTGAAACTCATGATCTTCCTGATTTAGTCTGTTAAGTGTAAGATTAAACATGCATCACTATATCCACCACAGAACCACAGAATTTATGGCTACTTTGTGTATGTGTATGAGTACTGAAGTGATTTCAGTTTAGCTAGTGTGTGTGTGTGTGTGTGTGTGTGTGTGTGTGTGTGTGTGTGTGTGTGTGTGTGTGTGTGCGCGTGTGTGTGTGTAGCTCTAGACACTTTTCTTTTTGCTCATTATTTTGGAGATGGAATCTCAAGGGCTTTACAGCCTTGGGTGGATTCAACCTTGGTCTTCTGCATCTCAGCTTCCTGAACAGCTAATAATATAGATGTGAGCAACTGGCTATATTTATTTTTGATAATGAAAAATTTCATAGGAACAAAGCTATCATGTTATAACTGAACACAACAATGACCACCCAGAAAAGATTCATATATTCCTTGTTTACACCTACCTGTAGGACAGGATGTTGCTTCAGGAGATGATATATTCTGAGTTGGCTTTTCACTTTTCTGATTTGGTGAAGAGATTATAAGTCTGTCTTGCCCCCTGACACTTATTTCCGTTTTGTTACCAATTCCCTTTAAAGTAAGGCAAAATACAATAAAAAATAAAGTGATTATTATGCAAATGGCATCATGAGCTTATAAAGACAGCTTATAATAATTTGCTTGAATTTGTCTGGTCTTTTACTATGGTTAATTTATCTTAGCCATTATCCGAATAATTTTATTAAGTTATCAGGATATATTCTAAAATGTATGATGAGATCATATAGGGGGAAAAATAAAAACTACTTGTCTAAGACCAAGTTATACGTATCCCTAAAATCTGGACCTGTGTCACCTCGTTTTCTGTCAAAAACAAAGTCTGGTTTTTTTTTGGGTTGGTTGTGGAGCCTGAACTCTGGGCCTGGACACTGTCCTCGGCTCTTCAACTCAAGACTAGCGCTCTACCATTTGAGCCACAATGCCACCTCCAGCTTTTTCTGCTTATATGGTGCTGAGGAATCAAATCTGGGGCCTCATACATGCAAGGCAAGCAGACTACCTCTGAGCTACCTTCCCAGCCCCAACAAAATATTTTCTAGTTTGAATAACTTTTTTATATATGCATAATATATAATATACATATCTATGTATCTTCATATATATATTATAGTAAGAGAACTCTGGTCACTATCTCCCTATTACATAGATAGTGAAGCCAAGATGTCTTCAGAAACAGAAATACGTCATTCATGGAGACTAAAATGTGATCAAATAAGTAATGTAGAACAGACAAAAGCAAGGTGCAACCAACTTAGGTCTTTAAGCATTTTTGATGCAACAGAATAGACATGAAGTTATAAATGGATTTTAAGATAAATAGTACTAATATATATCTATAATTTATAATCTACAAAAACATTTATATAAGTGTATTAATTAGGCATTCATATATGTAATTATTTTAATGTGTATATAACTATGAAAAAGTTGCATAGTACTAAGAAAAAGTAGGAAAAGGATTCTTTAACAAATATGAATAAAATATAGATAAACTGAAATCACAAACTCAGATTTGTGGATGGGGTTGGGAGTGTCGTAAGAAGGTATATATGATATAACCAGTGTTAAGAAAGAGTTTTCATGTCATCAAACTAAAGTATAACTGCTTTAAATGGAAGTTCAGGACAATCTGAGAAGAGGAATTTAGTTTACACCATTACTGCTTTATCACCAAAGGAAAACCAGTAGTGGGACTTCTCTGAAATGCAGTTAGAGGTCTAAAGCCAAGAGTAATCTAACAAAACTACTGGTGCAACCAAACAGTTCAACAGGTACAATTATTATAGTAACTTTTATAACAATGGCTAATTTAGATAACTAAAAAAGATTTTAATTAGAAGCATACTTTGCAACAACAACAGAAAAACCTCACCATACAAACTAGAAACAGACAAACTGTCCAGTTTTTTTCCATGACTTTCAGGAGCTAAGCTCAATTTTGGCTGCATAGTTCAAGACTAATCTACAACAGATGGGAATATTACAAAAGGGGTGAGGGGTGCAGAAGAAAAACAGCTTTTTTTTGGTCTATGTCTTTTTTGCTCATAGAGTAAACGTGACTATATGTTTCAAAAGGATATTTAAATTATGTCCTTATGTTGTTTTTTAATGCAAAAAGCCAACCATTTTTAAAAATATCATTTTACTACCCAAAAAGTCCTATAAGAAAAAAAGAGGTACCTTTGTTGAATAAACAAATTGATCAATAAATTTTCCATCTCCTGTTGCATTCTGAAGAGCAAACACTTGTTCAATTTTTACAACAGGAGACATGTTGCACTTCTGCAAATCCAGGCCCCCTTTGTGCATGGTAATGGAAGCTGGTAAAGATTTCCTTGCAGCTGCTGTCTTCCAGGCTATTTTAACAGGAGGTGGTTCTTCCTCTTCCGTGCTTGTATGCCGCCTCTGGCTCTGCCTCCGAATTTCAGTACTTGATTGTGAGGAGGCCACCTCCCCTGCATTGGTCTGTTCTGGTTGAGTATTCAGCACAGATCTTGGTCTTCGGGGTTTTTTAACATCAGTCTTGGAGGTAACATTCTTTTTTGCTTGGGATAAAGTCTCTTCAGGCTGTTTATCAATATAGATGAAGGTATACTGTTCTATTCTTTCTTCTCGAGTCATTTTCAATGCTTTCTCTGCATGGGCAATGCCAATATCCCACTGGGCACGTTCTCTTTGAGGTCGGGGTTTCCGAATCTTTAAAAATGATACAGGTGTTATATACAATACTTTAATCTAATAGTATATTCAAACCAACATATATTTCCCATGTGTCTTATACTTTTAGGCCACAAGAATATCTTCAAGTTCTTTAATCATATAGGGGAATGTCCTCAATTCCATACCTTTAATCACTTAATTATTAGATGGCATGAAGGCTCATCCTATTTATCCTTCCTTTGTGGGCTTCAGAGCTAGACAACTGTCCTCAAAGAGGGAGACATCCTTCTCATATCACACTTACTCTAGCAAGAATGAGGCAAAAGAGAAGAAAGGCTACTAAAACTTATTCTCAGTAGCCAATGAAACACTAACTTTATACACGGAACTGCAAAGCTCCCATTCCTTCATAGCTGGAAGGTGCAGTTAAGTCCAGGGTACTTGTGGACATCGTAACAAAACTACCCAAAAGAAGAAACATTGAGAAATGTACTGGTATTCTGAACCATAATGTAAACACGGAGAAAATGAAGTAAAAGAAGACAGCCTGAGGAAAAAATGAAAGCAGTTAAGAAAGAAAAAGGATAGCAGGTATGAGAAGAAACATAAACTTCAATCAAGTTCTATGGGTCTTAATTAGAAGAGCTTAGATTAACAACAGAGGTAAGAAAACTTTGACCAGAGGTGTACAGGATGACCAAAGTCGGGTATTGTTCAGGTAGATAAACTGAGATAGAAAACAATAGAACTATGAGATGGTATATGACAAATATTCATGTATATAAACCCATAAAATATAAGCCTGAAATATAAGTCAAAGTTATGTGATAATATTTAGCTTTAAAAGTAGAAAAATGACTAATTTTTTGCATAATTACTTTGTTTAAAATATCAAATAACCCAAGCACTGATGGCTCACATCTGTAATCTTAGCTACTCAGGAGGCTGAGATCTGAGGATGGATGTTCAAAGCCAGATCAGGGAGGAAAGTCAATAAGACTCTTATCTCTAATTAGCCAGCAAAACCCACAAGTGGAACTGTATGGCTCAAGTAGTAGAATGCTAGCCTTGAATAAAAAAGCAAAGGGCCAGCAGCACCCAGGCCTTGAGTTCAAGCCCTGGGCCAGCCCTAAAACAGCAACACAAGGGGCTAGGAAGGTGGCTCAGCAGTAGAGTGCTTACCTCGCATGCATGAGGCCCTGGATTCGATTCCTCAGCACCACATAAACAGAAAAGGCTGAAGTGGCACTGTGACTCAAGTGGTAGAGCCCTAGCCTTGAGCTGAACAGTTCAGGGATAGGACCCAGACCTAGAATTTAAGCCCCACAACCAACAAAAACAAAACAACAACAAAAAAGAACCCAGCAACACAAACAAAAAATCCTTCAACTAGATTGTCAAGAATTCATTTCCAAATTTGAACCTATATCAAGCTCTAGGACTAGCATAAAACAAACAAATTTCCTCAAAACCAAACCAAACCAAACAAAGATAAGCTATATTAGAGAGCTGTGGGTATAACTCAATGGTAGAATGTTCAGCTAACATATGTAAAGCCTTAGATTCAACCTCAGGCAATGCAACATATAAACAAAAATACTAAATTAATAATAAAGTTAATATGCCATCAGTTACCTTTTGTTTTTCAGAGTGATTGCTGGCTTGCTTGGTTGCCTCAGCCAGTAATTCTTCATACTGTTTATGACCTTTATACTCCCGTACACGCTTTTCATGAACCCATGCCCTCTCTGGCTGGTTGCTAAAAAATTGGACATGGTATTCCCGGGCACCTGTAAGAAAAAATTTTTATTAACTACTATAGAACATCTATATCCACATGTACTTTGTCAAGAGGGTCTCTAATACAGGTTCCTCAGCCTGTCTTAAAATTTGAGTATTTTGAATTGTCCAAAGATATATCTCAATACCTATCAATGATAAAATTAAACTACCAAGAAAATCATTCCTAGTGGTTAAACTCATCACAGAAAGTTTAAGTGAATTACTTAAAGAAATTCTAATGATCAGATTACTTTAGTTACACAATTGATGTTTACTTGCTTCCAGTTTTGGGGTTTGTTTTTCGGGACCTGGGCACTGCCTGAACTCTTTTGCTTAAGGCTAGTGCTCTCCCACTTGAGCCACAGTGCCACTTCCAGTTTTCTAGTGGTTAACTGGAGATAAGAGGCTTCACAGATTTTCCTGCCCGAGTTGGCTTCAAACTGCAATCCTCAGATCTCAGCCCCCTGAGTAGCTATGATTACAGGCATGCCTGAGCCACCAGTGCTCAGCTTTTGCTTCCAGTTTTACACAACAAGAAATTAAGGTAGAAATATATAATGTTTCCTTAGAAAAATGTGAATGTTTCTTTGGCCTTTATTTATTTTCATTATTTTTTTGCCAGTCCTGGGGCTTGAACTTAAAAGAGTCTGGGTGCTGTCTTTGAGCTACTTTTGCTCAAGGCTAGCACTCTGCTAGTTGAGCCACAGCTCTACTTCCAGCTTTTTCTGTGATTAATTAGAATCTCACAAACTCCCCTGCCCAGACTGGCTTCAAACCATGATCCTCAGGTATCAGCCTCCTGAGTAGCTAAGATTACAGGTTTGACACTGTGCCCAGCTTCTTTAGACTTTAAAAGTACTGACAATGGGGCTGGAAGTATGGCTCAGTAGCACTAGCTACTGAGTGAATGCATCAGTACTAAGTTCAAGTTCCACTTCAGACCTAAAAATTTAAAACAAAAAAGAAAGAAAAGGAGAAAGAGAGGAGACGGAGGAAAGGAGGAAGGAGGTAGGGAGAGGGGGAGGAGGAGAAAGAAGTATTGATGAAATTGCTCTTCTGGCTTTAAGGTTTTTTTCATGAGTCTTGTGAGAGTCCTCCTTCATAATAATATCCAAATATTATTTCTATGTTGACATTCACATAGTGCAAAGGCAAAGCAGACTGCTGACATCTTAGCGTGACTAGAAACAATCTGGGTGCACAAACAGCCCAAGTCCCACTGTGTTCTTAAGCTACACAATGGCACTTAAACGAAACTGTTTTTGATAAGACAGCAAAAATAATTAATTTAATTAAATCTTGAGTCTTGAATATATATGCCTCTAATATTCTGTGATAAAACAGGAACCACGAATAACATACTTCTGTATCCTAAAGGATGATAGTGTCTAGAGGAAAAACACTGGCATGATCATTTTGATTGCATGATGGATGGTCACTTTTTCATGGAATGTCATTTTTCTAGGCAGTAGGACTAGGGAGAGTTATGGTTATTCTAACCTGAGTAGGAATCAGGTATCTCTTAGTAATGATCACCTTCAAGGAAAACATTTTTGCTACCAATAATTAAGTCTGATCTTACAATGTTGAAAATTTTGTCCTTTCTTCTCTAAATCTTGTCAGATTCCTAATAATCAAAGGATATTCTGAGGAAGTTATGAACTTACCTTAAAAGAGTATCTATAAAAGAACATGTCAACATTTAAAAGATGTACATTAGCTCAGTGCAGGTGGCTCACATCTGTAATCCTAGCTACTAAGGAGGCTGAGATCTGAGGATCATGGTTCAAAGCCAGCCCGGACAGGAAAGTCCACGAGACTCTTATCTCCAATAAACCACTAGAAAACCGGGAGTGGTGCTGTGGCTCAAGTGGTAGAGCGCTCGCTTTGAGCTCATGAGTACAGGGACAGCACACAGGCCCACAGTTCAAGCCCCACCACCAACAAAAAAAAAAAAAAAAGAAAAAAACAGATTACTCAGTAAACAAGAATTTATGTGTGTATGTGTTTGTGCACATGTGTGTGCTCACACATGTGGATGCACCTCAATCCTGGGGGCTCAAAATCAGGGCCTGGGCACTGTCCTTGAGCTTTTGTGCTCACAGCTAGTGCTCTATCACTTGAGTCAGCTCCAGTTCCAGTTTTTTTGGTAGTTAACTGGAAATAAGGAGTCACAGGGTTTCCTGCTTGGGTGGGCTTCAAACCTTGATTCTCTGATCATAGCCTCCTACCTACTCAGCTAGGATTCCAGTTATGAGCTACCAGCACCTGGCTAAAACATGAATTTTCAAATGGCCAAAGTATTCAAAAGGTTACAGTATTTTTTTTTTTTTTTGGTTGGTGATCCTCAGATCTCAGCCTCCTCAGTAGCTAGGATTACAGGCGTGAGCCACCAGCACCCTGCTAGGTTACAATATTTTGAAAGGTAAAAAGATCCATTCAGGAAGGGGCGCTGTGGTTCAAGTGGTAGAGCGCTCACCTTGAGCTGAAGAGCTGAAGGACAGCACCCAGGCCCAGAGTTCAAGCCTCACAACCAACAACAACAACAAAAAAAAAGAACTAGAAGACATGTAAGTATTTGCTGGGCTCCGGTGGCTCGCACCTGTAATCCTAGCTATTAAAGAGGCTGAGATATGAGGATTGAGGTTCAAAGCCAGCCAGGGCAGAAAAATCTGTAAGACTCTTATCTCTAATTAACCACCAGAAAACTGGAAGTGGTAGAGCTCTCGCCTTGAGCTGAAGAGCTCAGGGACAGGGCCCAGGCCCAGAGTTCAAGTCCATGACTGCAAGGAAAAAAAAAAAGATCCATTCAAAGTACAGGACATAATCAATGGATTTTAATATACAAAGTACCTAAAGTTCATTAATATCATTTTAGACTGTATAATGTATATCACCTACCACATGTTGAGGTGGGTGTAATAATAAAGAAAATATTAAACTACCTGAAAAAAATATTAAAAGTTTTTCCTTTTCCAAGTATACGTCTGTGTGAGGCAAGATTATCTTCATATTCTTTAATCAAAATAACAAATCTTAATAGACTGAATGTAGATGCAGATATGAGAATCCAGGATCTTCATTTAAGCCAGATATTAGAGACTTGTAAATGTACAAAACAATGCCATCCTTCTCATTAAAGTTTGAAAAAATAGGACTTACAAGTATGGCTTAAGAGGTATAGTCCCTACCTAGTAAGTGTGAAGTCCTCAGTTCAAACTATTACTACAGAGAAAAATTTTTTCAAGAAAATATTTTTCATAAAATATAACAAAAATACTTTATTTAAAAATGAATTAATATGTATGTGGCTCTTTTTTGAGCCCAGCCTGCCTGAATTTACAATATAGCCCAGGCTGCTGATTCCCTTGCCTCAGCTGTCCGGGTGCTGGGGATACAGGCATCTGCCACCATGCTGACAGCCTAAAGCTTTCTGGAATTCTCAAGTTTAAAAAGCAAAAGAGGACCAGGTGCCGGTGGCTCATGTCTATAATCCTAGCTACTCAGGAGGCTGAAATCTGAGGAACACGTTTGAAGGAAGCCTGGGCAGGAAAGTCTAAGATACTTATTTCAGAAAAGGCCAGAATAGTGGAGCTGTGGGGCAAATGGTAGAACACTAGCCTTGAGCAAAAGAAACTGAGGAACAGCACCCGGCCTTGAGTTCAAGCTCCAGGAACAGCCGTAAAAAAGCAAAAGAGGGCCTGAGACCAAAACATCTGACAACAGCTACTTACAGAGTAGTTTACTCTGAAAGTATGGCTCAAAAAACAAGCCAGACTGGAACAAAATGAATACAGGAGTTGAGAGTAAGTGGCTTGATGTTGTCCTGACAGTTAGGCACGTGATTGCAGGTTCTGAACTACGTATTGGACTTGGAACTTTTGAATAAAAAGTTTTATAATATTTCATAAAAGTATTAGCTTTTTTAGTATTAGTAGATTAGAGAATTTTAAACTGGTCTTTTACCAAAGACAGTTTGAAAAATGCTGCTCTAGAGAAAAAAGCATCAGAAACAAGTCATCTCTGAGAATCCATGAAAATTCAGGTAAGGAAAAGACAAAATGTAGATCGCTACAAGAAAAATGAGTATTGACTTAAAAAGATATAATTATCTGTTGCAAATACAACATGATATACACATGATAAATTAGACATTGATGAGATTATCTAAAGAATTATATTCTGAAAGATTAAAATTTTATATCAAAATAGCCCATAAGAAAGATACCCAGAACTTAGATTTCCACATTGTCTAATCTGAGAAGAGCCAAACAGAAATTTAATTATAAATAATCGGAGTTTTGATCAAGCACCAAGTGGCTCATCTATAATCCTAGCTACTCAGGAGGCTGAGATTTAAGGATCTCAGTTTGAAAGCCAGCCCTGACAGGAAAGTCTATGAGACTCATATCTCCAATAAACTACCAAACAACAACAACAACAAAAGGCCAAAATTAGAGCTATAGCTGAAGTGTTAGAGCACTAGCCTTAAGCCAAAAAGAAGCTCAGCACCTAGGCCTTGGGGGTCAAACCCCAGGACCAGCATAAAGATCATCATCATCATCTGAAGTTAATGCCCCCTTGGAAATCCAAACATTTTTCAGGGAGAAAGGATTAAAAGAACGTACAATATATTCAGAAGCTCAGTGGTAGGAAGAGTGCTTGCCTTGCATGCATGAGGCCCTGAGTTCAATTCCTCAGTACCACATAAGCAGAAAAAGCCAGAAGTGGCACTGTGGCTCAAGTGTAGAGCGCTGGCCTTAAGCTGAAGAGCTAAGGGACAGCGCCCAAGCCCAGAGTTCAGGCCCATGACTGACCAACAAAAACTCAGACTCACACTACCATCTTACTTTTGTCTGTATTTCTGTATTTTCACCTCCTCCATTAAATTGTCTATTAAGAAGTTAATGCAACAGTACAGGGGGAGGAGGGGAGAAGAAACCAGCTATTACACATTACATCTGTGATTCTAGCATGGGCGAGGCCAAAGCAGAAGAATCTCAAGGTTGATGCCAGACTAAGCTATACAGGAAGACACTGTCCCAAATAGTTGGAGGCATAATACCATAAACAAACAAACAAAAAAAAACTCTCAAAAATCTTTACTTACTTATCTCTTAAGTATAATATACATACTGAATAGAAATTACCCACAAATTTTAAACATTGCTTATATAGTTGGAGGAGATTATAGGCAACCTTTTGCTTTCTACCATATATATTTTTGTGAAATTTTACTTTTCCCTAAATGAACATGATTTCTTTTTTGGGCGGGGGGGGGGGGGGGGGGGGGGGAGAGGAGGGGGCGGGGGTCAGTTGTAGGGCTTAAACTCAGGGCTTGGGAGCTGTCCCTGAGCCTCTTTGTGCACAAGGTCAGCACTTTACCACTTGAGTCACAGTACCACTTATAGTTTTTGAGTGGTTAATTGGAGATAAGAGTCTCACAGACTTTTCTGTCTGAGATAGCTTCAAACCAGGATCCTCAGATCTCAGTCTCCTCAGCAGCTAGGATTATAGGCAAGAGCCACCAGCGCCCAGCCACGTAATATTTTTTTTAAGGCAGATAAAACTTCTATTAAATTTTAAACTTAAAATGAGGTCTAAGTAGTGAAATACAATTTAAAATAGATATGATCCAAATACCTTTTAACATTCTCTTACAAAGACTATTATTAATGGTGTAGAAAAATATCAATGCTAAATCTGACTAATAACAACACTGACTAGTAACATGGAAACCAATGATTGTTGTATAAAACTATTCTACAAAGTATTTAGGCAATAGAGAAAAAAGAATAGCTATAATGCCTTTTTTTTTTTTTTGGTTTTCAGAAAAGCTGTCAATCAATTCACTTAAGACTGTAAGAAACAGCCATATAATGGATATTATTTGATAATAAGAAAGGCCAAAGGGGTTGGGGACAGGGCATAGCATCTGCTTAGCAAGCTCAAAGCCCTGAGTTCAACCCAGTACCACAAAAAAAAGTAAATAAATCTATAAATAAAAATTTAAAAAGGATTAAGTACCAATACATGCTAAGACATGGATAAATCTCAAAAACAGACATAAAAGAAGTTAAACAAAAAGGTAAATGTAGAGAGAGAATGCAGTTACGGGAAGTTTAAGCTAAATGGGGTGGGGCATATGGAGTGGGAAGTGACTGATAGATGCAGGATTTCTATTTTGGGGTGATTAAAATATTCTAAAATTAGATTGTGGTGAGGCTTAGTGAAACTGAATGAACTGAATTATCACTGAACTACATGTTTGAAAAGTACAATTTGTCTACCATAAAATTTATATCACAATAAGATTATTAAGTTTTAAAATGATAAATTCTCTTTGTGTGCCAGTACTGGGGCTTGAACTCAAGGCCTCAAGGTGTTGGTTGGCTTTTTGCTCATTACTGGTGCTCTAACATTTGAGCCATGCTTCTGGTCCAGCATTTTGCTAGTTAACTGGAGATGGAATCTCTTGGATTTTTCTGCCCAATATGGCTTTGAACCATGATGCTCCAAATCTCAGCCTCCTGAGTAGCTAGGATGAAAGGCATGAGTCACCTGGTGCATTGCAACATCAAAAAATTTATTGGCCAGAGTCCATGACTCAACCTCAGTACCTGATGTTTTTGCTCATTGGGTAGCACCAACTGCGCAATGTTTCCAACTCCTAAAATTTTTATCAAAATTATTTGACTTTTTTTTTAAACCTAGATCCTTGGATTTCTGATTATAATATAAACAATCAGCTATTCTGGCATTAAAGTAGGATATTGTCCAGGGAGTATCAGACTACATTAGGTTAATTAATGAAACTAAGTTTAAATATTTTCTTTAAAAAAACATACAAGGCATAACTTGTGCTTTCATTTGTTTTATGCAAAAAAGCTGAAATTAGCAGATTTCATAAAGGAATTAAATGTGAAACTCGTTATATAATCCCAAAAGAATGCTTTCCTGAGAAGAAATGAAGAATCACAACTCACATGATGGTAATTTTGTGGAGAGTTCAGGAAGTCCATGTATGAACAGGAGTTGTTTTCTTTAGGAAGATCTGGACTTTCTAGAGTATCCTGTCCTATATTTTCCCTTTCACAGAACTATGGATTATCAGAGCTGAAAGGTGCCCCACAGACTGGTTCAATACTCTTACACAAACATAGAAACCAGGACTGTTGCTTGACTTCTGTGAATTATGACAGAAAGAGTTCAACTAATTTCTTTCTAATAGCTAGTACTGTTGAAGAACAATTCTTTGAGACTTTACTTTTCTGAAATATAGGATACGCATAATCCTACCATCTCAACCGTGTTGCTGCTGTAAATATCACATAAGAAAATAGATAATACAGGACTCAAACAGTAGTTTGAGCAAAAGCAGACATTCAGCAGTGTTGATTCTTCACTTCTGTCATGTGGATGTTTATATTCTCCCGGCCTTTAATCAGTGCATAACATTCACAAAAGGAGAGAAATTCAAGCCATTTCCTGCTGTACCCAAGGTGATTCCTTGCTATAAAGCAAAAGTGTCACAGACAGGGCTGATCCTGTCATACACATGACCCTCCAGATATAAGTAGACATTTTTCTGCTTATAATAGTGAACAAAGAACTACACAGAATATCACAGGTGAAAAAAATAATAGATGAGAAATTGTCACAAATAATGGGAAATTCAACATATGACTTATCCAGAAACAGGTTCAAAGATTAAACTTTCTGTGGTTGCTAAGTGAATCCTTTTCAAACAGAAGAATATTAGGAGTCAAATCCACATCAAAGCCAAAGAATAAAGTTAAAATATATCTCTTCTTAATTTTTAAATTCCAAACATAAAACTTTTATGTTACTACAGATAGATTTAAATTAAACTACTCTATCATATCAAACATGTAAGGATGTCTTCATAAATTTACAGATTTGAAAGCAAGCGAAAGGCTGGAAGTATGGCTCAAGAAGTATTGTACCTGCCTACCAAACATGTAGCCCCAAGTTCAAAACCCAATATTATTACCAAAAAAAAAAAAAAGAAAGAAAGAAAGGGAGAAAAAGTATCCTGCAAAATTTAATAGGATGAAAAGTAGTTGTCTGGTAACACACATATGTGTGTGTATGTGTATGTGTGTATATGTGTGTCTGTGTGCCATCTTTTCAATCAAAGATAGAAAAAGAAGTTCAAAGAAGATAGGCATGTAGTGTGTACCTGTGATTCTAACACTCAGGAGGCAGAGGCAGGAGGATCATGAGTTTTAGACCAGCCTGAGGTATAGGGTTCTCTGCCAATTAAGATGATCATAATTAGCCGGGCGCTGGTTGCTCATGCCTGTAATCCTAGCTGGGATTACAGGAGGCTGAGATCTGAGAATTGTGGTTCAAAGCCAGCCTGGGCAGGAGAGACCGTGAGACTCCTATCTCCAATAAACCACCAGAAAACCGGAAGTGGCGCTGTAGCTCAAGTGGTAGAGCGCTCGCCTTGAGCTGAAGAGCTGAGGGACAGCGCCCAGGCCCAGAGTTCAAGCCCCACGACCGACAAAAAAAAAAAAATGACCATAATTATTTTACTAGTTATTAAAAACTCAGAGATCCACACATTTGTATAAAATCATGTATTATGTATGTATTCCTATATATACATGCAACATTAAACTTTTTACTTACTATTTATTTATGCCTTTTCTTACCTCTTGTGTTAATTTTGGTATGAACCTCAAGCTGGGGATCACTTGAAACCATACAAGGCCACCAAGGATAGGTTCCCACCTTGGACCAAACCAGATCACCAACCTGGAACTTAATACCAGTGGACACTTCTGTTGTTGAAACAGAAGACAGTATTGGCTGAACCTAGAGGAAAAGGAAAACTCTTTCAGAAGAAAAACCACATTAAAAAAAAAAAGAAACAATGTATTATATACTAAGTACATTAAAATTTTATCTTCAATTATATTCTTCTCCGATAGCTGTTTATAATTATGAAATAGGAGAAAGAAAGGCGGTTGATAAGCCTAATCCCCCAACCTGAAAACAGAATTGATGGATTTTCTTGACAAACTATCACTAAAGTATCTTAAGAAGCCACATGATCAATTTAAAAATGGTCTTAGTTTTTAAAAAGTCAGTTTTTAGATGGAAAATAATATCTACCTAAATCAGCTCCAGGATCTGTTTCAGTATAATTTCTGAATTAGAGAAGTATGGAGCTATAATACCTCAGTATGTTACAATTTAATTGCTTTATGTTTACCTCCTTCAGCACATCTGATCTGATAATACTGGATGAAGACTCACCGGGGCAGTCTCTTTGATTACAGGCTCTTCTCTTGGTTTTTCTGGTGTTGGGTCCAGCCTCTCATTTGGTCTCTAGGTAAAAAGGTATAGATGAAGAGAATAGAGTGGCAATAAACCATAGAACAGTAATACAAAAGAGTCAAAGAAACTTAAGTAGCAAAGAAAATATGGGACATTTACTACTAAATAATATAAAGACTAAGATAACAACCACTCAGTACTGGATGTTATATATTAATGCTCATTTTCTTTCTTTCTTTTTTTTTTTGGGTCCAGTCGTGGGGCCTGAACTCTGGGCCTGGGCGCTGTCCTTCAGCTCTTCAGCTCAAGGCTAGCACTCTACCACTTGAGCCACAGAACCACTTCCAGTTTTTTTCTTTTTGCTTATGTGGTGCTGAGGAATCGAACCCAGGGCCTCATGCATGCAAGGCAAGCGCTCTACCACTGAGCCACCTTCCCAGCCCTTAATGCTTGTTTTCTAGTTCACTGTTACATCTTGTTACTTATTAATATTTTTAAAAAAAACCTTCACTTCTAGGTGGGCACTGGTGACTCAGGAAACTGAGATCTGAGGACTGCAGTTCAAAGCCAGCCCGGGCAGGAACTGTGACTCTTCTCTAGAATTAACCATAAATGGGACTGTGGCTTAAAGTGGTAGAGTACTAGCCTTGAGCACTAGGCCCATGACCAACCCCCCCCCCCCCAAAAAAAAGAAGGTCACAATCACTGACAGAATTTCTTAAGAAAGAGAGAGGGTTACAAAAATAAAGAGGCAGGTTAGATTTTGAGGGCCTGTAGGCAATATTTTGGAAAGAAGAGGAAAAGCTGAATGTTTAATTAGGACATCACTGCAGTAATCCAGATGAGACAAAGTAGTGCCATAGCTGTGCACCAGTGGCTCTTGCCTATAATCCTAGTGCCCAGGAGGCTGAGATATCTGATATCACAGTTCAAAGCCAGCTAGGGCAGGAAAATGTGAAAGTCTTATCTCTAATTAACCACCAAAAAGTGGAACTGTATCTCAAGTGGTAAAGCACTAGCCTTGAGCAAAAAAATCTCAAGGACCAGCACTCAGGCCCTGAGTTCAAGCCCCAAGAATAGCACAGAAAACTAAAAAGGTACTCAGCTTGTTGACAGGCACTAGATTAGATGTCTGCTAATCTACTGAAGAACACAGTCCTTCAGTAAAGAAAGAAATATATGCTCAAATGAAAACAGGATTTTTTTCTGATCACTAGTATAATAACAGAGCAGTTTAGAATAACTATGTTTGTGTAAATTCATTCAAAGCTTCACCTGATACTGATATAACAAAACTTTAGCCTTAGCTTCTTCAATCAAGCTACAGCAAGAAGGCAGGACAACTTAACAACATGGTAGCCACAAAAAGGAGTCATTCTCTAATATACAATCCTCATGATGTCTCCATGAAAGTTATCACTAGACTTTTTTTCTTCCCTGAGACAGTCTTGCTATGCACAGCCCAGGCTAGTCTTGAGATTGTGATCTTCCTTCATCAGCCACCCAGCTACAAGATTATAAGTACATACTGTAGATGTCTTATCGAAGACAGATTGAAGGAACTGGTGATATTTTTCCTTTCTAGATTAAAGACAGGGTCTCCTTTCCAAATTTCATTTCAGATTGTTGGTGTTTCTTTTACACTGATTTGATACATGGACTTTTCTTTCAGGCTGATTTGATACTACATTATCAAAGTTATTTTCTAGCTGGGTGGCTGGCTCAGGCCTGTAATTCTAGCTACTCAGGAGACTGAGTTCCAGATTGTGGCTCCAAGCAAACCTGGGTTGATGAATACCAAGACTCTTTATCTCCTATTTAAAAAAGCCAGAACTAGAGATGTGTCTGAAGTGGCAGAGCACCAGCCTTAAATGAAAATCTGAGTGACAGTGCCCCAGGCCCTGAATTCAAGCCCCAGTATACGCACACAGGCTTGCACACGCATGTACACACACACATAGTCAATTTGAAAGAACTGGAATTTTTACATAGTCATTTTCAAAGAGGGGAGGTGGTAAGGTAAATCTAAGTTTTTGTTTGTTTTCCTGGTGGTACTAGGGGTTGAGCTCAGTGCCTTGCACTTGCTAGGCGGGAGCTTTACCACTAGAAGCACAAAACTAGCCCTTTATGCTTACTTCTGTACAACTAGGATCAAGTTTTGTTACCACCATTGTCCAGCTACTGGTTCAGATACGATTTTATAAACGTTGGGATTATAGATATGAGCCACCATGTAAGGCATCTAAGCTTTCTTTTTTTGTCAGGCGTGAGGTTTGAACTCTGGGCCTGGGCATTGTCCCTCAGCTCTTCAGCTGAAGGCTAGCTAGCACTCTACCACTTGAGCCACAACACCACTTGTGGCTTTTTCTGTGTATGTGGTACTGGGGAATCGAGCCCAGAGTTTCATGCACGCTAGGCAAGCACTCTACCACTGAGCCACATTCCCAGCCCCAGATAATATAATTCTAAGCATAAAATTCATTTTCCCCCAGGTGCCTAAAGTACAGAGGCCAAGTTCAAAATATTAAAGCTACTAAGGGACTAAAGACACCTCTTCTAATCCTAATACTGTTACTTCAGTATCAGAGGAAAAAAGATGACTGTGAGCTAATTGTCCTTGATGATCAAGTCATCTTAATTTAAATTTATGAATTTATGGGTATTTGCAACTTATTAAATATTTTTTGGCTGATCCACATTGAAAGAATCACAACAAACTCTCTTAAATTAGAAAAAAAAATCATGTAAGGGATGTATCTAAGATAAATTACAGGGCTGGGAAGGTGGCTCAGTGGTAGAATGTTTGCCTTGCATGCATGAGACCCTGGGTTCGATTCCTCAGCACCACATAAGCAAAAAGAAAAAAGCCAGAAGTGGCACTGTGGCTCAAGTGGTAGAGCGCTAGCCTTGAGCTGAAGAGCTGAGGTACAGCACCCAGGCCCAGAGTTCATGCCCACGACTGGACCAAAAAATAAATAAATAAAAATAAAATAAATTACAGTATCTTAAATATTCTTTAAAATTTGTTTTAGTACTTTTGTTAAAACCTAAAAGATTCATTAAGTTGAGTAATATGCATCAAATCTGATAAGAGTTTTAAGCCCTTAATAATCAAAAAGATTTTCAGAAACACTAAGCAAAACCATTATTTTTCTGGAAAACAAAAAACTAATGTCAATGTTTAAGTTGAAAATTTTTGGTGGACATCATTTGTAATCCTATTTACTCAGGAGCTTGAGATCTGGAGGATAGCAGCTTGGGCAGAAAAGTCTGTGAGATTCCCCAAAATAACTCACAAAAAGCAGGGCTGGAGGCATGGCTCAGGTTGTAGAATTTCAGCTAATATTTTTCTAAGAACTTTAAGATTTAATTCTCTGAAGCTAGAAAACAGAACATTTGACTCTCGGCTAACAGGATTTATGTGGTCACTGACTTTTGATAAATGAAAATGGCAAGCTAAGAGTTAATGAGACTGACTTGGTGGATAATCCCACTGCTAAAGAAGACCATGAAGAGACCACTGAGTGTTTGCATATAGCCTACACTTAACATGCCTGAGACATTACACCTGGCAAGGAGAGAGATGTCCAGAAACATTTCCACATGCTTCTAATTTGGTAAAAGGCAAAAAAGCTAACGTAGATTTTTAAAATATACAAGTTCAGTCGTGATCTCAGATCTCCTGCTGTCTAGATATTTGGACACATTTTCATTATTGAGATGATATACTTAGATTGTTCCAAATAATAGCCACTCTCCAGAAGGCCAAGCAGCTCAAGCTGGATGGAATTACTTACAGATCAAGTACTGAGAAAAGAGCTGTGGATGAAAGCTTAAAGTGTATTATTTTGTATGGAATGTTTGCTTAAACAAATAAATAACAACAAAAAAACCTTTCTGAGTAGGATTTTAAGGACATGGGAAGAAAAAAAAAAGAAAAACGTGGCTTTTTGTTTTATTTTTTTAAAAAATCAAGCAAGGTTTTTGTTTTGAATCTTTACAGTATTGGAGAGGGATTGAAGATAGAGTTAAGCATCACTGAACTATAGTCCCAAGCATAACCAAGTAGCTTTTTTATGAGTCTAGTGGCTCATACCAGCCTCTCAGGAGGCTGTGATTTAGTTGATTCCAGTTTGAAGCCAGCCCAGGCAAAAAAGTCTGTAACTATCTTCAATTAACCAGCTAAAAGCAGGGCTGGAGGTGTGGCTGAAATATAACACTAGCCTAGCAGGCAAACTAAGTGAGCTTGAGGCCCTGAGTTCAAGCCCCAGTACTACCAAGGAGAAAAAGAAATTGGGAGGGGAAGGGAGAGAAGAAGGGGAAAGAATGATAAAAATAAATCCAGCTTGGGGAGACCCATTTCAAACTTGTTCTCCAGGTCCACAGTCACACAAGACTTCCTTGAGCCACTGGAGGGAGGGGAACTGTCTAGTATAGAATAAGCAGATGCTTCTCTGGGTTTCCCTTCATGTCACAGCTCTCCAAATACCAACTGCTAAGGACTGGAGAATGTCTAAAGACAATGAGTAGGCACAAACCTTCAAAAATTAAAACATTTAAGACATCTGTCCTGAGGAAGCAGAATGGATATTGTTCAAATTAAGGAAACCCAATTTTAAGAACAACCAAAGTTACAACACAGTTTCATCTGTTATAATTCCTGTCACCTGCTTAGTTTAACAGAGCCAGAACTTCAGGACCTTGGGCTTCACAGTCCAAAGTCAGATGAAGCATAACTTATGGCAGTTATTTCTTAAGCTTACAGATGCCCAAGGGTGGAAACATTTCAACTACTTAGAATTCAATTAACTGGAGTTTACCTCCTCATTAACTTCTTTGAAAGAAGAGAAGAGTAAGGAAGATGAGAAAGAAGGGAGATAGGCAGAAAAGGACATGAGAAAAGACAAGAAAAAACCTGGATGTCACCCCAAACTTAAACTTATTAGCTCAAGAGAACTTAAAACACACACACACACACACACACACACACACACACACACACACACACACACACACACACACACACACACACACACACACACACACACACACACACACACACACACACACACAGAAAAAAGAGTAGTCTAGTTAAATTGAGTGCAACCAACCCTCTACTTTCTACCTCAAGATACTTTAAGATCCTAAATAATCAAATATTAATTTATACTAAGCATGATTCACTAACCAAAGATGAACTCTTAAATTCTATCCATTTACTCTAATACAAGAACTAGCTGAAGCCTTAAGCAATAGGGAGGTAATCCCAGCAGACAACAAAGACACAAGTGCTTTCAGATTGACTGAAAAGTGACTCTAATTTTTCTACATTATTTTATTTTTTTGAGACAAAGTCCCACTGTGTAGACCAGGTTGCCTCAATGTGAAATTTTCCTGCCCCAACCTTTTGAGTGCTGGGATTACAGATGGGCACCACTATGCTTGGCTCCTAGATTCTAATAAAGCAGAAAGTAGATTGAAAAATAAACAAGATTGTTTTAGCTTGCCTCTCACAGCTTCCAATTCCTTTTCTATTCTGGCTAACTTTAAGGATAAAAGGGAAAATAAATGTAGCAAAGGGTACATAAAAGTATTTCCTTATTTGCCAGATTTTCTATGAACAAAGGCAAGTCCAGCCAGAAGATAGTTCTCCGACACTAATAACACTTTAAACACTAATTTGGCTTTAGCCATCTGTCAGGCTTTATATATTTCTGTGGTTTCCCAAAGCCATAGTGTATCATACGTCTTTTCAATGCAGGTCTAATAAGAAATGCTGTAGTGGAGCTAGGGCTGTAGCTCCTTGGCTGTGAATGGAAAATGCAGAGATCCTGGATTCTATCCCCTGCACTACATAAAGAAAAACAACAATGTCACAGTGATGATTTCTCTGCTTTTGGCTATGAGCAAATGTAGAAGTGTTACAGTGAATGTGTCTATAGAGTGCATACAATTAAACTTTCTCTTTCCATTTGTTCATGTATTTGACAGATGGTCACTATAAGAAACTGTTGTGGCTGTTGACATCTGTAATTCTAGCTACTATGGAGGATGAAATTAGGAGGATTATGATTCTAAGACAGGACAAAAAGTTAGCAAGACCACACCTCAATCAATAAGCTGGGTGTGGTAGTATGATTTGTAATTCCAGATATACAGGAGGCTACAGATAAGAGGGTAACAGTCTGAGGGCAGCCTTTGGCAAAAATGTGATACCACAGCTAAAAATTAACACAAAAAAAAGAGTTTGAAGCCAGCTACTAACGTGTCATACCTGTACTCCTAGCTACTCAGGAGGCTGACAATTGAGGACTGAGATTCAAAGCCAGCCCGGGCAGGACAGTGTGTATGACTCTTATCTCCAATCAACTACCCAAAAGCCGAAAGTGGAGCTGTGACTCAAGTGGTAGAGTGATAACCTCAAACAAGAAAGATCAGGGACATCGCCCAGGCCTTGAGTTCAAGCCCCATGACTGATGAAAGAAAGGGGTGGGGGGAGGGAGGGATTGGAGTAGGTGGTGGCTCAAGTGGTAGAGGACTGAGTGGGGTACATTTGCTAAATGACGTAAGGAACCAAGAGGCAACTTAAAAAACATTTGTGTCCAAAGCCTTCATCTTACAGATGCAAAACTATGACATCAGAATAAATGAAGTGTCCTGATTACTGTACTCATTACCCAATTTTATTTTGTTCAGAGCAACTGACTCTCTGAACCTGTGTATCTATGTGTACACACACACACACACACACACACACACACACACACACACACACACACAATCTTCTGTCTCTGTCACAGGAACACAAGACCCTGAAGCAGGTATCTGCTTTTCATACTCTGCATACTTCAGTTCTCAAAGATAGTGCCAGCACATCAAATATATTCAAGCAGTGTTAGTAAAATGAAAAAGTGATGAAGTAGCACACTTGTGGCAGTGTAGAGTCATTGTGACATGTGCTCCAGAAAAAGGTCACATTTCAGTTGCAGGAAGTAGTGGACATAGTTTCCAAAGAAAAGATGTTTTAGTAAGAGGTAAAATATCCTTAAGTAGAAGATAACAAATTAAGTTTTTCAGATGTACTAGATATAAAAATCAGGAAAGTCATAAAAAAAAACACATTACTTTCCCAATCAATGTCTAAGAAAAATTCATACCATGAACTCTTCATTCAAGAGTTGATTTTTATATTTATGTAATTGCTATGCAACTACACACTAAAGTCTCAGATATTTTAAAAAATTCAGCAGCATGAAGCTTAAGTTACCTATGAAGGATAACTTTTTATAAAACTCTGCCTTAAGTTTTAATCAAGATATATGAACGCTAACTCTGATTTCATTTTATTTTTTTTTTCGGGGGGGGGGGTGGTCTAGTCGTGGGGCCTGAACTCTGGGTCTGGGCACTGTCCCTCAGCTCTTTAGCTCAAGGCTAGCGCTCTACCACTTGAGCCACAGCGCCACTTCCGGCTTTTTTCTTTTTGCTTATGTGGTGCTGAGGAATCAAACCCAGGGCCTCAGACATGCAAGGCAAGCACTCTACCACTGAGCCACCTTCCCAGTCCCTAACTCTGATTTTAATAAAGAGTTCTTCTACTACATTAGCTAACTTCATAGTACACACATTAGCAATGACTGTTCAATTTAAGTGTCACCAACTAGTCACTCTGAAATAAATGAAGCCCCCCCCCCCCATCTTTTTTTTTTTTTTGGCCAGTCATGGGCTTGAACTCTGGGCCTGGGCACTGTCCCTCAGCTCTTCAGCTCAAGGCTAGCACTCTTCCACTTGAGCTACAATGCCACTTCCGGCTTATTCTGTTTATGTGGTCCTGAGGAATCAAACCCAGGGCTTCATGCATGCTAGGCAAGCACTATACCACTAAGCCATATTCCCAGCCTCCAAAAAAAATTTCTCTTTGCCTTTGGCCAAGCCCTGATGGCTCACAACTATAATACTATCTATTCAGGAGGTTAAGACCTGAGAATTAGGGGGGCGGGGTGGGGGAGGGGGGGAGATGGGAAGGGGAAACAAAGGAGGCAACAATGCTTGATAAGAAATATACTCATTATCTTGCCCATGTAATTGTAACCCCTCTATACAGTATTTTCACAATTAAAAAAAAAAAAAAAGATCTGAGAATTGTAGTTTGAAGCTAGCAGGGCAGAAAAGTCCAGAGGAAAAAGCTGGAAGCGGAGGTGTGGCTTAAGTAGTAGCACTAGCTCCTCAGTCAAGCCCTAGTACGGGCACAAAACAAAACAAAGAGTTTGTTAAAAAAGTAAAAGTAACTGAGGCTCTTAAGCAAAGAAGCATACATAAGATTCTTGGTGTGTCAATGTGCTTTAAGAATATTTCTTCATTCCAATGATGTCCATTCATTTAGTCAACAAATATGTACTCATAACCAATTCTAATATCCCAAGCACCTTCTAGTGATTATACATTACTAGAAATACTCACATTTGAATAGATAAAAACTTAAAAAAATCTTTGATTTCCATTAAACACAAAAAATTAAAACTTCTCAAAAAGATGTTTCAACTTACATTTTGTTCCTCTGGTTCTAATTTGGGAATTTTGTGAGCCTTGCGCTCTTCAGATCTGGCTGAGTCATGCTTGTTGCTTTTTTTCCTCTTTTCCTTTCTGCTTTCATGCTTTGACTTTGTGTGCTCACTTGCCTGTACTTCATTTAAAAGGTCTCCACAAAGAGAAGACTCGAACAATTCCCTGCCATTCTGGATAGTTTTGGTTATTTTTAGTTTAATTTCAGGTGAGCCAGTCTTCTTTGGAATCACAGTTTGTGGTACCGAAGGAGGGGGTGGTGGCTGTGGAGGGGAAGGTTTTTCCAGAATTTCATGTGGTCTTGTGTTTGGAATTTCTGAATGGTAATAGTCAGTGGGACTAAAGTTTCTAACTGCACCAAAACCATTGGCTGACCCATTGGGATACTGATTATATGGTTGGTATTTGGTTTGAGTGTCATACATGCTGATCGATGGTGGGTAGCCATTTGTGAGTGGAGGAAGGTCTTCTGTTGTAGGTGGATACTGAAAGCCTTGTTGCAAGGTAGCTTCGTACGGTGTCTGGCCACCATCTTCAACAATGTCACTGTTGTTATCAAAGGCATCCTCCTGACGGATGTTGGCGGAGTCAATGAGTTGAGGTGGTTGCTGAATTGTGTTTCCCATGATCCCTTGCATGAAAGAGAAAGAGAAATCCATTGTTCTGCTCCAGCATCCTTAACTTTCCCTTTCTCTCACCGGGCCTAAAATTAGAAAAGTGTAGATTAAAAAGTATTAATATCCTAACAGGCTACAGATCAATTAATTGAAAAGAAATCAAGCAAAAATATTTTGAACCTAATTGTCATATTTAGATATAAACAGACATTAAATAGTTATAAAAGTAGAGAGCCTACATAATTTTGACACGTAAGTATATTTTATCCTTTGGGAGTTTTTTTTTGTTTTGTTTGTGACATGGTTGCAATATTGTAGCTCAGGTTGGCCCCGAACTCAAGATCCTATAACATTCACTCTGCTGGAATTATAGAAGTAGATCATGATGTCTGGAAAAATTCCTGATTATTGTCATAACTTTAACAACTAACTTTTATCCTTCTTGTAAAAGGGCAAGATAGTCTTGACATTCTTTTCTATTTTCTAAAATAGTTTCCCAAGAATTTCCTTTAAATTCATTCATGTTTTGTCCAGTTCTTTATATTATCACAAAAACAAAATCTTATTTCAAATACTTTACTTACAAAAGTAAAAAGTTCTATTTCCCAAGGGAAGGGAGAAAGAGGAAAGGGGAGAAAACAAGAAAAAAAAAAAAAAGACACACAGAGAACACAGAAGAGCAAACACATGGGGGCCGGGCGCCGGTGGCTCACACCTGTAATCCTAGCTACTCAGGAGGCTGAGATCTGAGAATCGCGGTTCAAAGCCAGCCCAGGCAGAAAAGACCGTGAGACTCCTATCTCCAATAAACCACTAGAAAACCGGAAGTGGCGCTGTAGCTCAAGTGGTAGAGCGCTCTCCTCAGCTGAAGAGCTGAGGGACAGCGCCCAGACCCAGAGTTCAAGCCCCATGACCGACAAAAAAAAAAAAAAAAAAAAGAAGAGCAAACACATAAAAGATTCTTCAGACTGTTTTTTAGTGCATGTGTGTATACCTATAGGAGAAGAGATTTGAAGTGTTCATGGATGCTGAAAAACTTTTCTACCGGCTATATGGTATTCATCTACACTCATAACAATTGTGTCTAAGGATACCCAATTCTCTACATGCGTCCAAGAATCTATTTGTTTTTAATAAATAGCATTTACAAGAGAATTATCTGAAGGTACTTATCAAATGCACATTTCAGGGTCAGGCATGGTGGTGTAAACTTGTAATACCAGCTTGGAAAGACAGAGATTGGAAAGACAGCGGTCCAAGGCCAGCCCAGGCAAAAAAGGTTTAGCAAGATGCCCATCTCAACAAATAAAATGGGTGTGTCCTGTGCACCTATAATGCCAATGACATGGAAGGCCATAGGTAGGAAGAATGTGGTTGAAGGCCAGGCCTCATCAAAACATAGGAGACTATCTGAAAAATTGAGACTACCTGAAAAATTAAAGCAAATGGACTAGAGGCATGGTTCAAGTGGTAGAGTACCTGGCTAGTAACATAAGGCCTAAAGTTCAATCCCCAGTATGGTCAAAAAATAAATAAGAACCTAACAAAATGCATGTTTCAGGGTCCATCTCTTAAAGATTCTAATTTAATGAAATTGGCAGTGGGGCCCATAGTATAAGCATTTCATTTTTATTATGTCAGTCCTGGGGCTGAAACTCAGGGCCTGGATGCTGTCTCTAAGCTGTTTTTGCTCAAGGCTAGAACTCTAAAACTTTGAGCCACAGCTCCACTTCTGGTTTTTAGGTAGTTAATTGGATATAAGAGTTTCACAGGGGCTGGGAAGGTGGCTCAGTGGTAGAGCGCTTGCCTTGCATGCCTGAGGCCCTGGGTTCGATTCCTCAGCACCACATAAGCAAAAAGAAAAAAAGCCGGAAGTGGTGCTGTGACTCAAGTGGTAGAGCGCTAGCCTTGAGCTGAAGAGCTGAGGGACAGCACCCAGGCCCAGAGTTCAGGCCCCACAACCGGACCCAAAAAAAAAAAAAACAAAAAAAACAAAAAAAACATGTAGCCGGGCGCTGGTGGCTCACGCCTGTAATCCTAGCTACTCAGGAGGCTGAGATCTGAGGATCCCGGTTCAAAGCCAGCCCGGGCAGGAAAGACCGTGAGACTCCTATCTCCAATAAACCACCAGAAAACCGGAAGTGGTGCTGTAGCTCAAGCGGTAGAGCGCTCGCCTTGAGCTGAAGAGCTGAGGGTCCGCGCCCAGGCCCAGAGTTCAAGCCCCACGACCAACAAAAAAAAAAAAAAAAAAAAAAGAGTTTCACAGACTTTTTTGCCCAGGATGGCTCTGAACTGATCTCAGCCTACACTCAGGCTAAGAAGATTACAAGTATGAGCTAGCACATCTGGTAGTATGAGTATTTTTAAGTCAGCTGATTCTGACGGACATTCTTCATTAGATCATTGCACTATAATCTTTGTATTTAGTCTTTGCATTATAATCTTACAATTACTGCAACCCTCTAAGATGATATCTGAAGATGCTATTGTTATGTAGTAATAATGTAAACATAAAGCTTGACAAGTCCGCATCTCAAAATAAAAGATTAATGAACATGCTGTGTGCCAATGTATCATAAGGCTTGACAAGTCCGTATCTCAAAAGATTAATGAACATGCTGTGTGCCAGTAGCTCATGTCTGTAATCCTAGCTACTCAGGAGGGTAAAATCTAAAAATCACGGTTTGAAGCCAACCCCAGCAGTAAAATCCATGAGATTCTTATCTCCAGTTAACCACTGAAAAGCTGGAAGTAGAGCTATGGCTCAAGTGGTAGAGTGCTAGTTGAGAAAAAAAGCTCAGAAACAGTGCTCAGAACTGGGGGGGGGGGGGGGGGGGGGGGGGGGGGGGGGGTAGAATAACCCTGTTACTCAGGAAATCTGAGAATCATGATTCAAAGCCAGCCTCAGCAGGACAGTCCATGCTCTGAATTCAAGCCCCAGGAGTAGCACAGAAAAAAAAATAAAATTAATGAATCCTCTGTACATGATTTTACTATTTCATCTAGAAAGCGGTAGAGCAAAGGGGAGAAGAAATAGGTTTTTACTAGTGTACCAACTAACTGTAGCTATCTTGAATACTGTGCAGGATTCTAAAGCTACATACCACCATTTCAATTCTATGACTACTAATGACTACCACCTTGGTTTTTAAGTATGATTTGCCACAATGATAAAGCAAGTAATCCAAAAAGCAAAGGGAATATGGAAATAAATGCTGAGAGTACACTTTCCAAAGTGTATCCATCCAATCATACAATTATTATTTCTTCTGCTGTGAGCAAACACAGTTTTCTAAGTTATAAAATTCCAAGTAAGAATACACAGAACAATCAAACTACCAGTATTTCTACACTGGGGGAGCTGAGAGGTAGGGAACAGACAGCATGCTCATTTCTTAGCATCTCCTATGGTCCAGGTATTTTATTTATTTATTTATTGCAGTGCTGGGTCTTGAACTCAGGCCTAGGCACTGTCCCTGAGCCTCTTCTGTCCTCAAGGCTAGCACTCTACCGCTTGATCCACAGCATCACTTCTGGCTTTCTGTTTATGTGGTGCTAAGGAATCGAACCCAGGGCCTCATGCATGCTAGGCAAGCACTCTACCACTAAGCCACATTCCCAGCCTATTTTATTTATTTTTTGTGCCAGTCATAGGGCTTCAGCTCAGGGCCTCAGTGCTGTCCTTCAGCTTTTTTTACTCAAGACCATTTGAGCCATAGTGTTTGGGGCGTTAATTGGAGATATATCTCACAGATTTTCTTGCCCGGGTTGTCTTTGAACCTAATCCTCAGATCTCAGTCTCCTGAGGAGCTAGGATTATAGGCATGAGCCACCAGCGACAGGCTTTAGGTACTTTATATATTATTTGACAATCCACAAAGGAAGCACTATGATTCCTGGTATATAAGTTAAAAAGTACACAAAGCTCAGGGGAAGAACTGGACTTTGCATAAGAAGAAGTCTGACTCTAAAGTCCATGATGTTCTAGCACTATACCATTTCTGCTCCCTCAGCTATTAGCCTCTAGAAGATTCATTTGCTTTGTTCATGTGCTTTATTTCTTGACAACTGTCAAAATAACCACTCTAATAGCTACTATGAACATTTACATAGCACTTTACATGTAATCCTCCCAACATCTTGCAGGTATATAGTATGTCTTATTACAGTCAGGGTACTAGAGGCACAGCAAGGTTAGAAAAGTAAACATAGTTCATAATCAATTGACTAGGCTTCATTCAGCTCAGCAGTCAAGTTCACCCATCCTCCTAGCCAGCGTGCCACAGTTGCTGACAACCTTGATACATGTTAGAAATCATTACGTATAAACAAATTACAAACTGAATCATTATCCTAATCTGACTCTTTGCAAAAGTATATAGCTCATAGCAACAGATATAAAAAGGGAATGTTTAAAATTCTGCTACCATACATGGTGCAACTGTTCAGGCAGAACTTAAGTTTTCATTTATATTTCCAATTTTAAGGCACATGAAAGACTGACAACAAGATGCATTTTTGGTTTCCCTAACTGTCATATACAAGATCAGTTTCCAGACAAGTCCCAAATAAGTTTTTCAGACACCTGTAGAGACTAGTTTCTGATAGTTTTGATTTAGTTCCAAACACAGCCTTTTGGAAGTTTAATGCTGGGGCTGGGAAAGTGGTAGAGTGCGTGCCTTGCATGTATGAGGCCCTGAGTTCAAGTCCTCAGCACCACATATGCAGAAAAAAACCAGAAGTGGCACTGTGGCTCAAGTGGTAGAGAGCTGGCCTTGAGCTAGGGACAGTGCCCAGGCCCAGAGTTCAGGCCCTATGACGGACCAAAAAAAAAAAAAAAAAAATGTTTAATGTCCCCTCCTCTACTTTTCATTTTACTTAAACTAAGGTAAGAAACAACATGACCATCTTAACAATTACAAGAAGGATTCCAATTAAGAGTATTTTCAGGGGCTGGGAAGGTGGCTCAGTGGTAGAGCGCTTGCCTTGCATGCATGAGGCCCTGGGTTCGATTCCTCAGCACCACATAAGAAAAAAGAAAAAAAGCCGGAAGTGGCGCTGTGGCTCAAGTGGTAGAGTGCTGGCC